AATAAATCAACGCGGCCTGCCTAATTTATTCATTAGAGCCGCTGTGCCTCCGGGTGGCGAGCCCAAAAAAAGGAGCAAATTGCTAAATTGTCCGGGAGTGTTGTAAGCGAGTAGCGCAATGAGATCAAGGGGTCTCTGGAGCCCCGGGCCCCGTACAGTCCCTGCTCCATCCCCGCTCTGTTCAAACAAAACCGCGCTAGAACCTCGGGCTCACGCACAAGTGTTTCCTGTTTTCTATGTCGACCGTTCCATGGTCGTTTGCTGAAAATGTTCTTTTTTTTCTTCGCGAATCCATTTTACGTCTTAAGTGTATAGATTCAACCCCGTTTTACCTTTGCTTATCGTGTTGTATACCGTACAATCTCTTGCTGAGCTCGGTTCTAATGTTGCGGGAATGTAGCTTTTCTCTGACCCGTATTCAGAGGAAACCTTAGGAAATGTCTAGCTGTTTTGAATTTTGAAAAATATGTTTTAAACATTTTGTTTTAAAATAAAAACAGTTGATGTTCTCATTATTTATCTTTAATTTGATACATAATAAATATCGTTTATCCTATCAGTTCACACTGAATATACTTCTTCCAATGTTATCAGTCTCGCGAGCTGTTTCGTTCTCGTCGATATCACTACGCTATCTAGAAAGCCCGTTCTAGTAACTGAAACACTCCTTGTTGTTTCAGTGCTAGCACTGTAATATTACTATTCGAGGTGGACGTAATATGCGCAGTGGGACGCATGTCTTTAAACTGCCATGGAATTAATCAAAACAAAGTTTAATATTGTGACAACCATTATTACCTGGTCTTTACCCAATGATGATTGGCAAACTCAGACATTATTAAAGTGGGCCAGAGTAGTCCGAGCGTGAACCATGGTCCATGGGCCTTATGCACGAATCGGCCATATTGAATTGAAAGTTAGGTAAGATCTTAATTTTTTGAACTTGCGAAGAGAAATGAAAGCATTAATTTTTAATAAATTCCAGTCTGCTTCAATGAATAATTTAAAATTTGTAATTAAATATTCCCTAATGTTTAAGCCATATTTAAAAAAAAAACAAATACAGTAAAATAAGGCTGCATTGTGCCTGCATAAATAGTCTGGCGCCATCCCATTCAACAGTTAACAATTAATGAAATACATTCAGGAAACTCGACAAAAATGGCCAACTTGTGAATAAGGTCCATTGCTGAAAGCTCCCCTGGGATGGATTTACCCTCGGATAAAAGGCGCATGCGCGTGCCCAACCGTCACATTGGATAATACCAACACTAGGTAAAATAAGTTAGTGGAATGGTCAAGCACATCATTATCAGCGTCTGCAGACAAACCCCGCGCTGCGTCATTAATGTTACAGTCTACCGCAAAAACACTCCAGAGATTGACGACATCTTCATTGGGTTGCTGGAAACCACCTGCTGGTGATGGGCAGGTTTCCCGGTGTAGCATCTAAAAACGCATGGTTGACTAGTGCGCAGTACTCGGGAAATACAATTTGGCAACGTACGTTCTGTTCAAATTTGATTTGTTTCGCTGTAAACATGATTTTCCTCTATTTAAAGCGAGTCTTGGGCATTTTGTGACAAGTTCCGTCTAAATTCTGACAAGGTTGCGTCTAAATTCTTGACATCAAATTGCTACTATTTTTTTCACTCCGTGAGGTCAACGGTGTCCAGTGTATTGTTTTAAATGATTTAAAATTTTCACGGAAAACTTGCTTCGCGAAGACAACTATACGGAGTATAAAAGTCGATAACAGACGCACGTGAAATCATTATGCGCATGAGGACATTGACCAACGAGTTAAAATAAATAATGCTGGCAGTTTTTTTTTCTTTCACATGTAAGACATTCGTTTTATGTGCGGTGATGAACTGGGGTGTTCGAGTCATCCGAGAAAACTTTGCATAGAATATTGTTGATTGAGATTTCGGGAAAATATTCAAACTTCATCGACTTTAATCACCCTCAAGCACAGAAGTTCATTTCCCATGTGTATTTCTTTCCATTTGGAACGTCTGTCACGGTTCGTCAACACGAAAACCTCTGCTTTCTATTTTACTTGGAGATTTTATTTATTTTCCCATTTGGCACCACCCAAATGTGTTGGTCAAAATGGACTGCATAAAAAGGGCAGTGGCACACGCAAAGCTGGTGGGGCTGGTAGAGTCTGCATGATTGCTCATGGAATATTACAACTTGAACTCGCGACAGATAAAAAAAAACCCTTATACACATAATGGTCCCAAGCCCTCTGGGTTGCTACCTTTTTTTTTTGGCAAACCAAAGTGTCATATTTGAACAGTTCCTGGCGGTAGACAACTTGGTAAACAACAACAACCATTCACAACATGAGTACCCATTGTGTGTTCAATATACAGTATTGCCGACCAGTGACTTGTTTTGGTGTTGTCGGGATTTAGCGTAGGTAACATCAGCTCGACATCTAATCATTATTTGGTGGCCGAAAACTTGAACTTTAGTTCTAAAAACAGTTTGATTAAATGGTAGGGAACTTTGCCTGTTCGTGAAACACAATTTGAAAGCTATGGATCCACGTTTTATATTACATTCAAGGGTTTTATAGCGCAATACTTCTTTGGTATGATTCATTTTATCACATTATCGATTTTCGTTATCTGTATTGCTCCCAGTATAAGATATAATTTAATAATCGTGTTTCTAATTTTGTTAGCAGAGATTGCTGAGTTGCGCTGCTATACATAAGACTGAAAACGTTAAAGGGCCATTTATTGAATATTACGACGAAATTTATCGAGATAGGACACCCATTATGTTGTACAGCAAGGCACATGTTGAATGCTGCCTACCATATTGTCCTGCACATTAAGCGCAACCATTTATGTTAATGTACTTAATACAGTTTGTTTTCTCAAGGCCGGGTGACAAAAAGCCATTGTGAAAATTCGCGTGTAGTCATTCTCGCGTCGTATTATATGTGTCATTTCTCTATAGTACTATTTAAAGCAACATTCTTCGAAAACCAGGAAACAGATGGTTCCATATACATAACAAATTATAGAGCAACTGTAACGTTTTGTTGAGGATCTGAGCTAGGTATTGTAACTATGTTGTAACGTAATACTGCCCGGGGTGCCAATATTGTAGTGTCAATTATAAAAGGTTCCATACAATCATTTTGTAAAACCTTTCGCATTAACTCGTTCAAAAATATTGCTTTTTTTTTTAAATTTTAGATCGACCTTCAACTTGTCGCTTTTTGTAACTCTTGCGAAATGTGCTGGGGGAAAATAGCCCGGCCCCGATGACGAAGCTTTACCAGCAGCATGATAGTCATGACATACCCGAGGTACCAGACATACGGACGCGTATATTAAAACTAAGAACTCAGTCAGAATAATAAGTACCGCACATGTCTACTAATCTGATGCATTATCGAGAAACGGATTCAGTCAAGTTATTAATTCTTTAATTACTGAAGTAATCACAGAGCTCTGTAACCTTTACCCAAGAAAACAAATACAGCCTGGTATCCCGTCAACAGCTGGTAATCACCAGCTCGCGTAATTGCAACTCATTATGCCACTTGCGATCTGCATTTAGACAGATTTACATTGTAATTTATCACATCCCATACGGTGAAATCAGCTGGGCAGATTGTTCCCTAGCGTGCGGGTCTTTATAGCTCTAGACGATGGCAGATATGCGAGCATATTGTAGCGACCAATATGCCTAACTTAGTGAGAATGTTACAGTTGCGGCTGCTAAAAATGCCGAGGCGAAACACGTAAACCCCTTTGAAGAATGGATCCTAGCTCTACAGAAATATGCTATAACTTTCCCCTGAACTTTCTGCACAGTAACATGAGTCACTTAAATCTATAGGGGAAAGGCTGACGTATACTTGACGTCATCAAACATTAGCGGCAGCAACAAAAAGCGAACACATTTCCAATGTCTTCAGAGAGAAATTATTCGCAATCTACAAATTGACCTACTTTGAATTCGGCCTAAAATATGACCCACCCATTCCAAATGTCGTGCTTACTCTAGATGTGCACAAAACACATTTTACCAAATGGTGTTGCAGCTTATTATTAGCTCGTCCTAAATTGTTAATCATCAGCAAACAGAAAGGGACAGTCATTTCCAGCTGTGGAAATGAGAAATTAGACAGTTTCTAAGAGGTACAAGTAGGACTGGTGAATGACGAGGCAGATCACCGCAGTCATTCAATGAAACAAACAAATTGAACTTTGACCTCGTTAAGTCACGAGACTTTGCGAGAGTTTAAGACATTCTTGAGAACCGCCTCATATATAAATACATGGCTGGTGGGAAACATTATTATAACATCCGGGAAATGACCAATATTTTAAGCGAGTTTGAACACGCACTCGACATGATACAGTCGGGTAAACTGATTGGAAAAGTAGTATCACCCAGCTTTGACGCCCAAATATCTGGTTCGAAAACTTGTACAAAGCAAACAATCGAAATCCATAAGGACAAACCACTCGTTGTATGCGCTTTCTCAAACCCCGAAGTTGCTATACCTTAAAAGTCCCTTCAACCTCATTTTTTTTTTTAACTTCAATGCATTCATATAAACTACGCTCATGGCAAGGAAGAATAGTATTATTTACAGCACGTCAGGGATGAAGAGATTAGTAAAGATTACGTACAAGGAAATCAGGAATATTTTCCTATGCAAATTAACAAGTGTGACCCATGATGTATTTAAAGGGGCTTTTTTAACAATTGATATTTTTTAACAACTGAAGGAACCAAACGTAGGTCCTTTGATATCTTTTGTGTATTTTCTCGACTTTCTCCGTCGAGACAAATTTAAATGGCGGTTTAATAAGGTCCTAAATGAACTCTTGAGATAGTTTGTCAAGTTGCGAAACTTGAAACTGACGGTCGCTATTCTATCAAAACAACGATCGACATATCTACCGGTATATCTAAAGACTGAATTGCATCAAAGTAGAGGATAATAATTGTTATACACTTACGTTCCCAGGTTTCCATAGGAAATGCTGAAGTCCATGTTACTGCATCCCTGAACCCATCCAATCTGCCAGGTGTCATTGCCGCTGACTGGCGGGAATCGAACCCTGGCCGAGGCACGAAAGTGCGGCGTCTGATACTTGAGTACGGTGGGCGAGTTCTCGATCAGCGTGGTCGGGTGTGGGTCAATGATGGCGTGCAGATCGTAGACTTTGATGTCGCCTTCAAGACCGAGGTTCTTCTGGCGTTTGGGCAGTATGCACCCCATCGGCAAGTGTTGTAGGAGTCGCGGGGTGTAACTTGCTCGGCCTAGGGTGGCGACCAGGGGAAATATGGTGGTCAGTGACGGCACAGAGGAACGACAAAACACGCCACTTTCGAGGCGCTCTCGTGTCAAAGTCCGCGCCTTAGTCTTTATGTCACACACGTTTGAAATCAAAGTTAAGCTGTCATCCCACAACTTGGTCAAAGTTTGTGGAATTTCGATGTTGTAAACTTGAAGCAGCGGTGGTAAGAATATTTGTGGTTTAGTTTTAACACAATTTCTTTCACTGGTATATCCAGGTTTGCGAGAGATCCCCAAAGTTGGGAGCTTATCATGAAGGCGAATGAAGCTTAGGAACACTCTAAGCTCACGAGTAAGCGACGTAAACGCTTCGAAAGCGGGCTTCACAACTCGAATGGAAAACTTGTCAAAGTTTACAAGAAACACATGTACAAACGACGGGATCCAAGTGTGTTGGAGTGATTCACCGTAGTCTCTCGGGACTAGAAACAACACGGAGAAAACACCTATCAAAAGTTCGCGTATAAAATCCAAGCACTGCACTCGTTGATAGCACAGGAACTGCAAGCTTGCGATCACGGAAAGTAGAAGAGGGCTCAGCCCTACAATAGCTAGCCAAACAACGAGCCTTGCTGGACACTCCGGGTGACTCTTGCAATGACTGTGGAGATGATGAGGTACCCTTTGAGAATGGGTACGCCTTGTTAATTCGGCCGGATTGTAGCGACACGGCACGCTCAGGCTAGCGGGTCCTCGGAGTCCAAATCTCCCTATGTCCTCCCGATGCCAACCTAGCGCGCGGACTAGGTCGTCTGGTGGGCTGCTCAGATCTGGGCCGGGATCCAGCAGCTTCTGACGGTGTACACAACAGGCACAGCTACAGCAGCAACTGTCGAAGGAGCCACAAACTGGTATTTCCTCTGATGTCATTTCCACCGGCGTTAATGGGGAAACGGGTGGATCAGGAGATAGAAGCCTGTGCAGGAAGCCAATGTCGAGTAGAGTCGCGAACCCGACGGCTTCAGAGCTGGAACACTACCAATCCTAGTGCTGGTCAGAGGAGAGTTGATACTAATTCCCAGCATCCGGCCAATGTCGGCTACCAGACCATGTACAGGAAGCATCAGGGAGGCCATGTTTTCCTTGGCTAATATGTCCAGGAAGCCCAGTCGAGTGGGCTCAGTTTTACAGAGGCCGTTTAAACTCACAGGCCAAAGTAGTAGCTATAGCCACCAAGTCACTACACAGGTTCCGTTCGTGCATTAAGTAGTACCCTTTTTCTGTTTACGTGTACACGAGAAGTGAGTGGAGTAGCATCTGCGTCATTGTGCGTGCTATAAGTTCCTGCTGCACTTTTCAACCCCTCACTCAGTAAGCCTACATTCAAGCATAGAGATTATAAAACAGTTATATGATTATGAGTAATAAGCTATCAATCCTTTTTAGGAAACACCCCAATATTCCTCCCCCGTACAATCCTCACACAAACGAGCATGAGTTCTTCAAAGAACGTACGTACCATTACCCGCAGTCCTCCATCTTTGAGCTGTATTGCATGATCCATACACGAATTACGTGTACCAGTTTCTAGACTCCGTGGGCAACAAACAACATGGGCTGTGCTCTGTGTGTTCGGTCGGGTGCCCAGGGAACAAAAGACCGGCCCACGATGGCAACAATGGAGCCCGTGGGTGGAGGCGAGGCCGAGAGGTTTTTTTTTTTTTTTGGTTGGGATATTCACGGAGCGGAGAAAGTACACAGTTCATAAATAGTACACGGGGTAACTATCAGTGCATAATGGTTGTCGCATGTGGTGACCTTGACTGGGTTCACTCGCTGGTCCTCAAAGTTTCACTGCTTGAGCCAAGTCCACAGAAGCACATAAATTGTACAGGAGACATTGGATGTCTGTATCTTGGAGCAACATCACTAGTTTCCTCTCAAGTGTATTGTTTTACTCAGCTCGCTAGCATCACCGTGTAACAAGAGCCTAAGAGGCATGAGGCAGACCACAGCATTGGTGTATACGCCTATTGACTATCATTAAACATATTCCAATATAAACACTTGCACAGTGCAGACAAAGCAGCAGGATTTTGATGGTCTCGATAGCCAGTGTGTCTATTTGCACACGGTTTTTAATACTGGTAGCTATAGGAACGGAATGACACGCATGGCTTCATGCAATATTCAGCAACCGAGAAACCATATGCATTGTACAAACACACCACATCGTATCAATTCAGCGAACACACATCATCGAACTCTAGAACATGAATTCAAGATTTATAATGTCTGGTGTAGCCGAGCTTATTACGCATGCAACGCGCGTGTGCAAATTAATTAGTAATCAATTCATATCTGATGACAAACATCCAGAACTACACCATTACATAATACCGTGGTTGATGTGCTGTTCGTGGATCCGCAGTAGCAATACAGCATTTCCGGGTAACATGCACACGAGCCTTCAACATGGTAGCAACTCGGCAAACTATACCATCCACTTCCACGCAGTTGAATTGGTTGAACCAACGCTGAGCCTGGGTTAGATTCAGGTCAAGTTCATGTCAAGAACCTCTCTGTACGCTGATACTAGGTCGTGTGCAGTATACTGTGTGCTTTTTGACGATTCCCTGAAGTACCTGTGGCAATGTGCCTGTATAGAGTGCGCTGAGCTCTATGAGTAGTGTTTTAATGGTCGTTATAAAAAAATATCGCACCATCGCACACATGAGTTTCAATTTCATCCATCCAATGCTCGCATGTATACTTGTGGTGCTAGTCCCACGCGTAATGTAATGAGAACTTGTGTTTTCGCACGCCGGTCAAATACGATTAGCGAGCGGCACAGAGGCTTTAATGCGATCTGGCTTGATCAGATGACGATGAGAATTATCCTCCTCAGTCGTGCATGCGGTCCCTTAATATGGATGAATTCGCACAGCCGGCTTCTTAATTTGAAGATCTGTCATCATTAAGAGCCGGCATGTTGTTGACTGTGAATCCTCGGTGGTATTTCATGTCCACAGCATCTTGGAACGTCAGATTTTTTTTCTAAGATCACGCCTGGTCCAACAATTCCAACTGAGGCTTAAGAAGAAACTCGATCCATCGTCCTTTTGACTAAATTGAGTCAGAGAAAACTAAAAAAAAAATCTAAATCAGCAAATTCCGTTTATTATGTTCAGTTCCAAGTGACCGTATTCAAGGCAAAATAGGAAATGAATATCATTTTCTGGATCCAAATCAAAGTTGACTCCCAAGTCTTCCGACCCCAATCAGCGTTGACCCAAAATAGGATCAAAAGGAAAGTTATTTATGATTCCTTAAAATCCTGCCCCGATGAGTGGAAGACGAGTCGAAGCAAATCTTGACCAAAACTCGGGGTCGAAACTTTGGCTTTGGATCAAGTAAATTCACTGATGGTTGAACGGCGTGCTGACTGCTCCATCGAGCCAAATCCGTTCAAGAAAGTAAGCACAACCGAGTCTATCCCAAATAAGAGTCAAAATTCCATCCAGGCATTCATTAGTTGATGCATGTTCTCCCCCATCTCTGTACACTGTTGACAGTCGTGCCTCTAGAGGATCCAGTCTTGTTTGGTAATTCGTGATTTGGGGATGTTGCACCTCCGGGTTGATAACAACTCACCCCGTCCATCCCTACACGCAGACTAAAGTGCTAACCGTGCTCGTCATCGATGAAACCCCGGCGATGACATCGAAGCTTCTTCCCCGTAAACCACGGACTTCTCAAAGACACCCCTCGTAACTCACGCCCCGCACCGACCTATTAAAACATTCATGTTGTTTATTGAAAGATGATATAAGCAAGCTAGCGGACGGCATCCCATCATCAGGCGTAAACTGTCTCATCTTCTTTGCAGTGATGCAACCCAGGGAGCTGGAGCTCGAGGAGGAGAAACGGGTTATCTTGTTTGGCAAGGATGTGTGCCTCATGCGTCATGACGATCCATACATCATCTTGCCATATGTAAACTTCGGCTCTCGGGAAAACTCTTGCCAGAGAACTGTGTGTACGCAAATCTCGGCGGTATATTGAAGTAGAAACTGCCTCTTCGGATTCATAACACTATACCGCTAACGGTGTAATAGGAATCTAATAGCATCTTATTGGATGAAAAACTCGCACATCAATGTTGAGGAACATAAACTTCAGCTTCAAGACGTCTTCTGTGTTCCAAAGAGATGCTAGCCAGTTATCATCCCCATCGCTGACATGTTTGAAATAGCTCGGTCACGCCACAGATCACGATAAAGGCCAGCAATACATCCACACGGACCTTGTCCTTGGCCCATCTTCTTCTTTTCTCTTCCCAATCTCACTTGCTCTCTAGGCCAGCAATCTTAACAAATGATATTTACATCTGGTGTATATACCATGCCCTCCCCCGCCGTGACGCGCGATCTCCGGGAGCGAGCTGGAGGTCGCGTGCTCGTGCTGAGAAGTTCGAGTTGATGACGGTCATAATTTGTCTCCACGACTGGAGGCCAGACTAATAAAATAGTTCATACATTGCCATACGGGCTCGTACAGGATGCTGTGCTTGCATCATTGGTATACGTGTGAGGAGTCTTTATTCACTGTATAGCAGATCAAGACATAAATTGATGAGTTATCATGGGTGGTCCGATTGTCAGTCAAGCCTTCTATTTGTCTGTCGGGTTGTTTGTCTTGGAGTTGTGTTTATACGTTCTGTTTCTCTGTTGTTTTCCTAGCGCAGAGCAAGAATTTAGTTAATTTTCCGCGTTTGGTAAATTTCTTGTAGGTTGCCGTTTGGTTATCACTAATTTGAAATGATTATGCCAACACAGGAAATATCTCGTTTTCTTATCGCGTTCACGAATTATAATTTAAATTTTTATTAATTTGTCGTTCACATTTTCATTGTGTCTTTACTAAACTTTATGTAAATTAGTTTTGGACATCTCAACCAGCATCACAAGTGTTGCGCTCCTAGTTATTAGGAAGTCTTCTCGGCAATTTATCTCCAGAAATAACCGATGTTGAGATAATAATATGGTTCCTGTCTGACAGCAGGGGCGTACTCTGTGTGATGCCCCAATTCGATTGGAGTTGAATTGCGAGAACGGAATGCACGCGAGTCGTCTAAGACCTCCCCGGCACCCCTTTGACCGACCGTGATTCAATAAACACGGCCCGCGGTGCTGGCGTGCGCTCGCTATTAAAAAGATGAATATCGGTGTGATCAGATATCGGTCGGACTCGTGCGCGGTGTTGTACATTCAAATTTGTGCGATCTTTTCGAGTTCATAAACAGTTTGATGGCAAAGGCATTCGTGGTGCAGCTTGTACGCGGTCCACAGCACACATGCAATGTATTTGATTTGGTTTGCATTAAAAAAAACCGGGTTTTTTTTTTCAGAAAGGCTGATATGTTTGACTGCCCAATAACTTTAATTTGGTTATTGTTTCTAGAGAAAGAAACTAATATTGTTTAGATCGGTATCTTGTAAGCTTTAAACGTGTGCTGAAATTGAAGTTTAAGTTGATTATTGATTTTAGTTCCGAACTGAAATTTTTAATTTAAGTTCTTTTTGTATTATTCTTTATAATTTTATGAAAAGGATCACCCGATCGCAAGTATTTCAGTTTAAAAAGTGCGGTTTTGTCTACGTGGGGTGTAGAAATTGTATGTGGATTAATCTATTTCATTTTTACACAAAACAAATTATTAGCCTACTTTTCGTTTGTCGTAGAGTCAGTTAGTTAAAATGTTAACATGGAAAGTGGGTCCACAGCATAGGCTGGCTGTCGATGTGAGCGGACCATTCTCCCTTCATGTTTCAGTAGGGACAGGTTGATTACAGGAATTATTTGTGTGATCCATAACCAACAAGTAACTATAAACAGGACTGTGACCCAAACGAGGAGACCAATAATTATTGTATTGTCCGTTCAACGAGTGCTTTTCGCTAGCGTTAATTCCTTTGTTATAGAGGGCGCTGTTTTAAAATAAGCTCCACATACAGTTGTGATAGCCAATGAAAACCAAAAACACACAAAACGTTATCCTAAGAATTTCATTGGAAAAGTTTTACGGTATGCAAAAATGTACTGTTTTCATCTAAAATTGCAGGGTCAGTTTTCACACTAGATCAAAGGCAACCTTCATCGATGAGATTTGAAACTTTGCATGGCGCTAGTGTAAACTAGTGAGGGTTTGCGGTGACACCATGTGGAAGAATATAACTCTTTTGAGAAGATGTGTGGTTTTAAAAACGAACCGGTACTTTTCCGGGGTGCATACCTATGTTCCCCAATAACGATGTTCCCCAATACCGATGTTCAACGAAATCCTTACCCTATAACCCTAAGCCTAGCCCTAACCCTAACCCTAATCCTAAGGATTTCGGGGAACATCGGTATTGGGGAACATAGGTATTGGGGAACATCGGGTAGACCCCCTTTTCCGAACCACACATTTTCTCACGATTATTTCACCACTACCCTCACTACCCTCACTAACCTTCACAGAGTCATTCACTTTGTTAACAATTTCTTGCTTGCCGTTGCCGTAATGGGCTGAATAATTGTTCTGCTTTCAGTGTTTTCCCGTTATGTTCAGGAAAAAGTTTTATGTAATGTTTGTTTTCTTTGTGTAAAATCAATTTCGTTGTCGGTGAATACGTCGTGGTATTTAGCGTCTGTCCTCAGTCAGCTTGCAACTCGCCACAATTTGTGTCTGAGTTTCACGCCATTTCACAGGTTTTGTACAACTCTCTTGACATTGCCGCCTTACCGTTCGATTCCTCCTCCCAGTCCGTAAGCTGAAAGGACACTTCATCCGAGTCCTGACACCACGCATTCATTGTCGCCAGCCGATCATCCCCGCGCTTATCAGCCATATTGTTTCTTCCCAGGTTATACATTTCAATTCATAAACTTTGAAATCAAAGAAAAAACTCCCAAATTTGAATTCTAGGAGGAATAAAAAGTTGTGTGGCCAAAAATGCGTACATGTCCATGTGTTTTGTGTGAGGTGTTTTAGTACAAATTTTGTTACTGGTTTGCCGTTGTTTGGCAGTCGATCACGTGTGTTACGCGGCTTTCGCGGATATTTTTCAATTTGTGACGTCACAACCGAGAAATTGTCACTGAACGCGTTACGCACACTTACACACGTACGTGCGCGCAGGTCGAAAGATCTGTGCGCGTGCGCAGATGCTTGGTGACCCCCTCAGCTCAGCAAAATAATTCCTTCATGAAACTGTTTCAATACAGTGATAAAAATCAGAGCATCCTCCCAGAGGTTTAACAATTAAACGGGTATGGTTTAAATCGGATTTTTTTTTGGTTTTTCTACGCAATGTCAAAGCGCCGCGAATAGACGCGCCGCGTCTCATTTCGTCAGATTTTCGTTCTCTAATTAATGACCATGATTTTTGAAGGGCGCCACCTCTGGCTTGGCGAATGTATCTATTTAAAGATGGCGACCTCCGTGATCAAGTTCTTTTCATTTGTATTCCACACTTGAAATTCCTTGGGTTTTTTTAACATCATTTTGGGACTTAAGAAAGAGAAAAGAGTATAAACATATTGCTCGAAAGATGGTGTCTGAACTGAGATCACGTAAACTGAAATCTACCGGCGATAAAGCCTTGAATTCCGAAGGGAAAAATAGCAAAGATGAAGCGGATGCAAAATCAGCCGGCAGCAGCAGTTTCATCCACCGCCTGATTGAATGGGACAGGGCGGCCACACTGACATGCAGCATCTGTGCTTCATCCGACTCTGGCTACCTCAGATATTTCTTCCAATTCCTGGAGATATCTGGCCATGGTGTGCCGTGGATTGCAATTCCCGTCGCCCTGATGTGTTACTCTGCCGACCCGTGGCTGCTTGAACTGTTGTTGAATCTTTTGGCAGGTTAGGCACTGTTCTGGTTGCTTAGTAAGCCTGTGTAAACGACTCGATTTTTTTTTAACTGCCTGTTAATATGTAAATGATGGCAAAGAAAAGGGTAGACTTTCAAAGTTGGACTTTGGAGAAAGCATCCTCAACAGATTTCAATGTTATAATATTAACAATCCTATTCCAAAGTAGTAAAGTTACTTAATTTTCACCAGTTATTTTATTATAACATTTTGATCTTTCATATACATTTTTTTGGGTTTCATCTTGTTTATGTAAACCCAAATCTTTATAAGTTAATTTTACTTTTCTGTTTTCTTTTATCTATTAATTTTTTTTTGTCAGGTATTTTCCTAGATCTTCTCGTCAGCTTCATTCTGAAAGCAATTGTCAGGCGACACCGACCCTCCGTCAACCAGAACGACATGTTCTTTGCAGTATCAGTGGACAACAAATTCTCATTCCCCTCCGGCCACTGCACACGCGTCGGCATGCTGGCGTATTTCTTCATTGCAAACCTCAATCTCACAGTGTTCAAAATGGCACTGTATTTACTATGGACTGTAGGCATTGCTGCATCTAGACTTTGCTTAGGTCGTCATTATGTCACCGATGTTACTTGTGGGATACTCATAGGTCTTTTACAAGGAATCTTTATTCAGCATTATTGGATGCCTGTTGAAAATTTCTACTATCTGAAGACTTATTTTACTTAAATGAAAACATGGAATTTTAAATAACAGAGTATTAGCTTTTAGTAAGTGTTTTAAAAGCAAAGTACATGTACATGTATTGTAAAGATATAAGTGTGCCTAAATTGATTTGTAATTATGGGCATAGATATGCATGCTGGAATTATATGTACTGTTTTGACTTGGCTAGATGCATACAATTATCGTCTGGTTTTAGAGAAAATAGCTCTGTTAAAAGTACATATCGAAAGTCACTTCTTTTTTGATGCACAATTTATTATTATTGGTATCTTTTTGGATTTCACCACCAGGTATTGAAGAGATTAATGCATATTTGTTATTTCTATACCAGTTTTTTTTTTATGAACAATTTGTGAGACCTCTTCATCCATTACTAGAGGAATGTTGATCCACTGATGATATAGAGCGGGTGTTGTCAATTTGAATGATGATCAAAAACTGATCAGTGTGACTTGAATAATTACTAAATACACTGAAGACACAATGAAATACATGTACATTGTACATGCACTGAGTTGGAGAATGATTGTTTCCTTAGCCTCTACTATGTAATTTGTATTCAGACTTTTCAGTGAAATAAAGGACTATTTTCTCAGCACGTTGCATATACAGGTTTATGTGTTATGTTTTACTCTTTAAGGGTTGACTGAAGATGAAGTGGGGATAGAGGATTTTTTCGCCGGATGGGGGTGGGGGCTATGTTACTCTCTTATGTTAAAAAGGTTTTAACAGCCCCTTTTTTCCCTCATTGTATGAATCCCCCATAAGCAGTGTTGGATTTATTCAATAAAAAAATGAAGTGTTGGCTGTGATGATCGGCCAGCATCCCTGCGTACATTGTTTGAAATTTGAAATATATTCGAACCATTCCATAGATTTTTGGGGAGGGAGTATTTTGGCTGCATTTAAATTTTGACTCCTGAAAATTTCAATTCAAGAGAATACCAAAAATCACTTCTTACACCATTTTTTCATATCTTTGTTAAATCATGGCCATGCTTTAATCCTTTGAGATAAGCATCAGTGCATACGTGCAACCATGATGCAACTGCCAACTGATGTGGCGCACGTGATGCGCAGCACGTACGACGTAAGTTGGCGAGCTATTCTAAGTACGACACCCAGACTCCTCGTGCATTATTGTAATCCCTTTGCATCCAGGCACCTGCCATATTGTTTGCTATTAAAGCCCCATGTGGTCAAGGACTCGAGGGTGGTTTGTTGTTCTTGGTCGCTCTTGCATGCGACAAACGGTGACTTGGCACAATCGCCGTGTGACGTGACGGGAAGTTTCGACTGTCTTCTCCACTCTAGTTCTTGACTACACCGTTTGTGGTGGGTGTGTACTGACTCCTGTTGCCAGCCTTTCTACACCATTTGTCCACACAGGGTTTTTGTGTCATTCTCAATCAGTCAAGATGGTGAATCTCGGAGAAATTTTCCCCGACTTTGAGGCTGACACCAGCACGGGCAAAATCAACTTCCACGAATGGCTTGGTGTCAGGTAGGCTAAATCAGTCAATGTATTCATAATTCATTCAAACCCTACGGGCGTTCCGCCTGGCCATGGTCAGACCGTGGAAGAAGGAACACAAACTGTTTCCTTCCTCCATGGTCAGTCCATGGTCAGATAATCATGACCGTGCTGTGGTTGTCCTCGGCTCCTCAGCAGGAATGTATTTTTTACTACTACTAGTAGTACTACATGTAATTGTACAAGTTCTAAATTTGACTTTTTGGAGTTATTTTGGTACTTAATTGGTACTTACTTGTTATCCCATTGTAACCCAATTTGGGCTAAACTTAGCTGGAGTTACCCAGCCCTGAGTTTTATCATTGGGTTGTCATCTAGGGCTGGAGCGAATTTTTCTCGTAACTTGTAGTATAGGCAAAGAATTTTGGAAAATGTTCAATTTTGTCCCCGTTACACACTAATTGCAACTGCAACTCACCCCAAACTTGCCTGGAATAACCATTACACAGGTCCTTAAAGTAAAAAACGATCCACGATGAAGATTCAGCCTACAATTGCAGTGAAAACAGGAGGAATAACCGCTAACTTGACAACCTTGCTGGATTGGCCAGGACCGCAATTGGTTTGTGCACAAAAAAATTGTGTACAATGAATGGCGGTCGATTAACAGGCACAGAGAGCGATCGCGGTCAACTACTCGTTTTTGCCGGCTGCGCTGGCGTTGGCGCGTGACGTCACGCGGAAGCGTAACACCCGATGACTGTTTCATGCACTAATATAAGGTTTACCACTCGCATCACAGCTTTGGTACTGGAACCGCAACCAATAGTGCATGAAACAGTCATCGGGTGTTACGCTTCCGCGTGACGTCATGCGCCAACAGCCAGCGCAGCCGGCAAAAACGAGTAGTTGACAGCGATCGCTCTCTGTGCCTGTTAATCGACCGCCATTCATTGTACACAATTTTTTTGTGCACAAACCAATTGCGGTCCTGGCCAATCCAGCAAGGTTGTCAAGTTAGCGGTTATTCCTCCTGTTTTCACTGCAATTGTAGGCTGAATCTTCATCGTGGATCGTTTTTTACTTTAAGGACCTGTGTAATGGTTATTCCAGGCAAGTTTGGGGTGAGTTGCAGTTGCAATTAGTGTGTAACGGGGACAAAATTGAACATTTTCCAAAAAATTTTGCCTATACTACAAGTTACGAGAAAATTCGCTCCAGCCCTAATAGACAACCCAATGATAAAACTCAGGGCTGGGTAACTCCAGCTAGGCTAAACTGGGAACTTGTATAGAGGTGACGTCAACAGCCAGATGGATAAGGTGCCAAAACTAAAACTAGTAAAAGTGAAAAGGAATTTGAGGTGCGCTTTGTACAGGTGAAAGAGAAGGACAGAATTTACAGGACAATATTTAGTGTCTTACTCTTCATGTAAAGGCCAAGTACAAAAATCAGTAGTTTATCATCCGGCCTTGTTTTTAAATGAAGGAGGCACTGTTTTTTGCCCCCCCCCCCCCCCCGAGATTCTTTAATTTTCTGGAATATTTTGCTGATCATACAAAATTGTATCCAAAGGAGCCATAATCCTTTCTACAAAGCTACAATTGTGTTGGAAACAAATTGACAAATAAATGTGTAAAGTATATTGCAAATCTTTGAATTATAAAAATGTAGAAAAGGAGACCGCCGGGAAAAAGGGAAGCGGGTGGGGTCAAGAAACTGGTTAATTTTTTTCGCTTGGCCTAACATCCATGTGTGCAACAACATCATATGGGTAATCCTTACTTTTAGGACACCTCTATTTTTTACAAGTTCTGTTCAAAACTGACTTTTGCAGATGACTGTCCAGTACCAAAGTGACTTTTGCAGGCTAAAGCAGTCTTTTTTCTTTGTATAAACTCATGTTAGTTGTAGTTTTGAAAGCACTTTTGAAGAAAATGTGACTTTCCTACCTTTTTTCGCAGTCAGACGTGCATGTTGTAGTTCTTACACTCGTGAAAGCCCTACATAATGAAAGCCCGATGCTGATTGGCTGCTAATAAAATTAATTTTAAGATTCTGACTATTCCTGAATCTTTTGGTCTGGGAACCAGACTAAAAATAAATAAGATGTTTATTTTTTATCAGCCAATCAGCATCGAGCTTTCATCGAATTGAGCTTTCACGTTTGCCATCTTGGTTTTTGAGTCTGTTTTCTGGTTGTCATCGTCGTCTTTTACCCCTGAATTTCCCTCATAAATCAAAGCCCTGCCCTCTTTCCACAAAATTAAACCTGCTGATATTCAAGAAGGTGTCATTGTTCAGATGTGCCAAGAAGTATCAGAATGTCAATTTGAGTGTCATTTAGTCAACTGTTTTGGTGAGTCTTTCCCTTCCTATATAGGAACGGGGTCCTAAAAGTAAGGATTACCATAATATGCCTACCGCCTGTTTGTAAAAAAAATGAATTTGATTTGCCTATTTCCTTCTACAGTTGGGGCATCTTGTTTTCTCACCCTGCTGACTACACTCCCGTCTGCACCACAGAGTTGGGTGCAGCTGCTAACCTGGCTGGTGAATTTGCCAAGAGGAACGTCAAAATGATCGCCCTCTCCGTGGACAGTGTTGAAAGTCACCTGGGATGGATCAAGGTATGTGATTCAGATGATCGGGCGGAGAAAATGGAAGGAAACAAGTTAGGGAAGTTGGGAAGGTGAAACATGGGAAACATTTCAAAGTCCAGATATCATATTCGTAATTATTGACCTATCTTTGAGGTTATGTATGGTGAATGAAGTAGCAACAAGATATTGTCTTCTTAGTAAGAGTTTAGTTGGCATTAGATACACGCTTTTGCCTCATTTAATTAATCTATTAAAACTAAATTTGGTAACAACAATTTTGCTTTGTGATTTGTTCAATCCTGAATCCTATCCCTTTATGAACATGCAATATAGTCTACCCACACGAGATTATTGTGCCGCTTTAAAAGTTTACGAAAACAAAAGCGATTGAAGTAAATTATCTTGCCCAGGAACATCTATCATTCCATGGCAGACACATTCTTTGTGAAATAGGAACAACAAGAGACTGTACAATAGCAAGTCCAGAAAAGTTGGACTAAAACTCAGGGATTTAGGGTTATGGAAGGAAAAGGGAATCGAACACCTTTATAACAAGGTCCTTGGGACTTTACGAATTACCTTGTTATAACAGGTACCTTTTGTATTAACAGTAACGGAAAACAAAGAGAAACAAAGAAAAACTTGGGACCAGAATTTTGCTTTATAAGCAGTACCTTGTATTAACAGTGCTCTTCTTATCAGGGTTCGACTGTAATTATATGTATACACTCTACTGTAGATCCTACTTCAGAATAATATAAATGGAAGTTCCCCTCCCTCCCCCGTACTCCAAACAAGTCACCCCACCATGAATTTCAGGCATGACGTTGTTGTCTTTGTTCAAATCATCCAATAAGGCAGGTAGACGAGGTGTACATGTAATAGATTTTCAAGTTCCCGGCCGGCGGTAGTTCCGATACAATAGACTGATGCTGCAAAGTTGCAGTTTGCATGCAGTGTGTTTGTCTATTCCCTGCTGTAGGATCAGTGGGATAGCCACTTGACAAATATTCCCACCCCTGCACACAGCTCAACGACCAAGCATAACTCTCTGGGCTAGCACTCTTACGGCTTTGGCCATTGTTATGCAATCTTTTTCAACCATGTCAACTCTTTGTGCTCTAAAACTTGCATATCTTTTGAAACTATTTTTGGCACTAAATGCCAGTGGGTCACCTTGGATCTTCTCTTGTCATTTAAAGGCAATTTGACCAGGGCACAGTGTGATATATCGAATGAGAGAAAACACTGATTTTTCAAAGCCCTTCCCTGCATGGGTGTACAGTCATGTGTAAAGAGCTAGAGTGATTAAAAGAGAGTAGTGAGTTTGGAATTTTAATATAATTAAAGACTCAAATTCAGTTTTCTGCTTATTGTATGTAAACTTAATGTAAAAAAGCCAGGTTGTTTTTTTCCTTCTCTTTATTACATTGTATAAAGACACTTTTTTTTACTCCACTAGGTGAAATAATCTGGACTTTTGAAGCACTTGTAGTATGATAATTTCTGTTCACCCACCAAAATTCTCCCGATAGATATTTGAATTTTTATGCTTTTGTGCCTTCTAAAATTAGTGCCGAACCTCACCTCTATGCCATCCAATTACGCAGCCAATTTGTTACGCAAGCAGGGAAAATCACAAGGAACTCACTGAGGTTTTATCCAGGAAATTTGCCGAGCTCCCACAGTCAATTGAAGTACATGTACAAATGTAATTGAATTGAACAAAATGTCAATGGATGAATAGCCAATTACACAAGCTTGATAAGACCCAAGTGCATCATTAGCAGCTCACTGCAATAAACACAAGTATGTGTGTATAACAGTTAGCTCCCTGGATGCTTGAACCACGCTGGGTAAATGTCTGGTAAGACCTCTAAACAAGGAGGGAAAATGTGTTTCCTATGACACAGTTCTTGCGATTTGAGATGTGCCATTGCACCTCCACGCCATTGCATGCCCGAGAAGTGAGAATACTCGCACGCCTGAATCCCTCTGTACCGCACACCTCGGCTCTAGCCAAGATAAATATTATTTAATAAAATACAAGAGTTTTTATTCCCAGCTTGGACCACAGAATCACACGCTTAGAAAAAAATCACAGGCCTAGAAAAATCACACGCCTAAAAAAAATCCAGATGTGCTGCTTTCCACACGCCTGTGATTTCAAATCAGAAGGACTTATTACATTAACAAAAAAATGTGGGTGGATAAATTGTAGTTACCGGGGTTTTTTTTGGGGGGGGGTGGGGTCTTCAAAGTGGTTAAAGCCAGAAAAATAGGGTGGGATGACAGTCAATTTATTTTCGCCGGCATTTGTAACAGGTACCATGTGAATTAACTGTTCATTCTGCATTTCCCGTGCTGTGATCAAGCTTCCCTGCACGGCACAGCAAGACCGCACTGTCGACCACTTTATGAAAAAATGCATGATTTTCTAAGTTCGGATGGGAAACAGGCAACACAAGTATTTTTTGGTCGCATAAGTCGGCAAGCTCTTACAACATTTCTCCTATCTGAAGGCACTTCTGGTGACGACAGCATAATTTGAAATGTACAGTAGTGTGGGTCGGCTATCGTCACGATCAGTGCACGGACATTACCTACGCATCATGCACTCAAGGATGTTCAACCTAGGTCGCTGGTTAAATAACATCTATCCAAGGAAAACTCAAAGGATTAAGCCATCACCTGGGTGACTGGACTGTGGTTAAGAATCAAATATGAATGAAAATGAAACAAATGCAAAATAAATGGGAGCCAAGAGAGGCCACATAAAGCTTATACTCGATCGTAACCCCATCTAAAAACACGTTAAAATTGTGCAGCAGCAGGATTACAATTAAACCAGTGCGTTGGCAGTTTTAAGACACCATTTTACATTGAAAAAAAAAATAATAATTTTGCCAACCAACATGGCTACGGCGACGCGCATACCAGAAACTGGAGACTTTTTTTTTTTGGCCTAACCTTCCCAACTCCATCAAAATCCATCCCCTATTTGGAGGATTTTGGTGGGCAAGCCATGAGTAGGAGTCCAACGAAATCCATCTATAGCAGCGGTGGATTTGTGGTGGATTTCGGCGGATTTGGTCCTGAAGCATTATGTGAAGCAGAGTCAGTGATGGATTTTGCGGACTTGATCTTTTCACCTAATTAATATTATGCATTGATTAGCAAAGTTCATTTTTCTGTCGGCTAAGTTAAAAGATATTAATCTTTCTTCCTCCATTCTCCCGTCAGAAAGTACATTTCTTTTCTATTTTTTACCTCATGTGAACAGCGAAGATTCATTGGACAAAAAGGAAAATGACAACAATTTTAGGTTTGCTTTGGTGAACATTGGGATCGGTCGTGAGCGAACCCTGCTGTTTAATATTCTTCTATATTATAATTCCATTAATAACATTATTCACGGTATCGTTTTAAACATTTCTTCTACAAGATCTTCTGAACAATGTTTAATATTCTTCAATATCGTAATTTATTATTTAAATTATGCGTAATAGCATTTTAACAGTTCCACAAAATCTTCGAGAAAAAGCATTCTATTAGATAAACGAATCAAAGCAACAAGTTATTCTTGTGCATCGGATTATTTTCTCCGTGCTTCATTTATTTATTTATTTTTTTATACTTGCAAGACTAAATTTAATGTTTAATTTAATTTAATTAATTTAATTTTCTATTACTCAGTATTCAATCAGCCTTTGTAATACTTATAAGTAAGACTTGAACATGTTTCCAACCGCAAATCGGTTTTAAGCCGGAAAAGAGGCTTGTGTCTTAAATGCCAAGGTTCCTAGTAGCAAGTAAATTAGACTTGTTGTCTAACTGAAAATATACATTCCTGGCGCTCTCCGTTTTCCACCTGCCCTGTTCGGATATCAGGAATGGAGGAACGTTTGCGTTGAAGGCAGCAGATGCCCCACCTGATCTCAAGCTGTGAAGACCGTAGGTGGCAACATCGGGGACGATGGGTCGTAGAGCGTCCAGTACTATCTCGCGTGTGCGTGTATAGCTGAGTGGTTTGGTGGACGATGTAAGGCCTTTCTTGGTGGCAACAAGTCTGCGAAGCACCGGTAAGGTTGAGTTGTTGGAATCGCCTAGAGCCGAAAAATACCGTTCAGCCACGAGCACTGGGCAAGTCGGTTTGAAAGTTCTAGCGATCACGACATCTGTCCCTTGCCTAAATTGGTCAGACTTGGATTTGCAAAGGTGTATGGTAAGCCGGTCTGAAGAAATTGTACAGTCATTTCTGCTAATGTTTCTTATGTCATGGAAGCGAAGGAATCCGGCGTAGGAAATGAAACAAACAAACAGGATGCGCAGATCTGCCAGTGTTGCTGAGGAGTGACCGTGGTTGATATGCAGCTTTGTCAGAATGTCTGGTGTGATTGGGTCTTTCCGGATGGTCGGTGAAGAGTTCTGCCTTTTAAAGCCTTGCAGTGCCATCTTGACAATGCTGTTGTCTGTTGGTGAGGGTAGACCAGCCAAACTGTGCACCCATTTGACTGCTGCTGCAGCGAGTTCGGCGGTGGACTTGGATCCGGTGGATGACAGATGCGATATGTAGAGTGCAAATTGGAATGGGTTGACCGGGACCTTGGTAATCTCTGGTGTTGATGAAGCCCAGGTCTCCCACTTTGTCCATGAAGCCTTGTACTTGGTCGTGGTGGATTCGGCCTTTGCTGACATCAAGAGAGACGGCAGTGTGCTGTTTGCTAGTTCACGGAGGGATGGGTCGCGGAGGGTAGATGTATAGTTGTTTCATATTTCTGTAGGGGAAAAGTGAAAAAGACCACCCAACAGTACGGGTAACAATGACGAACAAATTCGTCTGTTTATATAAACATATGTTCCTGCAAAAATGGAACGTTAACAATTTCAAAGAGAAACATTTCTTCAGTGCCTGGATTTAAAGCGACAAATTGTGCAAATAGCCGCAAATCGGCAATTTTTTGGCAACAAATAGCCGAATCGAAGAACAAAGTCATGTTGAGTTCTGTTAGACTATTTATTGAGTTATTTATTTGTTGAAAGAAATATTTTTGATTGAGGAGTGTTATCGGTTCGATGCCGAGTGTCGGCGTAACAGGTTTTGGCCTGCTACTCGGTGGCCACGAAAAAACCCCTGTGGGGGAAACGTGGGTGCAACCCGGACCCTCGGCGGAGGTGCACTCCCCCTGAACCGATTTCCATTATTAATTGAGTTAATTTAAATGGGTTGGGAAGGGTGGGCAAGTCTGGTGTAGCAGGGTGTGTCGCTTGACCGAGAATGAATGCTTAGAACTAAAGCAGCTCTATATAAAGGAGATTAGGTGAACATTCTTGATTGCGTAACCTGACGTAAGTGCTGCAACGAGCCAATTAGCATATCGTACAAAAAAAACGAAAAGAAATTCCACTTGTTAGTTTAAAATGAAAAGGCTCTTAGCTAACTCCTATGTCATGATTTGAACTTTTAATTGTATTATTTAAACCTTGATGTAACCCTCCCCAGGGTAACGTAAAATCAGTAGGGAGCTACAGCTTAGCAACTTGGTTCAACCCTTATCTCCCAAAGAGGATTATGTTAAATTCCAATGTTGTTTTTGCTTTTCTGCAGGACATTCAGGCCAACAGCAAGCTGACTGGGGACTTCCCCTACCCCATCATTGCTGACGACCGTACGCTGGCAGTCAAATTTGGCATGCTGGACCCGGATGAGGTGAACAAGGCTGGCATGCCTCTGACAGCTCGCTGTGTAAGTCATTAACCCATACAGAACTCAACCCATCAAACCCCAACAGCATGTATTGTTGGAATCTGTAAGGATGGGTACGGTACCCCTAAACAAACAGTCTTTTACATTGGGTTGGCACACCTCCAGAAACAAAGTCAGACATACATGTATGTGTGTGCAGTTTCCAATATGGTGTTGGAATTTGCCAGGATGGGTATGGTTCCTAGTAAATCATTATAGGGAGTTAGGGTTAAGGAGTAATCAGACAGCTCATTACTACTGTCTATTCTTTGCTCACCAATGTCTTCATGACTCTGATGGGTTTAAGGCCGTGGCAGAAACAGGCTTGCAGAGCTACGGCTACATTGGAAGTTCGACTCCATCACTCCTGAACTTATCAATTTACACTGGCTTCCAATCCCACAAAGAATCAACTACAAGGTCATCATTCTTATGTTTAAAGCGTACTGGAAACAAGCTCCCGCTTACATCACGGACATGCTCCAAATTAGTTCTCAACAGAGACGACTTCGATCATCAACCTCCTGTTCACTACACTTTGTTGAGCCTAGAACCCATTGTGTCTCTTTTGCTGATTGATCATTTTGTGTATACGGCCCCAGAATCTGGATCAAACTTCCAGAATACATTAGAGATACCACCTCACTGCATACATTGAAGACACTCCTGAAAGCTCACCTGTTTCAGGAGGTGTACCATCAATAATTTTTCTTCTCTTTGGTGCCCCATCAGCGCCTTAGAGTAAACTTTTTGATTTTGGTGCTTTATAAATTTCTTTTGATGGATTGATTGATTGATTGTCTAAATCTTTCCATGTAGTGTACTTGTCAAAGACCTAGACACTAACCCTAGACAGGAGATTTTTTTTAAAGTCAGATCCTAATGAAGAGAAGGTTGACTTGGGAAAGGTTGTAACAGGCCCTTCAAGAGTTAAAAATAAAATTGCTCGTTCAGTAATAGCTCTCTCATTTTTTTCGATTGCATTTGTTAGGTGTTCATCATCGGGCCCGACAAGAAACTCAAGCTGTCCATTTTGTATCCGGCAACCACCGGCCGCAACTTTGAGTAAGTGTGACCAAAAATGCAATAAAAGAAACAACTTGTTGGCCATCCGGGGTCAAATTTGGGGGAAGCATATTGACATTTTTTTTTTTTGGTGTTCAGGGTTGTTGCTTCACAAACTTTTGATCAGCTGGATATCAATTAATGACAAATGCTGACCTCATTTCATTTTTTCCCCGCAGTGAGATTCTACGTGTCATAGATTCCCTACAACTGACCGCTACCAAGAAAGTGGCGACACCAGTCAACTGGAAGGTAAGATGACCCCTAGATATATATGTAATGTCCATGGGCATCGGGGGGGGGGGGGGGGGGGGGGCTTTGGGTGCTTGCCCCCCTGGACAAGCAAAAAAAAAGGAGAAAAAAAGGGAAAAAATAAATTAAACAAGGCGCAAAATCATATTGTTTTTAATTTAATGGGGGGGGGGGGAAATATCCGTGCCCACCCTTGAAAAAATGATCAATCGGGAAAATGCTGGAAAGTATAGGGATTTTTTTTGGGGGGGGGGGGAATTGGCTTTGCCCCGCTCTAGAAAAAAATCCTGGCAACGCCCATGGTTTTGTCCGTTGCTAAAGTAACAATATCTAACAAGTTTATAAAATATTTCAAAATTGCTCCCAAAGACATAAAAAAACACCCAAAAAAATTAATCACATGACAAATCTTGAATCTACTTGTGATTAAAAAAGGAGGTTAAAAAGGAAATGGGATTGGATTTTTTTGTTCAATATCAAATAGAGTACAGCACAGCATGAGGGAGTTCTTTAAATTATTTTCTCCACAATGGGAAACCAATCTCTACGTATTTGAGAGACAAAATAAAAACTGCATTTGTAACCTACAGTCAAATGACTTGATTTTGTTCTCATCATTTTTTTGTTATCAATCTTTGCAGCAAGGAGGAGACTGCATGGTGTTACCCTCCGTCCAGCAAGAGGACATTCCAAAACTCTTCCCCAAGGGGGTGACAATGAAACCTGTCCCCTCCAACAAGAAGTACCTCCGAATCACCCCTCAGCCAGAGTGAAATGGCCCACCTAGTGAAGACAGGGTTCATTGTGTACTGCAAGTGTGTGGGTTCACCTCATTGTATGTTGAGAGGGATGACCTTCCACCAGATCTTACAAATAATGCTCCGATGTACACATGTAACATGTAATCATAATCTAGTTACTCATATAGCATCAACAACTTTGATTATATTTCATCTTTGGCTTTTATTGATATAGTTTATTATGCTTTATCCAGACCAGAACTGTTGAATCGCTAACTAGAAAATATTTTTCTACATGTGTATTTTTGTAAATCAAGCAATACAGCTCATTTTCAGCTGGTATTATTTCAATAAATTTGCATAGCAAGCGAGTCGCATTATTTTTATAGTCTGTTCTATAGGGCATTCTGCTGGTTCTTCAAGAAGTTGATTTCCTATTCAATTTTCCCTTTTCGGCGACATGTCAAAAAAGAGGAATACATGTATATTTGAGGGTTCTGCTCCGTTGAGACGAATATAACTTCAAGGCTCCATATTTCCTGTCACAGTGGTTCATTCAATCTAACAAGCCATATTTTTGTTTAAAGGGAATGCACATCATTGGCTTTTGCTGTAATTTTCAGAAATGAACTACATTTGAGGGGTTGGTATAATAGGTCAAATATTGTTTTACACTGACATGTTTGAATTTTTGTGTTCGAAAATGCTGGAAAAACCAAGAAAAAACAAAAATGTTCAAGTAGTCTGGTTCCCTGACTCCACTAAGGATAAAATCGATCAATTTATAGATGCCAGAAAATTGTAAGGTAAGGGAACCAGTAGCTGGCCTGTACCCATTCATGAACATCTAACCAATAGCAAACAAAATTTGGACTGAAAAACAAAATGGTTAATTAGGAGCAGTAGTTGAAAAATAGTTAGGTTTTTCCAACGGTGGTCGGCCGCCCACTGTTGGAAATGTATACAAAATACCATTTTCTTGAAAACGACTTCACACCATGTGCCATAATTTTACAGGATGCTTTAGACTGTCATTTACCAACATCCTAGTAAGGTATTTCGTAAAAACTTGGTAGTTTTATTTTTCGATGTTTGCAAATGTTGTATATTCCCTTTAACTCCCAATCCTTAATTTTTTAAATGGTGGTGGAATTTGTTTATGCATTTATATCTTTTGCACTGTGTGCTATGGTAGCAGCTTGTTTTTCTTCTCTGATAAAAAAGTGTCATAATTCTTTAGTTGAAACTTAATTGATTGGATTGTATTGCTATTGTAGGTCTATGGACATAATTATTTTGATGTAAAAATGCATCTTTTGCTTGTTTGTTGTGAGATTAATAAACAAAACAAAAAGATTGTATTTCACAGTCACTCGATTTATTTCATCTGTACAACCACACCACACATAAATAAATAAAAATTTGTGAAAGTTCTACTATCTGAATGTATCCTAATCCATGATTCCCACATTAACAAAATTGTACAGTGAGTTTTTTTGTGCTCCACTGTATAGTGAACACATGTATGGGGGAGTCAGAAAAATGGGAATCCAAATGTCGGCGCCATTTTTTTAATGAAGGAAAAAACAAAAAGTTTAGTGTTATTTCAGCAAAACGAAAACAATTCAGATTAACATGATGTTTGTGTTTAGCATTCCGTAACTTGAAAAGCGCACGGTATTAATTGGGCTTTCATGCCCTAGATTTTGAAAGTGCTACAAGCATAACTTCAGTAAATAACTGGTCCTGCCATTTGGGTTTCCTTTTTGACTTGCCCTGAATGCCAATGTAAACTGAACACCCAATAATTTTAAATCTCGAATTTGGGTTTTCATGATTTTAAGTTTCTCGAACCCCCCCCCCCCCCCCCTCCACCCCCGTTTGTATCCCACTCATTTCAGCTCCTCGGTGTCTCAAGTTCTACCCAAAGTAAGGTATGATTTAACTTCCTGGCATGCCATACAAATCTGCAGCTTATAAAGTCCCCCCCCCCCTTCTACTTTCAAGAGCTTTCTGTGGCTTCATAATTCCGGGTCCAACTTCGAATGTTTGTGGGCTCGCCATACAACGTATTTATCAAAATAGAAGTATGTGTCGATCATCTCCGCACCTGTAATAAAAGAAATGAAAGATTGAAAAAATAGTCCATTTGCAGCATAATTTCGTAATAATTATATATGACGACGAAACATATGAACTAAATATTTTTTTTTCAAAATGGAAGACACAGACGGGGTGAAACGGCCAGTAAGGTAGGGAGATAAAGACTATGAAAAATAATTTCACATAAAATGACATTTCTATGAGTTCCATGACATTCATTAATGTGGTTATTCAGGGCTGTTATAAAGACTTTTTTGTCGAATCAAGTCGAGCTAAAATGTCTACATCACTCGTTCTGTATTTTTATGTCTCGAGCACGGCAAACCTCTTTACGACAAAGATATAATGTAATATTTATGCAACAAAGCCATGATATAATATGATTGCAACAAAGCCATGATATAATACAATATTTATGCAACAAAGCCATGATATACACAATTATATGATAGAGCTGTAATACACAACAGATCTACATGATGAACAACTTAACTAAAGTGTAGTAAAGGATTAATTATCTTTATCGAATACTGGTCAAAGTCTAAATTCTTATCATATTAATAGGTTTAAGGAGCTGATAGTTAAAGTTATTCAATTCTATATTCATGTATTGCACAGACATATCGATTCTGAACTGTCTACAGCTAACCTAACGGTTAGGTAAATACTTTACAGCGCATCTTGTTTTGTCAGAAAAGCAAATGTTACAAAATCTGCTTTATTCTAAAACGCTGTTTTGGGGTTGTTTATCTTAAAAATCTGGAGTATTATATCGATACTTCGATTGTTCCAAGAAAAACATTTCCTAAGTCAATGTTAAAAACTCAGGCAACTCTGTTTTTTAGCATTTGAGGGTCACACATGATGCAAACTCATTATGAAACGAAATTCATTCACTGCGATATAATCAAACTTTCAATTTGCTAGCATTTGTTCTTACTTTTTCCCCGTGAGAGAGTTTACGTGCACAATGACCAGAGCACTTCTCTGTGTACATGTATATTAACTTACCAGCTTCAGAAAGCTCAAGCGGAGCTTCAAAACGCACCTGGTTAGGTTTCATCAAATCCTTGAGGTGATTAAAAAGCTGGAGGGATAATTGAAAAGTACAGCACAGTTAATTTATTTCACTTATTATAAGGTACGTGCACTTTAATAATTCATTGTACGTGTACACACTGTGTACCTAACTTTGGTACGCACATTATATGCGTACGCGTGTATCTGGTACCCTGCCCCTTTTGTATCCTATACAATGTGCATGTACCCTATACAATGTGCATGTACCCTCCAGAAGAAAACAACGGTTTAGTCTGATAAGCAGCGATTTGTCGATTACAACTTTTGAAAACAAGATGCACACTGCGCATAAAGTCATGACTTTGTCCATTTTTTCAGCTATTTTAAACTACAATTTTGCAATGTGTGATGATATACCAAATACAAAGACTTTCGTGGACGTCATTTTAGTGGCGGGAAATCAATGATTGTTCGTCATGACCACGTGCACAATACGAAGAACTTCCGTCTTGCAATGCTACCTTGTGTTAACGCATCGATTGTCGACACCACAACCGGTCCGGCAGTATCGAACTTCTGTACGCGACGTCTGCTTTTAGTTACCATGGAGACAAATGGCGTCAATCGTACAGGGTAAGTCAAGTTTTACAATTGTACATTCAGGTCTTTTCAATACTTCTTTTCAAGTGAAATTTAACACTAAAACTGTTGATCGGGGTTTGACAGTGCGAAAACATCACGCCATATGAGTAGAGGCGCTGTTTCCGAGTTCTCATAGTTAGAACAGAGTCAGTCATTTTTATTACCAGCGCTATCATTTTGTACAGGAATGTTTATTGGTGATATCGTGCTTTACATTATACATATACTACTGTGTGGATATCTTCCCGTGACATTTTTCATGATCTGTTATGCCATACGAACCTCCTGTCCTTTGTCGTTTCCAAGGACGTTACAGCCCATGACGTGAACGACGGACTTATGTGCCTCTATCTTGGTCACATACTTGCCCAGTTCCTTGAAGAACCTGTTGACGAAAACAAAAGAAGAAAAATCACGTGGCAACAATGGTCTTTTGCATATATACATGTACGTGTATTCAAATTTGGTGGGCTTCACAGAAGTAATTTTTATGCCAGTCTGCTCTCAGTAATTATGTGTACATTGTACATGTATTGCTAACTGAAAGCCGCAGACTTGATTGACGAAGAATTTTCCAGATGTCCTACCTGACTTGGTCCTGTTCGCTTTCCTTCTTTAGTTTGGCAACTGTCACCACCTTGCCTCTCCGAAGATACAAATATCCAGGCCCGCCCTGCCCCGAGTACAAAAGAAAACGTAACGACAAAAAATATGAATAAAATGGTCATCATTTTTCGATCATTCGATTCATTCATCGCCATTATAATTTCAGAAATCCGGTAGCTTTGGAGGTTCCCTTTTTAAAATAAGGCTGTATTTATATAGCGCCTTTTGCCAGAGGATACAAAGCGCTGGGGGAGAATGCAACCAAAGACAGGTAAATGAAGTATAATGAACATAAATTATGAGACCCACTATGTAGCACCTTTTTGCTAGGTGCTGCGGCGTATTATTGCTGCCACTGCCAGAAACACCGGGGCAAACCCATTCTCTTAGCGACAAGTCTTACTGGGTTCTTTAACGTGCATTACACAACACACGGGACCTACGACTTTACATCCCATCCGAAGGACGAAGCAATAATGGTAAAGTGCCTTGCTCAAGAGCACAAGCACCATGTTCCCACGTAGGCCCTAATTACAAACGAATATTACCTGGCAGTATAGACAGATGGAACGCGCCTTACAGCCTTCTTTGAAGGCCTGAAGATTCACTTTGATGTTCTCTGCAAAGAAATGTTACCCATTATAAAACATAAATATAAAATGTTATAAAAGTAATATAAATGTACTATACGTGAAAATAACATGATCATCCATAGCACAAAAATGGTGTTTAATTTTCCAAAAGGCACTCACCAAGTAAAACATCATAGGTATCTTTGTTGAAATCCTGCGGATGTAATCAAATATAATGTTAATTTTGTTGTATAGTTTGTGAATGATAAAATAAATGTTAGGGATATTTCTTTGGCATATCTTTTTTTCTCAGCCAATGGCGTTTATTGTCAACCATGTCAACAACTGTTTACTTACGTAGACGAATATCAGCACGTCTTTTCTGACTATCTTGGCAAGAAGTTCTCCTTTCGGTACCTTGGACGAAACCAACTGAAAGTGAAAGAGTTTTCGTTAATTTAATCGCTTTTATTGATTATGATCGGACATAGCATGTGGAAAATATTAGATGGAAATTATCGCTTTTGCAATTCATAATCTTCCCAAAAGTGAAAAAGTGCATGGAAACCTTTCATGTCCTGATACAAGTGTAACTTCTATATAAGAAGGAGTTTTGAAGCTTACAACTATCCTTGGTCCGACAAACTCCGATCCACATATCGCCCTCTCTAGCTGCTGTTCCGCGTACCATTTCAGCTCTGTGATTTCGTCTTGGAACGCCAAGAAATCCTCTTTGGTCTTCTGGCCTAAAAAAATCAATTTGGTAAAAACGGAAGGGAATTAACACAAATTAACGATAGTTTTTTTTTTTTTTATAGTTTTTTCCAGATAATGAGTGTTAAAATGTTCTGTCATAATTAATTGAAAACATAGTAACCGATTTTAAATGCAGGGTCAAAAGTGTGACTTACGTTAGATTTATTAATGGTAGGAGTTTTGTTTAAGCAATATCCTCAATAGAAAAGAATGACATGCTTACCAACACCAACCAGATGTTGCTTGGTTATAGCTTTCGATTTGGAATCCTTCGCTTTGCTGAGTCTGGAGTCTGGTCTCGCGTCGGGAACTGTCAAACGAAAGAAAAAACAAGAAGAAGTATGTTATATTATGTACACACTGCAGTTATAGGAAGTTTATTACTTTCTGACTGGAATCGGAAAGATCGAGCACCGCCCCGCCCCCCCCCCCCCTTTGCGAGTAGATACTGCATGGTCAAATCCTTGCCGAGATATTGTTCCCCGGATGAAAACCTCTCCATCCAATTGATCTCAATAAAATGACAGGCTATGACTTCTCTGTGAACAAAGAGAACGGTTGATCGCTTAATATTGATACTGATTCGACAACAGAGACCTTCCGTCGTGCTTCATTTAACCAAGATTTCATCTTTTTCCCGCGTGTTTGGCCTACCCTTTTGTTCTTCGGTGAGAGGCTGTAGTGATTGCGGTGTCGTAGGCGCTGCTTCGGGCTCTGGTGATGGCGAATCCTGCACGTCTTGCGCAAGGGACTTCTTGACCGATGAGTGGCGCCGGTAAATTCTGCATACATGTAATTCATATTTATAAGTATGCAAAAATTAGACCTTTTCGATCTTCCTTCGCTTCTTCCTTTTCTTCTTTTCTCAAAACTTCACCCATCCCCAAATGTCCTTGATAATAAAAGTATATGTATATACTATGTATGTGTACAGCCAGCAAATTAATTTGTTTCGCAGTCATTTTGGTAAATATAATTCAGTTAAGTGGCGTATCCAGCAGGGGAGAGGGCCAATGAGGGCGCGCTGAACGTTTTTGTTATATTTTCTAAAGATGGTTTGAAGACGGTGCACAAGTCGATACAGTAAAGTCTTAATTGTCCCCCCCCCCTCCACATAAAAAGCTGGATATATATATACGCTGCTGATTCAGTTCCTTCACGCAGTTCCCCTGCATTGTCTCTCGAAGTTAACCAAGTTTCTCGTGATCTTCTTTAAGTTGACTAACCTCTGTATCTTGATGGCCATTTCTGTCTCCTGCCTCCGTAGCTTCCTCTCCTTGTATCCGCGGAACGTACTGTAAAGATAAACCCCCAAGTCAGTCCCCTGAGCACTCATCTTAACCTTCTTTAAAGACGACTTGCTGGTTAGAAGAGAGTTGTGGCGCCATTTGTCATTATCAATTTCGAGTTGATTTCCGATTTCGTTTTTTGGTTTGCCTCTCTCAAATTAAAAGCCTGCTGTGATTCAAATACGTTTCCTGATACACTGAAGAAATCATCTGTCTCTTTTGCCTTGAGGTGTACATGTATCGGCGTCAATAGACCTACATCTGACAACAGCATCAACACCTGATGCGTGGTTTTAATCAAAATGTGTCCCGTTTATGTACTTCATATAATAGCACTTTTCCACGAAAATCTATGCTCTGCACTTCGTTCAACTTGCAGCCTTCAAAACAATTTGGGCACAAAAACGGCAGTCAATAAGCTTATCTGAAAACGTAGCAACAGGTTTTTCCCTCATTTTGTTCAGTGGCGGACGATATCATTTTGCTTCTTTTTTAATGGACTTGTTGAATATTCTGCGATAATCCCGCGCCATATTATGTATTTCCACCTTCTTTAAAGATCTCCATGACTTACAGCGTCATAGCTCTTTCGAAACTAGCACCCGTGATGGGTTTGTTTCGACCCCTCCCACTTTAACCTCATCTTTGGTTTTTACCTTTGTATTTTGGTGGAGGCGTGGCTCAGCATCAGTTCGTCTTCTGTATCATTATCGACAGCGCCCTCTCCCGTCTCTGGTTGCGCTGAAGTGATAACGCCATTGGTTTGAAGTGGTTCCTCTAGTGTGAGCATAAAATTGCAACAAGTGAAACAACGCTTTATGATCATGACAATTACATTGGATCTTCAGGACGATTAATTTTCAGTTTTTGGTAGCTTGGTGGTTCTTGTATTCATAGTACCTCTTGGTTGAATTAAAATAATTTCACTCATAAACTCAAAAATATTGATGATGCCACAAACATTATGATTATACATGCAGGGGCGGCGGAACCGGAGGGGGGGGGGCAGGGGTGGGTACTTGCCGCCGGATTTTCCCAGGCCAACAAAAGTCCCCCGCTCGCGGTTGTAAATGTGCCCCCCTCGAGATGAAAACAAAACTGCCCCTCAAACGCACACGTATGAAAGCAGCATGATCCGCGCTACAAATAAATAATTGCCTCCTCTCTTGTAATGCAAAACTGCCCCTCAAAAACACAAGTACATTGTACTCCTCTCGCTTTAACAAGATTTTGCACCTTCACGAGATGGAAAACTATCCCTCGAAAGCACAAATACCCCTCTCGCAATTATAAAATTGTGCCCCCTCGGGCCCCTCGAGATGGAAAATTGGCCATCCAAAACAATAGTGCTCCTTTCGCGACTGCGCGCCCCTCGAAAGGGTGCGCCGCTCGCAACATTAAAATTGTGCCCTCTCTCAAGATGGAAAACTGGCCCCTAAAAAATTAATAGCTCTTCACGGGAATAAAATTGTTACTGAACTGGCCATCAAAAGCAACAGTGCCCTCTCGCGATAATAAAATATGGTCTCTCTACATAACTGGTAAAAGAAACACAAAGAGCAAGATGGACAACGTATTCATAATTTGTTCCTCTTCATATAGGTTAATAGCGAAATGAACGGGACCATATTCTTTTCCTCCATGCACTTTCACACCGACGGAAGATGCCCCTTTTTCTGAGCAAGTGCCCCTTTTTGGTGTCCCGCCCCCCCCCCTTTGGCAAAGCATTCCCCCGCCCCTGTGTAGGCCTATACATGTATAGGCATATGCACGAACATGTTAACTTCTTATTTTTTAGAATCGAGGTATTGTGAAGGAACGTGATCAAACCACGTACTTATTAGGATGTATTTGGAGCGGGGTTCCCAGTATCCGTGTCCCCTTTCCACAGTGATCATCCATCCACTGGTCATAGGATAATACTGTAGCCATGGTATGGACGTTAATGACATACGAAAATCGATATGTAGGCTTACATAATGTATTTAGAGACCAGTGTAAATATACATGCCTACCGTACAACCCTCCAATTTGCACGAATGATTATTGGAGTTGTGATGATCCCTGGGCTATACTTTCAAAAGTAAATGCAATCCCTGCAGATGCGAGCGTTTGAACACTTAAAGATTTTGGACGATACATGTACACATGTACCTTGAAACCGCTTCGAAAGATCATTAAAACAAATATCCTACTTTCTGGGTACAGCTAAGATAAGAAAATTACTTTCAACACACAATGTGATGCTAACACAAGGGCCGATTCAAATTGATTGGGGTGGCTAACCAGCAACTCCCACCCCCCTTACCGGCTGACCAATGTTAGTTGGTAAACAGTGATGGGAAAATCCCAAAACACGTTATCATCCAATATAACACAATCTCGATGCATTGCGTTAACCCTAAAAGGGCCCGGGGGCAGAATCCGCCCCTCAACTTTTTCCGCCATACCCTTGCAGAAAATCTTTTTCCCGACCCGAGCTTTCCTGACTTTTAGCTTCAAGTCTTGCGCATTTTTTTTGATACCAAAACTATAAAATTCCGACGATGGGTTGCCGCGCAGATTATGTTGTGTACACAAAGCAGAATTACCATCGGTGTATATGAATAATTAATTAGCCATAATTCCAAAACCCTTTAACCTAGTCACGAAATTTCTTGTGTATGTTCATATTAAGTTGTTCTTTACATATACGATGTTTCATAATTTTTCGTCACTCCATGGCCGAGATCTGGGGAGGGGGGGGGGGGGGGGAATCCGCCCCCGGCTGTGAGATGGTCCAAATAACCCGGCCCTTTTAGGGTTAAGGCCTTCGGTCATTTTATGTGTTGACTGCAACAGAACGCCGCATCTCCCTCCCCCCCCCCCCCAAATAATTTCTTTTACAACCCCAGCCATCCCCAGTTGAAAATCCTGAACATTCTGGATCCGCCATCGTAAAACGTGTCGTGCTCATCAAAGATTCGTTTTCTTGTAACAATGGCATTTTTTATTGCTGATAAACTCCCATTTTTAAAGTCTGTCTCAATGTCTGTATATACCTGTACGATTAGCCACTCCATCTGTCGTCTTTGCCAAGTCTCCATTGCTTCGCTGTCGCTTCTCAGCTGCTCTGTTTGCAGCATCGTCGAAGGCGAAAGTTGCGCTAGAAATAATACGATAAGACATACACACTTTGCATATAATATGAGGTATTAAAACTAAAAAATTTTTTAATCAAAATCATCATTTACACACGTTAGTTGATGTATTTTTCTGTACATTCGAACAAAAACACTCAGATCATAGCTCAAATTAACTTGCAACAGTGTGTTTGCATTATTTGTTTTAATTATAAAACAGCTAGGGCCATCATTGAGCGTCGCTCTCCACCCACGGAAACATTATTAAATTGCCTAAACATTTTGGCAATTGCCTGATGTGCTTGAACAGTCATTACGTAATATGCAATTAAATTTAAATTACTGGGTCGTATCATTCCATGTTATTGTTGGGTTGCTAATAATTACTCACACGTACAGGGCGTCTATCTCTTCGGTATATTAAGACGAATTAAATACCGAACAATGTGTTCAATACAGTACATGTAGCGAGAAGCAGTTGAGAAAGAGGAGTTTTTCAACCTCAGGTTGTGCTGGATATTTCAGGTACTGAGGTGATTTGGGATCATTTTCTCAAATATTTTCCCCTTAAACTGCGTGAAATACTTACGTCATCACATTGGAGACCTTTTGGTTGCTCTTGTTTTTCGATGGAGAAGATCCCATTGCAACCGTGTCTTGAATCCAAATGTTGCAAATCGTCTGTTCTATACCTAAAGGTTTGTTGAATCAAACATTTCCAGATTCCACTCTTTACGAAATATTCATGTGCCTAATTGAAGTTATGGAGGTAGACATTATTCTCATTGGTTGAAATCAATCATTCATGATGGCGATCACATACCTTAATTTGATAATATAGCAAGACAACTTGTTTGAACATCAAACGGAGATAAAAAGGCGGCAAGTATGCAGTTGCAGAGGTGCTTTCTGTTACTGTGAAACGGAGTTTAAGAAGCTCTTGAGATTTATTCGACTGATCCGATTTAAGACGATCTATACACTCGACGCGTCCAAGCGAAGAAGAAGGTTTTATTTTGGTCTATCAGTCCATCTATGTTTAGTGCAAACTGAATCCTGTCAATTGCAGGTGCACTGTATCTCCTTGAGCAAGGGTTTGGTCTCGGCTGTTCAGTAAATCCACGGGGAAGTTTCTACAACACATCCGATAGTAGTTGTTGGTGGTAGTTGATTAGGTAGTCGAGGGAGGAACAGCTTTAACAACTGCCACAACTTTCTGTCATCAACTGGAACACTTCACATATATAACTCCTTGTCTTAATCACATCGAAACTCCCAAAGAGCCTAAGTTGGTTCACTGCCCATATTATGGTACCAGGGTTATTCTGTTCGGGCTTAACTGGTCACTTGCAGAAATGTCCACTCATCTTAATGATAGTCACCATCGTACACGTCCATTTACAGTATAGAATCACCCAACTGCAGTCAGTCGATGAAATGTTATTGTAGAAATCTTACAACAGAGCAAAGACTGACCGCGCGGACCACAGCGTGCACGTTGCCATGTGACTAAACCGACTCGTATTTCGTTGTGTGTACGAGTATTAACCTTCCTTCATCGCCTCATGGTCGCTGGCCATTCTTCTTTCAAAGAATGGACGAAGAGGTCTTTTGTTAATGTTGCACAGCATTCTGGGGATTATATAGAAAGCCGATAACCAATGCTTGGAACGGTAATTCTATTATAATCGATGACGATGAAGGCAAACAAGATACAAAAACTTTTCGCCGCAAAGTTAATCCTTTTAGAGACTTAAATACATAATAACATTATTTGAAAAACCACTGGAAATGAACAAAGTAAATGTATCATCATGGTAAAAACTATTTTGTATTTATTTCAGAAAAAGGGAAAGAATTCTTTGTTCCAAATATTTGTTGGGGATACTAAAAAGTCTTTCTAAAGATTTACAAAAATAAACATGGATATGTTTACTTTGTCTATAGATGTTTCAAGCATGAGTTTTTTTAATGGATAAAACGATTCAGCAATCATGAATATTACTTCTAAAACATAAATATCTTCAATTTACAAGGCTGATACAGTCAACTCCAGCATTTTCAATCATTATCCACAATTTTGCAGTTTGGAATTTCCTACAATGCCGCTGGGGAACCCTCACATTTGAAAAAGCCGCAGAGAGAAGTTGAGGTCACTAAAAACTGACTAAATTCTGCATTAAAGGACCTCAAATACCCACATTTAGTTCAGTTGTAAGAACCTTGAGCTCCACTCCTCTACATTGAGTAGGTAACAGTAACTATTTTCAACCCTGTTAACATAAAGTACAGGTAAACATTTATTTTGAAAACTATTATTTTTTTAAGATGGAATTTTTGCGCCGGGGTGATATAAATCAAATTAGGTTTTGCCCTTCACCGACGTTTTAAACACTGTATACCCAGTGTGTTACCTCCCGAGTGAAAGTTGGAAAAAATCACTCGGGTGGGACTCGAACCCACGACCTCCTGCTTTCTAGTGCAGATGTCTTACCACTCGACCACCGAGCTAACGGGATCAGTTGGCCGGTTCGAATCTGATGTACATAGCAGCGGGTACCGCATAAACTATTATAAGATGGAATTTTTGCGCCGGGGTGATATAAATCAAATTAGGTTTTGCCCTTCACCGACGTTTTAAACACTGTATACCCAGTGTGTTACCTCCCGAGTGAAAGTTGGAAAAAATCACTCGGGTGGGACTCGAACCCACGACCGGGAGGTAACACACTGGGTATACAGTGTTTAAAACGTCGGTGAAGGGCAAAACCTAATTTGATATTATTTTTTTTTTAAAGATGGCATGGGGATGGAAGACCAAATGTATGCTTGCATTTTCTTGACATTTCATTAGATCCAAGGGGCTTATTAATTTTGTCAAAATCGATGATTCCAAATTTAAAACAATCACGTGCCGTCTCAAAGCATGCTTTCAAAATACAATATTAATTTCTATGTTTATTGTTGTCAGCTATTCAGATCCACATTGACGGATGCCAAGGAGTCTCGTAGCCATGTAGGATAGTCTCCAGCTGGGTAGACGGTCTTCATGTAATCCTTAATGAATGCCGGGTACCGGTCATCTATGATCGCTTGCCTTATATCCCTCATCAGGTCCATCTGAAAAGACAATCAGTTGTTAAGTCTCTGATAATACCAGTACACTGTATAGCACACACTACGGCTGGCAGGACTTGAACCCTTGACTTCTGTAATGCAGATCCAGTGCTCACCTAACTTATCTCTCACCTACATGACAGATTAGGAAATCACAACAGTGATTAAGAAAATACTCTGCCAGGACTCAACTCCAGAACTCTGTTTTGCAAGTCCAGTGTTTTACCATCCCGACAATCCAGCCAAATCAATAAAGAAAAATGCTATGGTTGGACTTTCACCTAAGACTTCTGTACTGCAATTCCAGTGCTCTACTAACAATACAGTAGACTGATATAAAAAGCCAATTACCTTTGCTGAGTTGAGCTACCTAAAGGTAATTACAAAGACATGAGTATGACTGTTATCTACAATGTACCTGGAATTTGAGGTTGTGCACACTGATGAGCTGACAAGCGACACTCTCACGGCCAGCTATGGTGTTGAGGTAGGCTCGTGTGTGTTGTTTACAGGTAGAACAGTCACAGTTCTCATCTATCGGCCGGAAGTCTTTGGCATACTGCTTCTGGTTCAAGTGCAGCTGGCCAGTCTTGACAAGCGCCGAACCAAAACGCTGTGGGGATAAAATAGAACAATATCAAATTGACCTTAAATATTCTTGAAATGTCAGATATTTTAATTAAGTTGACGTACCATTTGCCCTGAAATAAAGACATTGATTAGCAATATTGAGCATGGAATCTATGATCAATACAATAGGTGCTATTTGTTTATTTTTCAACTTATATGTATTGTATATACATGCAGTTTATGATTTCTAAAGATTTGCAAGCATAAGCCTCCAATTAGGAAGTCTAGACAGACCTATCAATGAAAAGGCTACTCCTAAGGCATTACATTTGTGAATATAATATGAAGCTATTTGTCCGTAGCTTTGCCATATGTGGGAAGAAACGGACCTAATGACCCACTGGAGATTATCCACTGTTGTCAGGGGATTAAAGGCGTTTACTGAGGTTGATTAGCTCTTAATGCAGCTTTCAGGCCACTCATTTTAAATCCCTTTCTGGGAGCAGTTATGTGTATTATATGGTCCGTGTTAACAAATTACAAAGTTTTAACCCCACGTCTTCCAAACATTGTTTAGTTGCCAAGGGAAGGTATCATATTTTGAATGTACTTGTTTGTTGGGGTGTTTGTTTGTTTGTTGGGGGTGTTGGTTTGTTTGTTTGTTGGGGTGTTGGGGTTTTTTTTTGGGGGGGGGGCAGAAATTGTGGTTTTATGTGCACTTTGGAATACTTACAGCGGTTCTTGTTGGGAACACACAGTCATACATATCTACACCCAGTGCACAGCACACAACTAGATCCACTGCATATCTGAAATATAAAACGGAAAACAAATTTCTAACTACAAATATAATTTGTTTTTGAAAGGTGTTCCTGATCGATTTGGGACAGAAAAATTAGTTTCAATGTTGGCATAAAGGAAGGGGTATGGGTTTCGTTAAAGTGGATCAGAGAGGGAGGGTTTTTGGGGTAATATCGTCTAGTGCACCACAAAGTGATGGATCGTCACATGATCGTCACATGATCGTCTATGGACTTTGGGCACACGATATGTCACACTTTGTGGTGCGACTGAGGATATGTATCATATATATATTTTGCATGGGGACATCAGTGTCATTTTTTTAGAACCTTGTTTAAATACACATACACATTGTATTGCCAGTTTCTGTTGATCAGGAAAGTTTGTTTTACTCCAAAATCCAATGTCGCAATTTCCTTTTCCCTTTCTTCTCCCAGTGGGTTCCTCACTACAACGTTCAGTAAGCACCCAATTTTTGACTTGTCTTTGAAACGTGTTACAAATAAAATTTGGAATTTACTACAAGGGGAGGAAGGGAGATATTTACCCAACTCCCATGCAGTATCGTGGTTTTTCTCTGGGCAGTATGTCTGTTGACAACGTCACCATCTTCCAGAAATAATCCTTCTCCTCCCCTCCACTCAAGCCACCAATGGCGTAACCAGGAGTGTCTCTTTTCACCATTTCTTAAAGAAAACAAAATCTTTAGTTAGAAAAAAGACCATTTTGCAGACAAATACAAATATGAGTAAAGGAAGATCGAGCTAATGATAATTATAACACCATCACAACATATGACTGTGTCTATAAAGATCTGACAACCTATAGTACCGCCTATAGTACCTTTTGCACAAATGGTCCGTAGTCTGGTGTCCAGACCCCCCTGTATAATTGCAAACAAATTCTGTTCACGAGGTCGCTTTTGGGCAGCTATGCACCTGTCCAACCAACGTATTGACCTGGGCATGGTAATCAAAACAAACATCTTGAACCAATTCAATAAAAGAATGAAATATAATCAAAATAGAAAACATATCAACTCTAAAAAATTCATTAGCATTAGCAAATTGATGACAATGACGCTGAACAATGATTAGTCAATCCCCAAATAACGAACAATTTAAATGAATTTTCATTCACCCGACATATTACATATTCACATATAAACACACACACACAAGTTATTTGAACCCAAATGTGACTTTCAAAAGCACTTTAATATTACTTTTAGACTTGTCACCTTACAACAGGTGTGCCTAACCTGTACATTGCTTCTTCCACCCGTGGTCCAGTCGTCAGACTGTGCACCACATCATCAAGCTGCATGATGATATCAGCGCCAATGTTTGCCTGGATCTCAACAGACTTCTCTGGTGTCAAGAGCATCTCTTCCTTGGTGTAGGGTGACTGAAACTTCACTCCTTCCTCTGTAATTTCAGCCAATTCAAGAAGTGAGACCATCTGGAATCCTCCACTATCCTATGCCAAGGAGAGGAAATACATGCTTTTAACTCTAACCCCCTTGAGTGATTTACTGAGATTTTTCCATACTCTTGCAAAATCCAACACTGTGGTAAACTCAACAACTAAACTGTTGGACTCTGATTAAAGTGGTATGCCTGACCCCATGTCAAGGGCAATCAGTTTACTAGTGCAGTTCTCACTCTAACAGAATCAAGTTAAACATGCACTTGGATTTTGAGGGGTTCGGGTGGTTAGGGTTAAAATAGGCCTGTTTTAGGCAGATTGCCAACGGCAGTATGAATCTTGTAACTTGTAAGACCTTATTTCACTGATTATTTATTTGTTGTCATGTAGATGAATTAGACATTTAGTTTAAAATTCAATCTTTTTTATATTACTGAAAACAATTTATGATAACGTTAATTGTCTCAACTGATCTCTTCTATACAGGCATCTTGTCTACTCACTGTAAGAAGCGCTCTTTTCCAATTCATAAATTTGTGTAGTCCTCCTGCCTTTTCTAAAAGTTCTGGTCCCTGGGGAAAGAAATTGAACAAAGCAAATGCAGTGCATTAGCCTTATTGCCAAATAAATCAATGCACAAGCTAAATTAGAAAATTGGGAAATATTTGTCACTTTTTTACCACGTTTATCCTGTTTTGTACATACATGTATTAAACGTTTTATACTTTTTGCAGTGGCTATCATTGCGGTAGTCGACTGTCTGCTTCCCTGACCTGAAAATATTCAACGTCAGGATCTTGCTCTTGGAACCAGACAATCAACCGAATGATTCTCAGACTTTATTTCCCTTTGAAAAAAATCCTCCAAAGCCAAGTAAAACACTAAGAGAAAAAAAATAAATCTACTTCAATAGAAGGTAGGATTTGATTAAAAAATGAAAGTATGAAAGAAAACTTTTGCACATTAAAACAAAAAAAGAACAATCCTTTCAGCCTGCTCGGTTTACTCCTACTGCAATACAACAAGGAGTGTTGAGCAGTATTGATGCAGATGCAGATACCTTCAACTTCAGTTCAGGGGTTTTAATTTTTATAAATTAAATAACAAATATAATTTTTTTTATATCAAAATTGGGAAAGTACCCATCCGTATAAACTTTAAAACACAAGATGTAGGTCGATTTAGACAAGTCTTTATATTTTCTCACAATAAGTTATATTTGAATTCAACAAGAACAAAGTTAAAGATATGGTTACCAAAGATATGCAACTTACAGGGCGCATGCCCAGGTGGTACGTGTTGCCCAAAATCAACTGGCAGTTAAGTTGTTCGAGTTGTGACGTCGTCAGGCCCTTCATCGTACCCTGAGTCCCGACCGGCATGAAAACAGGAGTATCCACTGTTTGATGTGGAAGCTCCAACTTACAAGTCCGTGCCTTTGTCGTGCTACATTCAGCAAGAATTTCTAGAGAAAGAGCACTCGGCATTTTGGTCATGGGCGCAGCCATCTTGGATCGTTGATGGCCTTTCCACTATTGCACGGGGTGGCTTATTGCCAGAAGCAATGTTTGTACATGGATTCAATTAATTTCATTATCACTAAGGATTTTATAAGGATTTCAAAAGCAAAATCATATGCACTGAAATTTTAATATGATGAATTTTATATTGTTTTAAGTTGGCTTTTTTGTTATTCCTGTTTCAAAATTAAAGTTAAAATCACCTATTGCCAAATGGAAGAACTAATTGAATATTAAAACCCTACACGATTAATGAATCGTAACCTATAACAAACGTATACTTGATGTTAAAAGTTACAGCCGGCATCTCGACATATTTTCCAATCGATTTATTGCAAGAATTGTTTTTACTTACGGAACAAATTATCAAAATTTGATGCCATTAAAATTGTGAACCTCCGATGACATTTAGTTTTGAGGTGAAGTCCGTGAATACTACAAAAGAAATATGGTTTACATTTTACTTGATATTTGTGTAATTAGGCGTGCCATAGTTTGTGTGGCGCGATCTGCACGTTGTAAAAGATACTCATCAGACCATCCTACATTGCACATCGCTGGCTGATCGCACTTTAACAGTGCGTGGGGATGGAATCGTATTTTTCCTTTCAACACCGGAAGTGAGAAAGGAATCAAGCACATACAGAGACAGGGCATGGAGGCGGAAAGGAGCGAGCACACTGCCGAAGGGGAAGTGCAATGGCGCCCCGTTTCTCTCACATTTGTCGAATACCCGGAAGGTAAATGAGGGGGAAATGCTGAGAAACACACCCTGGTTTGTTGGTGATATTGAATTGGGCGCATAAGAGGGCGCCCTCTGTTTTGATAACTCGGTGTCCTAAACTGCTTGTTTTCATAATAAAAAAGAAACTTTTTTTACCGTTTCATGATTGAAACATTAGTTCCATAACTTTCCATGTTCTCTCTGCCTTTTGTAAAGGCAGTGTATATTTGACCTTTGTAGGCCTATTCATTGTGGGCGCGGACATCCGGGATTTTTTTTACACTGGCTTAAAATAATGAATATCTAGCTCCGACTCCGAGTGCCAGACCTATGTTCTTGAAACTCAATATCCAGTCTGGAGTGCTGAATGGTAACACATAGCAAACGATGAAAACTGGTGTGCAAATGAATAGATATTTGCATCGGATGACTTCACTCCGGCCTGATCTATAGTGTAACACCTTCACCTTGTCCATCACGATTTAACCGTGAACATGTTGCAAGAAGTCTTGCATGGAATCGATCAAAAACGATCCCTGCCAGAGCTTCAAAATGCAACGATGTAAAATGCGACGCCGATGGCACATATGGAACACCATACTTTTGGTCAATTTTCAGGGACAGACAGACAGACAGACAGACCGACTGACCACCAAGTGACATATAGAAGCTCCTGCCAGAGCTTAAAAATGTGAAATATTCTGCAATTAAATGTAGGATTCAATTTAAAACAATAAAGGAAGGAAACATGTACTTAAAAAAAGAAATGCCGTGCACAGCGGAGTCTCAAACTGTGGTCACCAGGCTCGTAGTCCAACGCATTTGCCATGGAGCCACACGTTGGATCGGTTCTATAGGATTATTGAGCATCTTGTTATGTGTTCTTACATGGGCATGTGCAGAGGAGGTGCCAGCACAAGCGGAAAAAATATGAGACTAGTTCACCGTACTAATATAAACACTTTGTTCTGCAAACCACTCTCTTTGAATGTGTAGTCAATTTAAATGATTACACAATTGCTTTTAAAATTTAAATCATAATTTGTTTCTGAATGACCACATTAATATGTGACTTAAAGATGACAACATTTGGCGCCTAACATTTAGTTCTCCAGTAACACCCGCACTGCAGCTGAAGCTTTATCCTCCCCTCATTTCCTGTACAAACTCCCAAAATGTGGATTTACATAGCACACAATAACGCAATCAACGAATCAAGAAACATTGAATTACAAATTTGACATTTAACATCTTCATGTGATCATTTGCTATAGTGTAGTTAATTCGTTCCACTTGTTAAATATCCAGAAGCTGAAAACTAGTAAAAGAACTATTTAAAAAAAAACTTATCCCACCGTTTGAATTCAGGTGACATCATTGGGAAAGCCTTAGCCTACATCAGCCTTGCACCTGTCATCATTTTAGTTGGATTTGCAACACTCATTCTCTTCAGAAGGGAGTTACACACTGTGAGTACATTCACCTTCGGGAATTAGAGTCCGGAAACAGAATTGGTTCTGTAGTTAACCGTACCCATGCTTGATCCAACGTTGTCCATTTGTGGCTAGTTCTGTCCGAGTTTATGGAGCAGAAACAAAATAATGTCTGTTTTCTCTGAGAGCTTCTGTTAGATTCAGTAGATTAACCCTAACGTACCTAAATCCATCAAAACCCACACCCCTGTTTTGGAGGATTTCGGCAGAATCAGGATACCTCTATCTTGAAAAAGTTGGGGGATTTTGATGGATTCAGGACAGTAAGCCTAGTGGTACTGCAGGATTTTGATGGATTCAGGATACCTCCATATTGAGCAGTTGGGGGACTTTGATGGATTCAGGATCTCAACAGATTTACTTCGGCTAACCGGCTAAGCTTTGCCAACAAATCTTCCCTCCCGAACATGGGAACGATTGTAAAATAATTAAGATACAGTGGAATCTTGATAAGTCAAACCTCAAGGGAATTGGCTCAAAGTTTGAGTTAAGCAGGGCTTTGAGTTATCCAATGGATTTTCTATTCATCAATAATTGATGGGAATAAGTTCTTACTTTGAGTTAGAAGGGTTTTTGAGTTTATAGCAATTTTTGACTTACCGAGATTTCACTGTATCAGTTTGTCATTAAAAATAGATGGTTCAAAGGATCCACCAAAACCAAAAAGTTAAAAGCTTTTTCTTATGATAATGATTTCTTCGTTGGAAACAATTAAAAGACCTGTTGACATGGCAAGTAAATTGTCCAAAATCTTCATTCCTAGTGAATCAGGAAATCCTGACAGAGAGATTTTTTATTTACAGTTTTTCAGTTTCTTACTGCGATTGATAGTACAATTTGAAGGTTTGGGTCATTTTAGCACATATGATTTGTGGATTCTTTTGGATATTGTGTCGGGCATTTTGAAGCTCATTCAAAAATTGTGGGTAATTGTATATCCTGGTTGTTGGCATTTAATGTTTAGAAACTCTTCAGAAAGAGTTTGATACCAATTAAATTAGAAATCCATGCATTCAACAATCTTATCAAAGATCAAGAAATTTTGTGGCCATTTTTTTGTAATCACGTAACTAAAGAATAAGATTGATGTCTGTCTGTTTCTTTCCAGATGACTTTTTTTTGCGGACTGTTGTTTAACGAGATGGTCAACTGGATTACAAAACATATCATCAAAGAACCTCGACCACCCAGGGGTAAGTCTGTGCCTCTGGCCTGTCTGTCTGTCGGGCGGGCTGTCTTGCTGTCTTTGTGTTAGTCTGTTTGTCAGTCGGTCAGGAAGGCTGTCCGTCTGTCAGTCATTCCCACAGCTAGAGTTGAATTTATTTCCAAACCTAAAATCAGAGTGTTGACTTGGGGACGTGATGGCGAAGTCAGAATCTCTTGCTTCCTCACAAGGGTTTAGTAACAGAAAAAGGAAAATATGTTTCTAGATAAGTTACCCGTACTTAAACCATATGCTTTAGCCCAAGTTTGAGTCTTACATCTTATCCAGACTGGGATGTTGAGTGCTGAAAAACATGCAAAACGAAATCAAAATCAGGCCAACTTTACTCACTTTTTAACCAGCAAAATTCTCCAAAACTTTAAGTTTGAAGACTCAACTCAAGTTCTATAGGAGAATTTTTTTCAATATTTTGCACATTAGAGGGAAGTCAAGTGATTTCAAAATGAGGCTAAAGACTAGACTGGTACATGTCCAACCATGGTCCAACTATTTGAAAAGACTGACCGCTTCATTCAGTGTCATTAGTCTGGTGGCTGACTATGGAGAAATGTGTAGAAATAGAGACCAGTACCAGACATGCCGATGTTTCTTTTGGCACAGTTGATTGATGCAGAACTGAAGGGTGTTGGACTGGTTGTTTCAGGTGCCAGTCTATTTTCTTGTACTGCATGTTTTCACTACCTTAAGTTTTTGGACTCTCATACACAGATTTGAGAGTCCCGCATTTTCAGACTTCATCTTATCTAGATTTCTACAAAGTAACCATTGCCAGATTCACTGAATTCAATCTTTAAAACCTGCCCTCTTTTGGCTATATGGTTGACAAAAGATAATACTATTTTGTTTGGTTTCTGACTGTGTGTGTACCTACACATTTATCTACCTGTATCTTTAAGGTTCTGTTTATTTATTTAATGCCTCAGAAATATATCTTGTTTTGTTGCAGGATTATTTTTATCAATTCTCTGTAGCTGTTACCATGGTTACTGCCAATGTACTATTTTCTTTTTTTCTGTCGTAGTGTTTCCAGGTTTTTCCCTTAATTAATTTTATCACCGTGCAAGTTTTTCATATCAAGATATTTTATTTTTTAGAGTTCAGTGTTATTTAATTTAATTATATTTTTCATTAAACTTGTTTTCATCAAACTTCAAACCCTTCTCCCGACTTGATGGCCGAAAGAATTTTGAAAATGAAAAGGAAAATAAATAAGATCTTTTTTTAACACGTGTTTGTAATTTTACATGGTTTTCATAGTTTTCCTTTCTTTTGTTAAATATATTTTGCAGGTAATCAAGAGATGTTGTTCTCAGAGTACGGCATGCCTTCAAGTCATTCCCAATTTATGTGGTTCTTTGCAGTCTATATAGTGCTCTTTATTTACATCAGGTACTGAATTTCTGTTAATTTTATTGAAGGTGTAAATGTTTTTGAGCAATCATGCAGAATTGACAAAAATAATAATACGTCATTGCAAAGGACTTCCTGGAGATCTTTTTATCAATTCTGCATTTATTTTATCAATGTTACTGATCCTCTTAATTTAGTAACACCAAAATAGGGGCAGCAGAACCGAAGGGGGGGGGGGGGGGGGGGGGGGGGCTGGGGGGCACTTGCCCCCCCCCCCAGATTTACCCAAGTGCCCCTTTTGCGGACATAAATGTGCCCCCTCTAGCATAAATGTGCCCCCTTGAGATGAAACAAAAAATGCCCGAAAATTTTCTGACATTTGTTTGAAGCAACCATTTCCCAAAATGGTATAGATAGTTTTGATATGAACGAGGAATATGAAAACCAAGCCCCAAAAGCCACACAATGCGGAATGCGCCCTGAAAATGGGCGCCTAATGTGTAGTTTGCTGCATAAATGGCCGGTTTTGAAGAGCGCCCCCTATTTTGGAAGATGATACCCCCACCCACCCACCCACCCACCCACCAACCACTGTTTGATATTACAGAGGCCAAGTGTCCGGTGAAAAAAACGTGTCGACCTTTCAGCACAGATGTGCAAAAAAATAAATACTTAGCAAGTGCCCCTTTTCGGTGATTGCCCCCCCCCCTCCCGTTTGAAAACCGTTCTGCTGCCGCTGCACCAAAATGTCTGTTTTTAAACACCCAAGCCTGTTACTCCATGTGCTGCCCCAAGCCACCAGAGCGCTCAATGGTTTTATCAATTCATCAGGGAGTATAAACAATGTAATACAATGAAGGTTAGGTTCCAATGAGTTTTAACATGGGTCAATGCCTTCATTTGAAGAACACTTATTTGTTGAGTGTTCGTTGTTTGTTGAGTGTTCGTGTCGTGTACCTGCTGGGTAATTTGTATGTATACAATTTCTGTGTTTTCTTTACAGACTAGGACTCCAGCAGCATAGCTCTGCTAGTCTTATAGAGTTAGCCTGGAAGCATTGTCTAGCCATAGGAACTACATTTTTAGCGCTGATTGTTAGTTTTAGCAGGTGAGACAGACTTGTTTCCATTCATTGCCGAATCTGCATTTAAAATATACAGTTTTGTTTATAAGGCCAAAAAAAGAGGCTCTGGTTTCTGGTCTGCGTGCGCATCTCCGTAGCCATGCGCATCGGCAAAATTAAACAGTTTTTTTTTCAATGTAAGATGATGTCTGAAAACCGCCAAACTCACTGCTTTGACTGGAATCCTGCCGCTGCACAATTTTAACGTGTTTTTAGATGGGGTTACGATCGAGTATAAGCTTTATGTGGCCTCCCTGGGCTCCCATACGTTTCGCAATTAATTTAGTCGGGCACCATTTGCAGTCATCAGCCGAAATTTGAAGAAAAAAAGCAAGTTAAAAAAAAAAAGCCGCGTCGCCGCACCACTTTTGGGACAAGCTCCATACCAGAAACCAAAGACTTTTTGGGGGGGCCTAATGTAGATTTTTCAACAATAACTTGAATTTTGTTTATTGTTTTCATTGTGGAAATTCATTTTTAAAAGTTTTAAAGTTTTGCTGGTCCCAGAGGCCCGGCCTAGTGTCCTCTTTGTGCCACATTCACCGACTGACTCACTGCGTCACTGACAGACTCACTGACTGTCATTTGTGGGCTGGGCAGTGCTATTGTATAGGATTACCCTGTAACATCAATGAAGAGCTAAAATCTGGACCATTGGATCCTCAAGGATGAATGACTTCCCCAAATTTCTGGTTAGAGGTGTGATATGGCACTTGTGCGTGTGCGTGGGCGAGACTCGGAGCGCTACTGCAGTCTTTCAGTGGTTACATTTCTGTCAGGACGCCAGCTGTCGGCGATCATGGCACGCCTGCGATGTTCTATATGTTCTATGCACGGACGCGGCATATCACGCTTGTAGACAATCTGTTTCGTAAATTTTTTACACAAGCTCAGATGAGTCGTTTATCCTTGTGTAGAGGATCCATGATTGCATGAAAAGACGTCCATCGAATAACCATTATGAGTCAATGGAACCAAATTGTGTTCACTCTCGGGCAAGCTTGACTAGGTTCTCCTCGTCTTGTTTGTTTATTTCAGGGTGTATCTTGCTTACCACACTGTACGACAGGTGATATGTGGAGCCTTACTTGGGACCATCCTGGCCGTGCCTTGGTTTGCCTTTAATGAGGTAAATGTTCCCCTTCCCTTTCCCCTGCCCCCCTTCCCCCTCCTGGATATCTTGAGCAAGAAGAAACACTCAATCAAGTCTGTCAGTGATTTTAGTACCCTTCTTGTAGTTTCAAAAACTTGGTGTTATTATTGTTTTCCTCCAAATTTCTTATGATTTTTGTTTTACCAAGAGCCATAGATTAGGTAATATCTTCTTTCACCCAAAGTTCTTGTTCGATTTCTTGAGATTTAACTGAAGACAGTGACAGCAGGTGAGATCATTGTTGTAAAAAGATCTTTGAGATTTAAAAATTAAAAAAAAGTCAAGTAGGAATTTGCAGAAAAACTCAGTCCACACAGTGGTTAGAGTTGCAACTGGGTGCCTACACATGTACGCTTTCAACCCCCAGAACTTAACCGTCTTCTTCAAACTATTTGCTGCATTTCTTGGTAGGTTTTCCTGACCCCTCTTTATCCTCGCGTGGTTTCCTGGCGAGTTGCTGAGATCCTGTTGGTGCGAGATTCCACCCTCATTCCCAACGTCTTGTGGTTTGAGTACACCAACGCCAGAACAGAAGCCAGGTGCGTATGGGCTCCCTGCCTCCTCCTAACATCATTTCCTAAAAGCCATCAAATATTTGCAAAGTCAGTAGATCCAATTCTTCATTCCCTATAACCACATAGTTCAACTGTTTAAGCCTAAATCCGTTTTGTTACATTTTTTCCCGGCTTTTCATAATTTTAAAATGCCCTTTTCTATCCCCCTGGCATTGTTGTTTTTGGTTAGGTAAACTGAAAAGTGCTGTCATATGAAAAGTCAGACTTCACTCTCAACCAAACTTGGTGACAATAATCTTTGGGTAAGGGACTTTAAGATGACGTGAGACATTTGAGGTCAAAGGTCATCTAGGGGTCAAATGAGGTCATTGTTGATTTTGGTTAGGTACACTGAAAAGTGTGCTTACTAACTGACTGTATAAATACTGCCAGCATGCCAGGGGGCAGTGTTTTTACATCTGATGCCCCAATTTTATCTCCTCCTACAATATTTTGGACTTTTTTTCAAACTGCAATTACTTTGGGCTATCTGATCTGGTCAGGGGTGGTCTGTGATGAATTTGAAATTCATTTATCTTTTTGGATGAGTGCCCCTGCGTGGTGATGCACTCAGCACACTTTGCATTCCTCCAGTTAGCCTTAGATTGTAGCAATAATAGTTTGCAACTTTGAGTTAATTCCTTGAGATATTTCAAATTGTCCAGTGACTTCTGTTAAAGTGGATGTCAACTTCCTAGTAATTGCACTTATTCCAATTATGTTAAATTTCTTGTTTGCCTAACATCACAACTAAGAGACCCTGGAAATAGTTGAGATGATATTGAATTTTGGTTTCAGAACTAGACAACGGAAGCAAGGCTGTGGCAACAAGATGTCATGACTACATGTGCGCCAGATGATACGGGAGGAGTTAAGAGACAGATGCCAGCATTCATGATCGTCGCTAACCCAGCCGACCCTTCAGCCAAGGGAGGGCGCCCTCTAGAAGCTAACTGGCATGTGCGGTAAGCATGCCCTATCTGCCATTATTATTCAACTTCTTCGTGCGCTTATTAAGATGGAGACGCAATCAACAGCTGACTTTGTTTAAATTGACCAATTTATCTTGTTTTTTTGATAAACAACTTTCGTATATTTCCTAAAGGGCTTAACTAGGAATTTTTCTTGAAATTTGACCACTTTTTGTGTGCATTTTTAAAATAAATATCTGTTTTTGGATTGGCACAGTGCACAAAGAACAAAGTTACTGATTTAGTGTTGTTCAACACATATATCAATTGTTTGAAAACAAATTAAGATTATTCTATAATTGGCAAGCTGCCGACTTAAACACCGACCGCACGAACCGAAGATTTGTGTAAACGATATCCACGCAAATCTTAAAAGTATTTTTCTTCAAAGTGCCATGTTGTTGACAATGTAATTGAAAAGGTAATAAATTTTTTTTGTAATTTTGAGCTTATCACTATATCTGTTACACATTCCCTAAGAGAAAGATTCTAGAGGTTGTCTTGCATAAATGCTGCATGTAAATGAGTAACTTGCAGACGCACAGAATATCCAGCGAGGTGTTTGTTTCTATTCTTTATAATCATTAATTTTGTAAAAACTGTTTCAATTGGTTTAATGTTCTGTTTCTCAACATCTCTTTGTCTCAAACAAAAAATGTTGATAATTTTCATGAAGGAAACGATGAATTACACCATTACCAATTATCCTATCCAATTTAATTGAATAATTTGTGCTACCCCCCCCCCCCCCCCCCCCAGTAAAAAAATTAAAAATCTTAGGGAAGTTTATCAGTTTTTTCTGTCATTTTTGAGAAACCAAGTTTTGATCAGTGTAACCATTAATTGGAAAGTTTTAGTTTTTGACTTAATTGAACAGAACAAACATGACAGTTTTTTTTTGAAAGAATTTTCACAAAGACTTTCTTGAGAAAATAAATTCCACTTAAGCACTGCCTGGCTAAGAAAGGGTAAAATTTCACTGTGTTAAAGAAAAGAAAGAAGTATGTTATTTACGCAAAGACACTAGCACGCAAACTGTGTTGAAACAAGAGTCCAAAAGCATTTCAATTTTAGAACAAGTAAATATATTGGACTCAGATGGCATTAAGTTGACTTCTGCAGGCATTTAGAACAAAACATTTCATCTTAGGTTGTTTTTGTCTCCTTTTTGCCAAAATGTCACAAAATTGTAAAGAAATATTTCAAAAAACAACAAATGATTTCTAGAAACATCCACACACAAAAACTGTGGTCCCACAAATTTTCAGTCCTGAACTCTGCAAGAAAAAATGCACACAACACATCATTATGAACCAGTTCACGCCAGGATTATTTTGACAAGAACGGAACGAGGCGCGGGATTACTTTTCACTCGACCTCAAGCCAGGCGGGTTGAAGCCATCACCCTCAGGCAGCACACTCATATTTCCGGCCTCGCTCACGGGTCGCTGTCAGATATTTTCTGCCTCGCTTCCTGTGTGTTTATCCGTCATCTGTTCTGAGTACCGCAAAACCTTAGCATGTATACATGTCATCCGGCGCAAACTGGTTAAAGACTCCGTTGTAGTTAACAAAAACAAAATGAGGAGCAAGATGCCTTATCTCAGGATAACTGTGCAGGAAAAGCTACTCGTTACCATATTGGATATTTGGGTGCATATTTTGCATGTAAAAAGTAAACCTTTCGACAGGCATGAGTCTTCAGTGGAGTGTAACAAACTTCTTGTACATGTATTACGAATGGATAATTATTAAAGTTATGAATAATTCTATATTTGCAAGAAGCAGACTAAGTGCTACAACTAATTTGGTTTGTAATGAAAGTATGAAAGTAATGCTGAGCATGAAACTAGTATTAATCAAGAAATCATTGCCATGTTTATTTCTTAATAACGGGTTGTCAGAAGAAAAAGTATGTGATGTAACATCTCCAGTTGGGAAAAAAAGAAACTGAACAAAATTATAAGAATAGGCCAAACTCTATTTGGATTGTGCGGCCCGCCCCGTTTACATCCCTAATCAGTACAGGGTATGGGAATTTCAATCCAGCAGTGATCCTCAAAAGAGGGCACTGTTGCCACTTTTGATCTTCGTTCGTACCCACCTCCTAAAACAGGGCGCTGGGAAGGGCTAATTTCTTCAGGATGCATGACGTGATTTCTTCGAGCCCTCATTGGATTGAATTTGTTTGAACAAGAACACGGGTCAACACTTACGTGTGCGTGTGACACGTGTATGCTGAATATACGTGCATTGATTAAGGCAGCAAGCTTCCCACAGTGCTTTGCAACACCTGTGCTTCCTTCACAAAATGTTGTGAAGGAGATTAGCCCTTCCCAGCGTCCTGTTTGGGAGGTGGGTACGAGCGCAATTTTGAACAAATCCTATACAAATGTTTATGAACATGTATCAAATGTTCACCTCCTGGAATGGAGACAACCATCAGATGTGTGCATTCAATTGTAAGTGTTGGTTTTTCCAAAATCTTGAATTTATAATACAGCTCAAACACCGGATTAAAATATACTAGCCTCTAAAAGGGATGTTCTGTTGTTAAGAATGTGGATTTGAATTGTGGACTATCAATGCCTTTACTCTGGTTAAATAAAGCATGCTGTTAATGTGAATTAATGACATTTTATAACAATTCAAACGATATTTGTAATATTCTTTCGAGAGTGCGTCTGTTTTGAGCGAGGCTGGTCCTCTAAATAGCATTTTTATTTTCATTATCCAATGTTTTGGTGTTGTTTACATTCGTGTTTGAATGTACAAACCCATGCCTTCTTGTCAACACTCGAGAGTGCATGACAAGCATCAATAAGTGTAGGAATAACAAGTAAATTTGCAGTATCTTCAAGATGTGTAAACTGTGTGCCATAACAACATCTTAAAAACTCAGACGTTTGAGAGACCTACAAAATCGACAAAATCATGATCCAGAAGTAAGCGCACTGGAAACAGGCTCATTGCATTCTGTTTACCACAGGGTTGGTTTCCAGTTTAATTTTCCTCTTTGAAAAATGGCCCATAAATAGTTAAAAGACACGGGTAATGAAATGGAGTACATTTGTACATTGGGGGATTCAAGCCCAGAATTCAGGTTTCGGTGTTACAAGCCTTTACACCGTATCAGACCAAAGAAAATGTAAGGACGCCTTTCAGTTTAATTAGGATATTTGAACTTAAGTTCGGTTTTATTATTAAGAGAGAAAAGGAAATGCTACGGATTCAAACCCCGGCTGCGAGATTTGTTGTTCAAAGCCTATCCAGTTGATCACCACACTTCTTTATTTTTTTTATTTCAGCCATTTCAACTATGATATTGTACCTTTTAAAAATGTTAAAACAGTATGCGAACTTGGCTGGATTCGAGCCAGGTTTGCTCCGTTCAGAGCTCTGAGCTCGTCCACTTGTACTTACCCAACCCTTCCCCCCTTAAAATTTCTAGGTTTCATTGATTTAATGTGAAAAACAAAAAGGTAACATTTGGGATTCCAATCTTTCTCCCTCCTGTTCAATTCCTTAAAAAGAACAAAGATAAAGTAAAGTCGGTACCACTTGGAATTGAACTAGGGTCGTTGAGTGCGGAGGGTTGTGCTTTCCAATAGGCCATCCAAACTTTCAGAGTTGTAAGGTAAATCTGACTAACTGGTATTTATGAGTATTATTCCGATGAAGACTAACTTGAAAGGGTTTAAAATACCTTCCGTTAGTAGGAAATATTATGTTTAAGAAGTATTTAATGTTTGAAGATAAAATGCACGTGTGCAGGCCCTGCAGCTGGTTGGGGGGGGGGGGGGGGGGGGTACCCTCGTCCCACGTGCGGACGTGCTCTGGCAAGCGGGAATTCAGGCCTACCACGTGCGTATGGCCATAGATGCATAACAAGGCTCCCTATTTGTGTCCACACTTTATTGCATTGTCAACTAGTCCGCTTTCATTGGCTGCTGTCACTATTTAGCGACTGGTAAAATTGCGTCTACGGCCCTGTTCAATTCCTTTGTTGTATCCAGCATTAACAATAATAACTTTCCAGTTACTGCACAGGATAATTGCCCGTGATTTGCTGTTACACACGACTAGATTGGGCTGCAAACCTAGCCCAAAAATTCAAAAGAAAATGCCGGAGAAAAGGACCTAGTAACGTTTATATTTCACAAGAAACATATTTTTGTGTTCAGCAAGGTCTGGTGAGGACGCACAAAGCAAAGCCATTATCGCAAAATGTTTCAAGATTTAAAAATCACGTTTTGAGAATCGAGCTTCACCTTTCCACCTTTGAGCGTTGACCAAGGATACTTCTGGTGACTGGTTTTACGCCTATGACACTGGAGGGTATGAATTTTCACGTCACCATAAAAATGAAATTTCGCACATGAAACGGTGCAGTTAACACCTTGAAAAATTGTTTGGATTTTTATTTCACCTTTTCACATTTTTTAACATCCTAAGATGAGAATAACTTTCAGAATTAATTATTAAGTTGCCGTTTGGTTTTTATCGCGTCTCACACAATTCATCTTTCTTCACTTCAAAAAAAAGCCAAAGGACCAATGAAGACAACTTGGAATAGTGGATAAGCTCAATGTCACAGACATCAGATGTCCAGTGTTCGAATCCTGCCAAATGCAGATTTTTTTTTTTCGAACAATTTTTATCGAGGAATTTTCTCCAAGTGCTTGTGCGATCGATTATTTCTAATAATTGTGAACAAAATTCAAGTCCTTTGATTTCTAGATGAAATCATTGTCATGTATGTCAGCGTGTCATGAATTCCAGCTGATCTGTCATTAATTTCAGGTGTACTGTTTTTTTTGGGAAAGACGTTATTTTATGCATGCCGAGCCCATGCACAGACCCCAGGAAAGGAAAAAAAAGTCAATTTTTTCTAAAGTAAAGAAAGGTGTTATTTTACAAGAAATTACAAAAATCATGCTTTACAAAGACATGTTTCAGTATTTGCAAGAGAAGTGTCAAAGCAACTGAATAGACTGTGTAGTTTCTGAGTTGGTTGAACTGAATTTGGCAGTTTAGGCATTCGAACCCAAGCCCAGTTGATAACAGCTCCATAACATGTTGAATACTAAAAATAAACAAATTATGGCTTCTGAAAGCTGATCTTAAAATGGTGAACACCAAGCTGGAAAGATTGTGAATCAGTGATGCACTGGTGTAGCTATCCAATGGTCTGGGGTTCAACCTCACAATTGAGGTCGGGTATGCCTACATCGCTGGCTGTAAATATCAATATATCATTGATTGATTGATTGATTAATTGATTGTATTGTCAGTTGACTTCAACCGACTATTTTTATATGCAAGATTTAAATTTGTTCATGCCTTCATTTTTCCTTTTTTTTTATGAGTATTGCATGTTTTATTTTATCCAAAGCCAATCCACACAATTGATAATTTATCAAATTGCAATTATTTGCTGAGAGTATAATTGTGTAAACTAACTTTTTGGAAATGTATTTTTGGGGGGTTCTTGGTCTTTTTTATATTAAGAATTTCCAGAAGACTGACACTTTATCTTATGGACTTATAAGTGGACATATTTTTTAGAAAGTTTTGTCAAGTGTAGTAATTAATTAATGTGTATGCATTCCCACAAAACGGCTTTTTAATTAATGACGTACACGGTTCGGGTTATCAGGTTGGACATTCTAAAATGACTTCTTTTTTTTAAAGTTTTCTATGTTTTTCCAGAAAGTGCTCTCTTAAATGCTTATCACAGCACGGTTCATACAATGAAACTTGCATTGTCAAATGTGGACCAAATAAAAGTTATGCAACACTGATTATGCTGTATTTGTAGTTAGTTTTACAAACATGCTCGGGACAATTCCTGGAGATATGGACTGCTTGCTTTCATTGTCACAGCACCCACTTTTGAAACTGGATGGTAAAACTTCCAAGAGAACCTGTTAGATCTGGTGTGAGGTCATATGAGCTAAATTGCGATCTAAGGTTGGACAATTTGCTCTCAAGGATGGTTAAGGGGCAATTCCACAGTTAGTTACGTTACATTTTTTATGTGCTTTTGAGTTTCCTTGGGCTGTAATTACCTTACTGAAAAGGTTTAATAACTGTTATCCCCATGGTAGATAGAGTAGACCTAGACCTACCTAATCACCAAAGATGACATCCAGAAAAATGTGTTATGTATGATAAACAAGATGCACAAAATCGGTTACCCACGTGACATTTTGTAACGTGAGTAACCGTGGAATTGCCCTTATGTGGAATTACATGAACCATGACCTCTAGGTCATTTTTGATTAGCTCACTGGGATCGACTTGGGGCTAAGGATCAACTTGGGTTAGCCCGTGCATGTTCTATTAGCTCTGAAATCGTTCTCGGGGCTCACCCGGGTCGGCCACCACAGACCCTGCTCATGGAGCAGAGTCAGTGGTGGAAATACGTCACACGCATGCGTTGTTCATTCCAAGAAACGGACAAATATGGCGGCTGGACAGCGGAAATCTAAAGTGGACTTAAAAATTAACTTAATTGAAGTCTAAAGGTAATTATTTATTTACTTCATTGCGACTTTAGAGGCTACAATTCCAGCCTAACTTTATGAAATAATTTCAGTTGACGGAAAGGCCAATCACAAGCTAAGACCCAGTGCGAAGTGGGCGTTTTGTCAGTGCAGTGGCTACAGCCGTTGCTACAGACATCACGTGAGGATCGTGATGAACTGCGGTTCAGTGTTCGATTAGCCCGGCTGTCGATGCAGTCGAGTTCTCGAACTCACCCACTATGTATATGACCTATAGAGCATGACCTTAAGATGCAAGATCATGTGATAACATTACCTCCTTGTTCTTTGGTATGAATACAGGGTTATTAAAGAGGGTAAAATTCAGTCAATATTTGCCGGCTGTTAACCTAGATTTTTTTCTGAATAATTTATGTGCATTTTATCTGCATTTGATTTGACAGCTTCAAGTAATTGTGCTAATCTTTCTGGTCTGAGCATTTTACTCTCGATATCGGCATACACTGAATAACCTCAGGTTAAGGGAAAATAGTATGGAGGGGCATCATTGCAACATTGTCTTTTTTTGAGAATTACTCCAACATTTGACCAACCGTTTTGCCTCAAGAATAGGCACGAATATGGCGCCTTCTGTTTCTAAAATAGGAATAATTATAAATTTTCTTGAAAACTCAATAGAACGAAGTCAAGAACAAGAACTGTGAATTAAGGTACCAATTAAAAAAATTGTTAGGATTGGAAATTCTAAAATAAACATGCATGACGTCTACAAATACTTGAGTAAAACTGTTACGATATTTGTCTTTAACTGAACTGAATTGTGTAAAGTGTATGTCAGTGCATCAAATGCAATATTTTCAAAAGATTGGATACAATTAAAGTAACACTGATCAATTAATGGTTGTGAGTGGTGTGGTTATTTTTGAGATGCTAGTTAAATATGAATTTAACAAAAATGTTTTAGGGGAATTTTCAACCCTGCTGAATCTAAATATTTATATCACGAATCAGGCCCAGTGACAAACCAAACACTCTGACATCAGGACACAAGATCTGTATGCGAGAACTGTGCAAAAACATTTTTAATTGACAAACTGTGATATGAAAACTTTCATTTTTATCATTTTACTGTTTTTTTTTTCCATACTGAAAGAACTAACCACTTGGACACTCATTTTTGTCTTCTGCAGTAAAGTTGGCCCACTCAAATTAAATTATGGTTGTTTTATGATTGATCAGGGCTTAGGCCCCCCCCCCCAAAAAATAGTCGGTCTCTGGTCAGCGCGCGCGTCAATTTTAATCATGCGTGTCAACCTTTTTTTTCTTCAAATTGTCCGCGCTAGCTACAACAGTGCCCTCTATTGCCGCACCTCCTCAAATTTTGTACCAAGGAATGGGGAAATTGCACCAAGGCAAAGGATGGAGGACACCGAGGCAAATTATGGAGGATACCAATGTATACGAGGACACAAAAAAGCAAAAAATAGTACCCACCTTGTCTGTACAATGCAAGCTTGAAAAAAAAAAAAAAAAAAAGAAAGAAAAAAAAACGCGTCGCCGCATCAATTCCGGAAATTTGGTCTGACCAGAGACCGACTATTTTTTTTTTTTTTGGCCTTACATGTACTTTGTCGAACGTTACTGCAAGTGCATTTCATACACCTCAGCTAGGACATTCTTTAAGCATAGCAAAACTAGCCGCCTTGCTTCAAGAACCATGTCATTACTCCAAATGATAGCCGAGGACACAGCTTCAGCTTGTTGCATTAGGCTCACTCAAGTTACTTGACCACTTAAGCGAATACTCATAATCACTTGCGCCATGTTTGCTGCACAATTAGTATTTACAAACCTTGACAAAATATGGAAATGCACTCTTTGGTGAAAGTTTTCCTTCTTTTTTAACGAGCGCCTGACAGATACTATGGACATTACTTTCTTTGTAAAAACGGGTCATCTCGAACAAATGCCTAAATTATTCAAATCAGATTTTACAAAATTTCCAAAACATTAAGATGTATTTCAACTTGCTGACTGAAAGCCATATGTACAAATACTTTACAAAAGATATAGCTCAACTGCACAGTGCACACAAATTCTCCTTACATAACTTACCGAGATGAATGTTAACAACTGAAAAGTGAGTTTCTCTCCCGAGAAAAGTGATATGCACAAACCGTGCAATAATTTGGCTTCCCAGCAAAAGCCAAATGTTAATGCGCCGATTTGCTGTAGTTTGATTTCTGTGTAGCATCACTTTCACAGAGGATCTCCAAAAGCTAAAGCGCGGAATCATAACTACATGTAGAAAAGGCTTGAGATATATCCCAAGAATTCCAACTGATAACTGAAGAAGTTTAGAAAATGATGGTACACAGCGAATAAAAAATTGTAAAAGGAAGTATTTGAATCAATGACATTCTCACAGTTTTGTATATGAACTGAACCTACCCAACTGTAATTCATACATGTAGGTTAAAAGGTAAAAGAATACGTGCTGAAATTGAGCGATCCCTTTTTGAATCTTGATAACATTGATCACTGTAAGGCCGTGTCCGAATTACTTCTGCTTAACCCTAACCCTTGGGTATTTTTACTAGAAAGAATCCTGAATCTGCCAAAATCCATCAATTTTGCCATGCAAAAAAATGTTGGTGGACTGTGAGTCCATCAGAATCCACCAGTTAGCCGGGAGTAAATCTGCTCAAAATGGAGGTATCCTGAATCCATCAAAATCCGGCAGTACCGCTAGGGATTCATGTCCTGAATCCATCAAAATCCCCCAACTTTTTCAATATGGACGTATCCTGAGTCCGCCGAAATCCCCCCAAACAGGGGTGTAGAATTTGATGGATTCAGGTACGTTAGGGTTAAAATTACACACAGGTCTAATGAAAGTGGCTGCAGCTGCTACCAAAGACTTGTGTGTGATTTCAAGCTGCAGCCACGTAATTCGGACACGGCCTTAACATCAAATTCCACTAAAGCAAACCATAATGTTAATTCAAAAACAGGTGAAATGAGACTTCAAATATTTTACATTTCTTTTGACATCCAAAAACAGCATGAATAAAGACAGACCTAAACAAAAATATGTTTTTTCCTTGTGAAATGTCAAAATCAAGAGTATGATATAAAAAAACCACTACTTTTAATTCCGGCAAGCACCTGATCAACAAATAACTACCTTGCACAGAATACCATAATAACTACGAAGTACTGTAATTTACATCACCTACGTTCCTGGCTAGGGCTGCGGCTTTTCCTACGATCTTTATCTGTGGAATGTGATTTTTTTTTACGGTCTGGTGATCGACTCCGTCGCCGGTCGCGATCGCTCTTCCTGTCCCTGTCACGGCTGTGTCGTTTCTCTCTGCTGGAGCTCCGTCGTTCCCGCCGTTCTTTCTGCTGCCGTTCCCGTTCGCGTTGTAAGGCCCGTGAGAAGTCGTCCCCATCGCGATCCCTTCGTCTGTCTCGGCTGCGGCTACGTCTTCTCTCCCTGCTCCTATCTCTGCTCCTACGATGTCTCCTCTCGGGACTCCTGCTCCGACGTCTCCGCTCGCGACTTCGACTTCGTTTGTGGCGGTCGTTTCTACTGTGGCTGCGATGGCGCTCCTTACTCCGACTACGATGCCGTTCCCGACTTCTACTACGTGTTTTATCCCTGCATCAATAAGAAAATATGAAGCATCCTCATTCATGTGAAGTACATGTATGTAAACAGGTCAGTATCTGTCGACTACAGTAATTGTGAGTAATCTCAGCTTACCTATTCCTCTGGTATTTTTCTCCATCGCTACCGCCAGGCTGTGTCTCAGGGACGGCATTGTCTGCAAGTCCCTCCTCAATCTGTCGCTCTCGTTGCCTCTCCAAGAAACCAACCTTCCACCCTTCTAACTTGACCTCAAGATCCTAAATAAAGCAATTTTAAATGGACACTTCAACAACAAATTTCTCGATCTTTCAGAACTTTCTGAGGCCCTAGTATTTGGAACGGAAAATACCTATAACTCTGTCAGATTCTGTCCGATGCCCATACTCCATACATCATTGCAAAGCTTACTCGATGCCCTTTCCAATGAGCCCAAAATCCAACACACATAACAGGTGTTGATTTTTCTGTCACAAATGTCTGACAGCTGTTCAAACAATGTGTAGTCAGTTACCTTCATGATTGGCACCGGTATGCGAGGGAAGAGGGTTGAGAACCATTCCAGCTTGGTCAAGAAGCTACGGACCATCTCACCTATGGTCATGACACTGCCAGAGCCTGCCTTGCAATCAATCTCCTGCAGAGGGGGGAAGGTGGGTAGAACCAGGGGGGAGGTACAGAGAGATAGACACAACAGGTGCATGAGGTGCACAGATAGAGGGTACCACACCAACCAATTAAGACAAATTGGGAGAAAAAGGAAAAGAGGAAAAAAAGGAACAGACACATGGTAAAACCAAAAAAGGAAGAAAATATGGCATGAAAGATAATGTTAAGACATGAAGTTGGGAGAAAAAAACATAAGAAATAAACACAGTTAAGATATTGGTAGAACATCTGAAAATTTTGATCCGTTGCGATACTAACTTGCATATTGTGAATTTTCAAAAGGCTTCATGATATAAAGGCGATCAGTTTAGTGGACAGTTATATCTTAATGTGTGTGTTAAAATGCACTATTCGTGTATTGATACCAAATCCGCTTTCTGTGCCAAAATTGGCCTTTTTAGGTGTCTAGTGGATGCTGTTACAACCGACCAAGAGATTGAAAATGAAATAGCCTAACCATAAAATAAAGAAGTATTCTGATTGTTCATACTGTTAAAGAATTGATACAAATGCCCGCCTATAGACAGATCATCCAGTGCAAAAGTGTTGTCTTTAACCAGTTCGCGCCGGATGACATCTATACACGCAAAGGTTTTGCAGGATTCAGAACGGATGACTGATTAACACGCAGGGAGCGAGGCTAGAATTATCTGTCAGCCACCAGCTCGCAGCGAGCGAAGCCGGAAATACGAGTGTGCTGCCTGAGGGTGATGGCTTCAACCTGCCTGGCTTGAGGTCGAGTGAAAAATAATCCCGCGCCTCGTTCCGTTCTTGTCAAAATAATCCTGGCGCGAACTGGTTGAACTATCACAATTAAAAACATAGTGTGTCAAAGTGATTTATCTCAACTTGATACAACTTGAAGATTTGTAACGCCATTTGGTTGATTTGGGGAAAGCAGATGTGTACATGCAGATATGCACAATGTAGTCTATGATGGAACTACCAAAAGCCAAAACAAACATGAATTCTACAGGGTATTTAACCTCATTAAGAGGGACGGTGTACAAAGCCCACGTCCATCTCAGAGCATGGTCCACTGAGCTGGGTAGCGACTCCTACAACTCTAAAACCGATCCACAAAAGAGAAAATAGGTTACACCACTTCGGTTACTACTACTTTGTTTTATGTGTTATGTGTAATGTGTTTATGTAAAAAAAAAAAAATACATGTATAAGGCACAGAACTTGTCTTAACTTTCTGAAAAAGGAAATTTGTTCTGTATTAACCCATAACATAAGTTCCTGTACTGCCCCCCTCCAGATTGTTACTTCCTATACCACCCCATACTACCCCAGCACTAAGTTCATCAAAAGTTGAATACATGCAAGACAAATTCTAATGGTTTAATTGTTCTGCAAAGCAGTGTGATTTGTTATTCGATCTGTTTCATAAAAGAAATGTGTGTATCAAAGGCATATCAATAACATTTACTTCAAGTAAGTTTCCTGGAGAGAGCATACTCACCAAAATTTTAACCGAAGCACAGACATCCACCTGTTGGTTGTTAAGCTCTTTGGTGTGGTTAATTCATCTAACTGATATTATTGCTACTGTTTCGGGGATGAGGTCACTCCTTATACAAACCAGTGGACAATGTGAAACAGTTTTCATATTCCAATCCTCATTTTTGATTTACATTTGGTCAAAAATAAACATCAAATGCAGCATGGATGAAACTGCCAAGGTGGGGCAAGTATGTGGTCTATTCGCATCAAGAAGAAAAAACCGCTCAAACAAAAACACTGACGAACAGCTGACCATGCCTTTGTACAATTTATCTTCAATTTGCTTCAGATTTTTGAAAGATTTAGAGTGAATTAGCTGAAATAGTATACTGCAAGTTGAAATTAAGATAAAAGAGAAGGGGTTGGATTACCGTGGCAACCTACCTCCTCATCTTCAAGGTATGGCTCCAGCCAGTCCCACAGATCAGCCGGCGGTTGAGAATATCTGACAAACGATAAGACAGAAATATTTAGCAAAATGCAGCATTCAAGAAACAGCTACAAAATGAATCCACACCTTTCCTTTTGTAACTGCACAAAGCCATGGACTTTTTAAAATTTTTTATTATTCCTGCTGTCTGAACAGTCACAGACAACCAAATGTATCAATCCTCTTCCCTGCCATGCCTTTTAAACGAGCTAGTCACCAACAGTCAGATCATATTTCAAGCAAGCACTGTGACTAGTCAAATTCAGTCAACAGACCAAAGCAGCCAAGTGGTAAGCACAGCTGGCATATCAATCACCTACAGTCAAAGCACAGCTGTATCAAGTTACACAAACAGTCACAGCCAGTCAACCCTGCTTTATGTAGGGTAAGAGCTCTTAACTGTTGAAAACAGTCACTTGACTGATTTTGACTGAAAGGACAACTTTGCACAGAATGTATGTTTGCATAGGAGAATTGAAATATTAAAATGGCTTGTTCAAACGTCTGAATTTGTGATACTTTTTATATGGTAAAAAACCGAGGCATATTTATGTAAATCATGGTCACAACTAGGCTAGACAAATGCCAGTTTTATTCTATGACGCAAATTTATCAGTGGAACTGCTTAATTTACTATTTCGTTGTTCATCATGTCACATCTTAAAGAAAAAACAGATTTACTTAAGGCAATTGTTAAGTGTGAATAATAAGCTCTATTTTTGTTGCGAATGCTGTCGTGAAATTTGACGTGCTTTTGTTTGTCACCTACCTACCTGATGAACATGAATCCCAAGCCTCTGATGTAGGGGGAGTCTGAGTGGGTTAGCAAGCCGTTCAACTGTTTCCTAGTCAGCTTTAAGGTGTACAACTTGTAGAGCAGACAGTAGGCTGATGACACGATACCCCCCGCCCCTACACCACGTACCTTAGGGGGAAAAACAGACAATCAATGAAATGTTGTATATGAAGCATGATGCGGTTGGGTATTTCTTATCCTTATCATTGCTACGTCCTTCAATATCTACAAAGAAATTTGAAGGATTTGTTTAAACGATTGAAGAAAATAGAGACAAGTTTATAGGTATTTGGGTAAAAGGCCATTGTCACTTTACATGGGGATTGATATACTAACAGTTGTCTTTTGCCTCCTCCACAATAGTGAATTTTTGAGGATCGAGAATGGCCCACAGCAAAAATTCCTCGTGTTAGGGTTAATATAAAGGTAGCACAAGAACATGAGTATATGCTCTATCAAATCTCATTTGATTTTCTGAAGCAAGTCCGAGACTTGGAATAACAGCTCATGACAATGTAGTGATCTGTCACACCATTAATGTGTGCACATATCACAATAGCAGTAGTTTGTAGTTGGTTTACACTTACTCCTCCACACATGCCGATCTGACCAGATGTCTGTCGACTGCCCCTCTCCCAAGGCTCCAAATGGTCCACCTGAATGCAGCAGAAATTAAAAGAAAACATTTTAACATCTAAGATATGTCAGGTGCCATGTCTAGCAATTTAGGTCTAAAAAAGAAGTTTTGAAAATACATCAGATTCAGCAGTTTTAAATGTTTTACTTTAAAAATTAAAAACAGTAGCTCAACTTTGCAAGATAATTAACCACATACAAAAATAGTCAGTTCTTGACGACTGTAAAATGCCCCCTTTTCAGGCTAAGCAGCATTTTTTAATCGTTGTTCAAAGTAACAAACAATGTTCTCACTACTGCCCAAGAACTACAGTTAAAAAATATATGCATAAAAAACAGGACGTGCTTTGCTTGTTAACATTACCCTGTAAAATATCTCATCAACAACTTCGTGGTAGGTCTTCAACTTGAAGAGCTCATTCTTGAAGTAGGGCGAGGACTGTATGTTGGTCAGGATGAGAGGGTTAAGGTTCATGGATGCTTCATTGCCCCAGGTGGGTAGTGTGTTACTCTTCTGAGGCATGTTATAGCTTGCTTGACCCAGTGACTGTGGCCGAGTTGAAGGTGTTTCCGATGAGTTGGAAAGTCAAATCTGTAAAATACAAAACAGATTCTTAACACAGTGGACCAGATGTCACTGCCAAAGAAAGTCAATTATCTTAATGAAAAGTTAGTATCAATGATCCCCACTGATTTCTCCACTATGAACAACTACTCGATTTATTACCAAACCAAAAAGTCATTATGTCAGAGGAACATTCTGTGAAAATGCCATTGCTGAACTCCATCAGCAGATCAGGTATTTGAAAAAAAAAAAACGTGAACAAGTCTCAAACGTATGTGATCATGTGCCATTGACTTACTAGTCTAGAGGCTAGACGTTGTTATTGTTTGTACGCGATCCCGCCGCCCCGCCGGAATAACCGGCCGCCGCGCGAGGGCGCTATCACGACCAACCAATATCGCCTACGAACCCGTCAGAACAACGTCTAGACCACTTGCTATTGGTTGTGTTATGCGCGCGCACCTTTTTGGCCTAATATATGCAGCGCGCAGTTTTAAAAATTCATAGTAGTTCCGAAGCAAACTCTCAAATTTCTTCCAGTAGGTTAAAAGATGCAGCAAGACTTTTGAACAATTTCACTGGTCAGCTCTTTTGTTGTCTACGTGTAGTATGTGTAGGGACTGAAAATGGACCGTAATTACCTGCAGAAGTCGCGCATGCGCACTAATTTCCCCCATTTTTCAGGGGGAGATTTTAGCAAGTGTTCTAGCATTCTTCTGACGGGTTTGTGGGCGATATTGGTTGGTCGTGATAGCGCCCTCGCGCGGCGGCCGGTTATCCAACCGGTATCGGGACAACTCGTACCCGGGACGACTCGTACCCCAAATTTGTGACCCGGGACAACTCGTACCCGAGACGACTCGTACCCGGGACAACTCGTACCCGGGACGACTCGTACCTTGTACTTTTCTTACCATTTACTTTTCTGTTCCTTTTTAGTTAGATGTAATTGACAAATCCGAAGATGTGGAAAACCAAAAGCCGTTGAGTTTTGGGGAATTGCCAGTGGTGACAAGCAAGAGATTGTTCTGGAGAGATTCTGGCAGCTGGCCGATGATCGCGGAGTTCGCCGAATTCGCGGAAGGAGCTATAGCAATCATGAGCTTCGTAACTTATTTGATCTTCATTTATTGCGAAAACTTATTTCTAAAATAAGTGGACCGATTCATTAAAATTATAAAAATGTTACATATGTCACATTCTACACTTTTTATGACATTAATTTTGATAACCATCAACAATCCCAGTAGCGTGTCAATCTTTTGCATAATTATGTGAAATAATTCAAAAGTCACTTAATTAGAATTGTTAGCTTAGTGAGTAGCGTGAGATGCCATGTTTCACGCGTCATTATCTTCAGGCCAACAACAGAGAGACCTATTTAAATGAAAAACTTCTTCTCTATTTAAAAATGAAAAACGGAAATAAAATAATTGAATAATAATTGGTTGAAAATAAGTATGATAACAGTCGGCACAAGTAAGGCACAGATACAAGTACGCTGCACAGTGTTTTATTTTCAGACGGGTACGAGTTGTCTCGGTTACGAGTTGTCCCGGGTACGAGTTGTCCCGGGTACGAGTTGTCCCGGGTACGAGTTGTCCCGGGTACGAATTGTCCCGGGTACGAATTGTCTCGGGTACGAGTTGTCTCAGGTACGAGTTGTCTCGGGTACGAGTTGTCCAACATTCATCCAACATGTCCAACCGTACAAACAATAACAACGTCTAGCCTCTAGAGTAAACTGTGGACTTACATGCAAATTACGGGCAATGTTTGTCATCCACTCCCATAATCATGCTTTGCTAATGAGAATGCTGATGTCGAATGTCGAAATCAAATGTTATAAAAATTTTAATTATTAAAATTATTAATTAGTCATGTGTAGCCTACCATGCCTACTTCTCGCAATACGCGCGTGACCAAGTAGGCTACGCACAAGTGGTGTGTCCAGTCCAAAACCATGAAAACTCCACGGATATCTCGACCGTGGTAAAAAAGCGCCCTCTCTTGTTCGCGCAGGGAGCCCATTGCGTCCGCAATAGCTCAACGTCTAGTGTCGGAAATACAAGGATTACCAATATAAGGCCCCGGGCCTACGCTACGGTCATGACGGTACTGCAAAGAAACACGTTCACAATTTCAATTTGATTCTTCCATCCCAACCTACCAAGTTCATTCATGGACGCCGTCACCAGTATACAATACCGAGCACTTTCTACAAAGTCATAAAGAAGGTTTACAATACTTGTTCTACGTTGAAAATACGTTTTTGTGGCGGTTTTACACACGGAGCACGCACATTCACTGTGCTGTTTTTCGCTGGTATTCGTCAATTAACTAAAAAAGTTCGTATAGTGTATGAATGTGCACCAGTGAAATTCACTGGTTCTCATTTCTCGATTCCAATAGCATAGCATGATGATATAAATTAAACGCGGGTACCAGTGCTTGTTGTAAATTCCATTCGCAGCAGTTTCAGGCTGCACAGAACAATCGTTGCACGAAAATCATGTATTCATCACCTTAGATTGTTCGAAAGACACGCAGCAATGCAGGCTGAAGATGCAAGATATCTGAAAAGGTTTGTGGCAAAAGGAATGCAAATGACATTCAATTTAGATGCCCGATTTTACTTATTCTCGATTAACGAAAAAGTCCTCCACTGAGTGTTTTTGATGGTCAATAGAGGGCGCTTTTACATTTACAGAAAAATGCATAGACTGCCAGTCCACCGCTGTTCCAGAGGCTCACAGCACGACATTAGGTTTATGCGCCAGTTTTTCCGGGTTGTGCTGTAAAATTAATATTCATGAGCACGTTCTAAAAAACAAATCGTTGAGAACGGCCTTCCAAAAAACTGTCCATAATTCAAGAAATAGTTATTGAAGCCATAAAATGTGTCCCAATGTAGGTTAAAAAATGAATAACTTGAGCATCTCCATCAAAGATTTTAAATGCGATGTCGTTATTTTCGCGAAATAAGAAAAAAAATGGCCTCAGTTTGCTGAACGAAAGCCAGCAACCAGCGAAAAAAAGGGTCCGAAATAGAGCTTTTTTTCTGCAATCAAGTAAGTTAAGTTAGAATTAAGACTGCCACGAAAACATCATGAGACTTTATATTTTGTATAAACAGTGATTTCAAAAGAGAAAACCCCCAAACTCGCCTGCAAAAGTGCAAATCCTTAATTATGCTGAATTTTTTTTTTCATTTGTGTACTTTTTCTCAATCATCTCATTTGAATCATCTACACAATATGAAAGCAACCTGAAGTATAACATTTACAGTGAATCAAAATATCTCCCCTCCGCCCCCCCCCCCCCCCCCCCCCCCAATCATACTGCACGCCCCATCATGCCCTTGTCAGTCAAGATTGGGTCATATCTTTAAGGTCTTATTTTCTGTAATTCTAGAGGGATGATGCCCTACTTGTTCAAGTTTGATTGTTCTGTATAAGTTGTACTTTGCAAGAGAACATTTTGCTAAAGGTCCTTTTGTACGTCTTTGCAGGAAGGTGAAGGGAGGCAGCATAGATGTTCATCCTACAGAGAAAGCGCTGGTGGTCAACTATGAGTTGGAGGCAACCATCTTGGGAGAGATGGGAGACCCCATGTTGGGGGAGAGGAAAGAATGCCAGAAAATGTAAGATGTGTGAAAGACCTCAGAGTGGCACAATGGGACTCCTTCCCCCTCCCCCTCCCCTCCCCCTCCGCTCCCTCTGTTGCTATCACTCAAGTTCAAATTCTACCTTGGCTTTCCCGACTGATATTTAGTTTCGATTTTTTTTTCCCGGGATTTTGTCCCGAGAATGTTATCATGGGTTTTCTTTCCACCTCTTAAACTGTTATTTCCTTCCTCATCTGCCAAGGGACCCCTTCTGGAAAGAAGACTAAAGAAGTTCACGGTGTTTCTCTGTTGAATGCCAAATAATGTGAACAATTATAGAATTTGGCTGGTTGTCTGTCAAGGTCAACCTCAGATGCCTGGGGATTGAAATGTATCGCAGTGAACGGTTTGGACAAGAAACCATAAGATTGCTGTGTTTGTTGCTGGTCCATTGTCGGAAAAAAAAATCCTTGATGAGATGACCCCTTGAAGTCCTGAGCCTTTGGTGATGATTCCATGTGTGCATTCAATCTACAGAATCAGGGTTCGGAGCCTGAACTCTGCCACAAACATCGCTGCCCTGGCCAGGGAAGTAGTGGACAAATGCAAGCTGATCCATCCCTCCAAGCTGCCAGAGGTCGAGCAGCTGCTGTACTACCTGCAGAACAGGAAGGAAACGGCGTCATCAGGTACAGTACGTTGTCTTTACCAACCCTGATTGTCCTGAATCCTGCAATTTGAATGCACTTGTGATAATCTTGGGGTTGGCTGTATTGATTTGTAATGCCTTACGTGTGAATTGATGCTGGACAGAAAAAGCAGGTTTGTGCACATTTTTATGAGTCTTGAATTTATTTAGTTTACTTCATGTGTTGTTCTGATTATTTCTGCACAATGCCTTCGGGAAAAGCAAGTATAATTTTTGTGTGGCTATTTTTGTGTTTTCTTTGATTAGCTGGTTCCAAGAAAGGAGTGATGACTGGGAGATTGAAAGACCCACCACCTTATGAGGGGACGGAGGTTTGTAATGTGGAGTTTTGTCAGTTTTCTTACCAAGGAATTTGTCTTTGCTTTAAGGAAGATTACAATTATCAGTGGCAGACCCAGGGAGGTGTGGAGGGGCACCCACCCCGCCGGCAGTGACCGAAATTTCCTCCAATAAGGCCATTTTTCACTTGAGAGAGCCCTTCCTCCCCACTGGCACACCCTCAGCCCCCTGGCAGAAGCCTCTCTGGATCCACCCTTGATTATGAATTTTATGAGTGATGCACAGTTAACTCTTGAGATTTGGAACACCACCAGAAAAGGGGATTTATCTGGAAATCTGAAATGAAAATGTCGACAAGATTTTCCCCAAACCACGCTTGCTCCTTCTTCATCCCTTGTTTTTGTTTCCTCCAACCTTAATCCTCATCTTTATCCAACTCCACAGCTGGATGAGCAAGCTAACATCAATGATGTAGAGGATTACATTGAGTTACTGTACGAGGACATTCCGGAGAAGGTTCGCGGCACGGCGCTCATACTACAACTGGCTCGGAATCCAGACAACCTGGAAGAAATTTTGCAGAATGGTAAGCTCCAATGTAGCTTAAGATTGTAGATCTGTGTAGAGTTACAGGAGAAGTATGGAAACTTCTAATTAAGTTATTAGAAAACTCTGTTGTAAAATTGTAAGTTTTACACTGCTGAAATTTTGTCTCCATTTCAGAGACTGTTCTTGGGGCGCTTGCTCGCGTCCTTCGCGAAGACTGGAAGAGGAGTGTAGAGCTTGCCACCAACATTGTCTACGTCTTCTTCTGCTTCTCCAGTTTCTCCCAGTTCCACAGCGTCATCGCACACTTCAAGATCGGCGCCCTCGTCATGTCCATTGTTGAACACGAGATCAAGAGACACGACCTGTGGGTGGATGAACTCCAGAAGAAGAGGAAGGCTGATATCCTTGGAAATACATTCATAAATCAAAATTTGATGCAAAAACCGACGACTGACTATTGTAGAATTGCAAAATCTGTTAGCACTGTTACAACTTTAAAACCTGAACTCACCTACTTTAGGGTGTTTAAGGTAATACATTTTGTTGATTTGGTTCGCAATGTTGGGAAAATCTGTTCTACCACAGCTACTTCCACCATTAATTTAGACGGCTAAAATTAAGGTTACTAATTCGTGTCGGATTTACATTGCTTAAATGTACTTGGATGTCGATTTCCAAATTCCTTGACTGTGCTTTACCTGAGGAAAGTCCTCAAGCCAAGAAAGATTATGAGAAGAACATGAAGAAGTATCATGGACTCCTGAAGAAACAAGAACAGCTCCTCAGAGGTACAGAAGATAAGTTTGAGAAGTGGCCAATTGATTGAAAAAAATTGTAGTGTAACTGCATATTTTAAATGCGTTTCTTCAAGGCTCTGTGAAACATGACATTTTTTAAGTCACAAAGAAACCGGTATTTTTTTTATCACACAAATTAGTCATTGTTTGTCATGTTACTTGTCATGTACAGTCTCCTACTATTTACTGCTGAATTTGGCGGAGGACACCAAGGTTGAGATGAAGATGAGGAATAAGAGCATTGTCCCCATGCTCCTCAAGACGTTGGACAGGGACAACTACGAGCTGCTCATCCTGGTCGTGTCGTTCCTCAAGAAACTCAGCATCTTCTCAGAAAACAAGACTGACATGGTAAGACGAGAAAAGTAAGGTTTCAGCGGCTGTACAGACGTGTGAAGGGTAGAGTGAATGCTGAGAAGAATTAGTACATTATTCTGAAACTTTTTTTTCTGGCAATTTGGGTGGTTGTAAGAGCTAAAAAGTTTCTTACTTTATATTTATTTCAGGCACAGCATCAAATTATTGAGAAATTGACAAAGCTGATCCCTTGCGATCATGAGGTGAGTAGTTTATTTAATTTTAAAAATCATTTTTGATAATATGTTACAGTTTATTAAAAATTGGCAACTGTTTGTGATTTGCAGATTTCTAAGACTTATTCCTGTAATGTTTTTGAATTGCCAGGATTTACTGAATATCAGCCTTCGTCTTCTGCTGAACCTATCCTTTGACACGGACCTCAGAGGCAAGATGATCAAGCTTGGACTCATGCCAAAACTTGTTGGCCTTCTAGGTTAGTCTGTCATCTAGTGTTCCTTAGTTCTTCATCATATTGGCAAACATTGGTTAAAATTTAGTCATACTGAAGTTATAGTCTCATCTCATTACTTTTCGTTCAGCCAATGATATTCTTTGTCTCATTTTCTCTCTTTCATTCATCCAATGATATTCAATGTCATGTTCCCTCTTTTAATTCAGCCAATGATATTCTTTGTCTCATTTTCTCTCTTTTCATTCATCCAATGATATTCTTTGTCTCATTTTCTCTCTTTTCATTCAGCCAATGCTATCCATTGTTTCATTCTATCTCTTGACAGGCAATGACAACCATCGATTGATCGTTCTATGCATTCTGTATCACATCAGCATGGATGATAAAGCCAAGTCGATGTTCACCTACACTGACTGCATACCTATGGTAAATATCTGCACACTTGAGAAAAGATACTTAGACATTTTATTGCCACAAGTTGGGTATAATTAAACAGAGTCTAAAACTATAAGTTGTGAAGCTGGATTCCCTTATGCTTAACAGTCGCGCAGAAAAAAATGAGCCCAGCATAACATACATAAATTCTGCATCAGAAAAAAAGTTCAGATTCACATAAGGTTAATTCATATTGTACTTCATACCTTCCTGTTTTAAACTTGAACTGAAACTTTGGTTTAAAATATTTATTCCTACTCGCAGAGGTCACTTGGACCTGATATTTATGCAGTATCTGTGAAGTCATATGTGTTAATATATTCAATAGTTGACCACTTTAACAGACTTTTGACTTTGTTGTCTTCGTTGTTTTTATCAGGTAATGAAGATGATTCTTGAGAGTCCCGGTGAACGCATTGAGCTAGAGCTAGTCTCTTTAGGCATCAACCTGGCATGCAACAAACGCAACGCGCAACTCATCTGTGAGGGCAACGGGCTGCGACTCCTGATGCGCAGGGCGCTGCGATTCAAAGACGGACTCCTGCTGAAGATGGTGCGGAACATCTCACAGCATGACGGCCAAACCAAGACGCAATTCATTGTAAGTGCCATGATTGATGTAATGATGTTTCTCATGGAGATAGGCATGTATTCCACAGATCAAAAGAATTATTGAATCCAAATTTCTTTGTTTATACTGTAATATTTTTATTACTGCTTACTACTTAATGCCTAGGCCTATTGGTTTGCATGTAAACAACTGAGACTCACTGAGAATGTATTTTTTCCCCTCGTTATCAACCAGGAGTACATCAGCGATATCGCCAGCGTGGTCAAGAACTCTGATGATGAGGAGCTAGTAGTTGAAGCGCTAGGCATCCTGGCAAACCTGACCATACCAGACTTGGACTATGAGCTGATCCTCAAGGAGTACAAACTGGTGCCTTGGATTACACAGAAACTGGAACCACGTGAGTGGAAAATAATAGAAATATAAATTACTGAATTTATGTTCAAATTCAGTCATTGTGCGCAGTTAGAAACGTTGAATACGAATCATGTAGCTTTAAAATGAGAAAAGCAAATAGACAACCCTTTGTGTAAAACACCTTTTTCAACTTAAAATCGGCTCTAATGTGATGTTGTTTCCACGGTTACAGGTGCAGCAGAGGATGACCTTGTGCTGGAGGTCGTCATGTTGGTTGGCACGGTGGCTATGGACGACTCGTGCGCTGCCATGTTGGCTAAGTCCGGAATTATACAGAGTTTGATTGAATTACTGAATGGTAAGAAATTCTTAATATCAAGCTCTGAGATTTAATGCTCATTTTAATTGGAAGGATAGATATGTATTAAATATTCACAATAAGCAGGTCTGAATGTCATGAATGTTTTCTTGCAAACACTGAGTATACGGTGTTTATGAAATAACCTTAGCGGGAGTGTGCCTTTATGGTTAGGGTTTGTGACTCATGATCAGAGGGTCAGGGGTTCAAATCCAGCTGCTAGTCATATTTTGTGTCATTGGGCAAGACATCTCACCCCCACTTGCCTCCCTCCACCCAGAAGTATAAATGGGTACTGGCATTAGCTGGGGGAGTAACTTGCGATAGACAAGTATCCCATCCAGGGGGAATAGAAATATTCTCAGTCGTTTCATGCCTAGGAACCCGGAGATAAACGCCGGCCCGATGGGCCACATTGGCTCGTGACAGACTTTACTTACTTACTTTAAATTATGAAGTAGCATCAGTGAAGGGCAAGACTTCAATATGGAATTTGCATTCAAGACGTTCTGATGTTTCTCTTGCAGCTAAGCAGGAGGACGATGAGATAGTGTGCCAGATTGTTTACGTCTTCTACCAGATGGTATTCCATGAAGCGACGAGAGAAGTCATCATCAAGCAGACTCGTATCCTTTTCATCTTTATGCCTCACAGTTCACTTACAGTGCATGGTTAAAAGCCATATAGGATCATTTGCTTTTCATGCAGTTTGTTTGTTTGATAATAACACCGCTCAAAATCCAAAGGAGAAGCATGTTCAGAACCTAACCTGTTGAAGTTTCAGCTCAGTGGATATTACAGTTTTTGAGAAAACAGTGAAACATTATCCCAATTTTTTTTATCACGAAACACAATTTGGTCAATAAAACTCTTAATTTAGTCTACTGAATCATTGGAAATCACCTATATTTCTTGATTTCTTGACAGCCAACCAGCTAGAACATTTTCACGGGGTGTTTAGTACCAGTACAATCTTGGATCCAAATATGCTGTTTGGTAATTATTCTGAAGACCTATACCTCGTGAACTGTTGACAAAATCCTGAATACTGAATACTCTTCTTCACTGTCTAATATTTGGCATGTTTTGTTGGAAGTTAATATTCAAAGTGGCTGATGGTGATGTTTTCCTTAACAAAGATACACAGAGGCACCAGCCTACCTGATTGACCTGATGCATGACAAGAACGCTGAAATACGCAAAGTGTGTGATAACACGCTGGATATCATCTCAGTAAGTATTGATTTCTCTGGAGGAAGTTGTAACGGAAGGTTTTGATAATCAAACAACAAATTTCTCATTTTTCTCGGATCAGGAGGTTGTAGTTCATGTCCCACCCAACAAGGCTTGCGATGTTTATCTCACAAGATCTTGAACAGCACTATGTATTTGGTACTTGAAAAATTGTGTCAGTTAGGGACAACATCCATTATAATTTTGTCGTTGCAGTAGTCCCTGGCTCAATTCAAACGTTACTAGCTTCAACTCTTGCACTCGCAATAGTTTTGAGTTCCTCAATAACCATTTCCTTCAGTACACAAAATATGAACCAACTTTTTACATGATTTCTATATGAGTCCACCCACTTTTTTTGGACAGGAATTTGATGAGGAATGGGCCAAGAAGATCAAACTAGAGAAGTTCCGTTGGCACAACTCCCAGTGGCTGGAGATGGTGGAATCGCAACAGATGGATGAGAGCGACGGTATGATGTACGGCGATGAGGGATACAGTCCTTACATCCAGGAGTCTGATATACTGGATAGACCCGACCTCTTCTATGGACAACAAGGTAGGCTGGCCTTAATAATAATAATAATAATAGTGGATATTTATAAAGCGCACGTATCCACCAGGTACTGGTGCTCAAGGCACTACATCATTATTACCCCTGCTCATTGGGCCCTTGAAACATTCCAAATACCATCTCAGCTCCCTGGGGAGTATACAGCTCGATGCTGCCTGTTAGGTGCAAGGCAGCTAATTCAATCATAATAACCATCTCTGCCCTCACAGGTACCCATTTATTCCTGGGTGGAGAGAAGCAATGAGTGACAAAGTGCCTTGCTCAAGGGCACACACACCATGACCCCGGCTGGACTCGAACCCACAACCTGCAGCTTTACCCGCAGACCACGAATCACTGCCCTTAACCACGAGGCCACAGCACTCTGGTCTTGTCAAGTTGTCGTTTACTGATACTTCTTTTGTACAAGTAGCCCCTCACTCTTCTACAAGGTTAGAGTTCGGAAGGACTCGAAGGCATTGCTACCGTACACCTCGCACTCATGCAAATACAGACAGGCTTGGGTACACTCAGAATAATATTAATCATGCGTAATATTAATCATGCGTAGTTGCCATGTGTTCGTGAACCAGTGCAAGCACACAATGTGTCCTTCTCATGGAGCTCTCTCCAGCAGTCATGACACCATCTGCTGGCTCTATCAGAGTCTTGTATGGCAGAATTTCTAGTTCTTTTCCTTCTCCAGCATTGGTGATCTTGATAAGATTCTACCTTGATTTCTCTTGGTTTGGTTTCAGGTTATGATGATGGTGAGATGTACGATGGAGTTGTCACTCCTGATTACATTGATGAATATGGCAATGTACAGAATGGTGACTACATGGGCTCCCCTGGCTCCGCGATGTATGGCAACAGGTACGATGCTCATCAAAAATACCCTCATTTTAAGATTTTTTTTAAGAAACTGCTTGATTTAAAGCGTTACACTGACTGGTTTACTTCGAAAGAATGTAGTATCCAAACGCCACTTCAGTGGTTGTATACAAAGTCTATGGAGAGTCAAGAAAATTGTCTCAGTCCCAGATTCATGTCTTTTCAACATTTTTGCAATGACTGACCCTCATTGAGATGATATATGAAGAAAAAAGTGGCGTCAGGTTGCAACATTCTTTCCATTTACTTGAATAGAAACAAGCACAAATGGCATCTGAACCAATTGAAAAGGTAATCATATCAACGACTATGTACCAATCATGTTGAAGAGAATTTTAAGCTACTTACATTTAAATTATCTTTAAAATAGAGAACTTCGTAAATTTGAACCTGGAAAAAAAAAGAATGTAAAGCATTAATTAATGATCTTTTGCCCCTTATTTATAACTTGTGCAGTGTGCTGTTAGGTTGTATGTTAGGAGGTATTGTGAAACTGACAACTTTATGTCGAATCTTGCATAATTACTTCTGAATTTTCACTCTGATGAAGCTCCTGTTTTTGCCCTTTTTTCCTCCAGATATAGCCAGGAGTTCCGACCAGATTCACGCATCCAGTACGTCCCAGGCGGACAAGCCATCGATGAATACGGCCAACCATTGGAGGTATACGGGGGACCAGCTGTTGACGAGTATGGCCGGCCAGTACAGGAGGGGTACGGTTACCAGACCCACGGCTCACAGGACTATGGCTACAGGGGAAGCTACGATTACAGATAGGGAGTGTGGGATCGGGATAGTAAGGTCATCCATAGGTCACAGGGTCAAAGTTCAAGATGACGATGGCAAAATGTGTGTTTCTCAGTACTTTTCAAACTGTACTCAAAATAATAACAGAATCGGACCCTTCGTTGATCACTTCAAAACAGTACTTGGTAGTGTCATTTGATAGTTTTTAACATTAAATGAATGTCTACTTGTAAGTAGTTGGCTGCATAAATTTGAGATGGCCTCTACTCAGTTAAATCAACTGTATGGGTGCGAGTCATCAGCAAAGGTGGGAAATTTGTCTTGTAGACACTTGTCCATATTGTAGACTTATGGGTCGTTTTATAGATTAAGGGTCCAAAGTGCGACATTTTTCCTGTCCCTGTTGCCCTGGTATTTCAAGTATCATTAAGAATAAGCTCAATTTTTTATTTGTTGGGAAGGACGACTGGGAAGGACGACTGCGTGTAAGGTGTACATCAGAATTATAAAATCTTAGATGTAAGATGCAACCGGGACAGGAAAAAAAGTGGACCTAAATTTATAGAACGACCCTTATAGATGAAAAAGATGAGATATAAGTCATGTCAGTACACGATCCTCATTAAATGAAACATGGTTGTAACTGATCACTTTGTGGGAACTTAAAATAGAGTAGATCATTTGTCATTAGTGCATTTTTTTTTCGCTTGAAGCAACAAAAGTGCTCAAAATCCAAAGACAGATGATTAACGACTAAACTGATGAAACGTTAGCTCTGTGAATGCTGTATATTTCGTAAACCTAATATTCACGATCTGGGTTTCAATTCAAAAGTTGGTGAGTCGTGATGCAATACCAAAATCAGTATTCAGGACGTGATTCTCATCCAGCCAATTGTTACTATGTAATGTCACACACTGAACCGACGATTTTCGCTAATAATTGCAATGTGTCAACGCCTGTTGTGTCAACGCGCTTGCACCAATTCATGGATTCGTCCCAATTACAAACCAACTGCCAACGGAAATTTCGAAAAATGCGTCACTTGACACATCTTTGGGATTGACCTTTTATTGTTTTCTTCAAAATGACAGCATGCCAGAAAGGACTAATTCAACAGGGAGTTTAGTGCCATTACTATCTTTAAAGGGAAAATACAACATTTGCAAACATCAAAAAACGAAATGGTCAAATTATCACGAAATACCTTACTAAATTGTTAGGGAATGACAGTCTAAAACATCCTTTAATATCTTGGCTCCTGGTATTTTTCCAACGCTGGCCGGCCGACCAGCGTTGGAGAAAACTGGCTTTTTTCAAAAACTGTTCTTAATTTTTCATATTTAGTTATTCTGACTTTTCTTTGCAATTGATCACACACCTGTGAAGGGGTACAAGCCTGCTAGACTGATTCTCTGACCTTACAATTCCCCAAAGTGTATTAATTGCTTCGTTTCATCTTAAGTGGGGTCAGGGAACCAGACTACAAGAACATGATAGGTTTTCTTGGTTTTTCCAGCATCTACAAGCCCAAAACATGAAACAAGTCAGTTGAACAATATTTTATGTAACATACTTATCCTCCAAATCCATTTATTTCTGAAACTGGCAGCAAAAGCCAATGTTGTACATTCCCTTTAAACGAAGTAAAAAAAAATTTAACAATGATTTGGTTGGCTACTTTTTTTGATAGCTGCAAATGATCTACTCTACCTTTAAAACAGTGTGCACTTTTGAACACAATTTCTTGATGTTTCCATGCATTTGGCTCTTGTTTTCAAAATTATGACAGATCATAATGTCTACAAATTAGCTTCCCCTTGTTTGTATAGCTTGACTAAGTGGCTTGCATCACAAGGCATTTTGTATTCATAGTATTTAGTGTTTTTAATTACAATCCTCTGTAAATGTTGTGTCATAACGCTTGTATGCATGATTGTACATTTCAGTTTTGTCAAATTTGCAATTTATTTATTGTAAATAATTCACTTGCATGTTTCATGCATGATGTGTGCTGTGTCAAATAAATACATTTGAACAAGTAAGACAACTGTTTCGGTTCTTTCAAAGAAGTGTAATAATCTTGTAATAATCAAATAAGTTCACAGATTAGTTTATCAATGAATGGCTTCATAAAAAAAATAAGATTTGATTTAATTTTACCTTTTTCACAATGTTTCAAAATTATCACTCTTCTTATCAAAGTAGGGACGAAACCACAAAACCCACTGACTGATATCCAAGGGATTATTGGTCTGAAAGCGCACAGTTTCGGTCGGAAATAATTCATTGAAAGGCGGGATATCTCTACCCATGTATCGCCAACGCTACCGGGGTATTGCCAAGAGCTTGCGGCGGATGAGGGGTGGGATTGGCTTACAGTTGCTTCGGAATATAAGGGACATAATCGAGAACAATGGTGTGAAGCCAGGAAGAGGTTTTGAAAAGGATGCGAGTCTCCTGGTAACCACTAAACACTCTATAGTCTCTTCAAAAGAAAGAAAGAAAGAAGAAAGTTTACTTTGGTTGCTAAACACATAAAATGTCCATTTGGTCAGAATGCTATAATTACTAAAGGTGACAGGAGAGGCCTGTTTCGCCCTTTGCATTTTCCAAGGAAATTACAGAAGGAAACTTCACATTTGACCCCTATCAGCATTCAGCACCTGCGTTTAGTATTGTGAAGTAATTGTGAATAGTGACTCATTCATAACCCACTTAACCCCCAACGCTAACAACCTTCCTTAGCTCCTATAATTTTTCTTCTGGTCTCAATTTAGCCTCAGGATGTGTCAGATATCCGTGTAATGCCATTTCATACCACGAGCACCTCTAAGTTTTAATCTGCTGTCAGGACCACGCCAATGATCGAATGATTTATGACTATCACGGCCCTCTGATTATTATTATTAATATTTTTTAAAGTAACTCCACGGTTAGCTTGAAATATCCAGCTCACCAGGCCCATGACATGAGCCTATTGTGAGCTGGATATTTCAAGCTACTTCATGGTACAAGTTTCATAGCCCACTTTTCCAATCACAGACGCAAACTTCAGATGACGAGTGTTTCAGGTTTTGTTTAACATGCTTGTAGGCCTAGGCCAGGGGGAGTCGATATCTGAGAAAGGATTTTTAAATTTAAACACTGTAACACTTCTAAACATATAAAAATGCAATTCGGTCGTCAATATTTTTTTAATTTCTGAAATTAAGTTCATATCGCTCTAGAAAACTCATATTGTACGGATATTAATGGAATGATAAATGTACATCATGAATAAAAACTAGCATACTCAACTGTCATTTACCTTGTAAATACTAAAGTCAATACATTTTTTTAAGATCTAGGCCTACATGGTTTAAAATATTACAAATATAACAAATATAACCTATAACTTGGGTATTAGGTACGATCATATCAACCTAACAGCTTCAATTGCATTTGCCGGCCGGCTGATGCTTGAAATTAACCGCATCCTTCTAGATTTGTTTGGCTTCGTCGCAGGTCAACAAATTGACATAATTCACCACTCGGACAGCATGATCATGACTGGTGTGCTTTTACCAGCTATTACGTGTTTCTACAATAGTTTTCTCTACAACTCAATACGTCCTCTTCTTCATCAAAAGCCCGCGATTTAAAAAAAAAAAAAACATATAAGTCCTCTTAGAAATAATGAGCAAAATGTTTTGCCTTGTACAAGTTCGTCAAAGTTGATTTGTCATATTACTGATAATTTACATAGATGGATCATGATTCTTTGATGACCCTTAGACTTTGCTCGTGTCGGGTAATATTCCGTCCAGTGTAGTTCCAACACAGTCATGTTCCCACGTCTAAGCTAAGAATGTAGTTTGCACTGTGTATTTTAGACGCGCATTCTGCTTTGGTTTCGGGTGTGACACATTGGCAGATGCTGCCTGCTAATGCTCTTTTAGTCTTTGTTGATACGGACCACCATGCCAAGTTCTAGCAGGGGACGGTCTCTCTTAGTATTCTTGGTACACTGAGGCATCTCACTGATCAGATCTAACACTGCTCGCACCACCATCAGCAGGTTTTTGGTTAGAAAGACAGAAGCCGTGATACCGTTTTGTAGCCAGAGATGGAATCTGATAGCGAAGAACGGGATGTCTACCAGAAGTAGGAAGAGGACTGATTTGAGGAGAAATGCGCCCTCCCAGTGACTGTCTTGCTCCTCTGGGTCTCCTCTATCCTTGTTCCCCTTCTTCTTTTTCTTGTTCTTGGGCTTGGGTTGGCTCGGGTAGCGAGGCTGCTTGGATGCCAAGAAGCGAAGAGCAAACAGCGGGGCGGTCGGGATGATGAAGCAGATACAGCCGAAGGCCACAATGGCTGACCGGACATGATAGGGTAAGATGTGCTCGGCATCCCCCGTCACTATCATGTCAAGGAGGTCCGCACTGTCAAGCATGGCCAGGCTAGCCATATTGCCAAGCTTCTGTACCTGGAGTTTGTATTCCCGCTTATCCACCCCCTCGTGGTGGCTGTAAGCAAGTACGAGAAACAAAATGGACGATAAGGAGACGGCAATCTTGAAGACGATGGGGCTGAAGATGCCCTCGTGAAGCCCCGTCACGTCGATGTTGTGTATGATGCGGATGACCTTAGCAACAAAAACGCAAGCATAGACAAGCCAGCAGGAGTAGGCGAAAGGGAACTCGTAGAAGAGGTCCTGTCTGGTTTTTGGGAGAGGGTAGATCGGCTGGCCGGACTGGCGGCGAGAAGCGATGAAGGCTGACACCCAGAAGACGAAAACGATGACATCGATGATGATCCATTGATAACCTCGCTGGAATCCCGTCCCCTGTCCATAATGGATTAGGACGTGATCCAGGAAAGCTGATTGCCCAGCTAGCACCGCGAGACAGAGTAACTTTACCCCGATATCAGCCACAAGACCTCTCACTTTTTCACCAGTACTCATCTTAGATATCAAATCAGCAGAATCTCAACTGAAACTCAGTCTTTCATCATGATAAATGCCCTAAGACGTCTTAGGAAACAAATACATTGACTAAGTTCGTTTAAAAAAAAAACTCGATTATTTTTAGAATGTTTAGGTTATTTTTAGTCTTTATATAAAGCGCTCTGGGTGATCACATCAGCAAGTCTTTCTTATACTGCACCGGTATGACGCACGTTCCGTGTCCTGGGCTATGATCCAAAATGGATTTAAGGCGTAGTATTAATGACGCGTCCCGTCTTAGCTCAATGTTTTTGAAACAAGATTACAGTCCGGTCATCTTTACCAGGTCATGACTTCATAGTACAAGACACAAAACTCTCCCTTTTGGTATTTTCAGATTACAATGTTGACATTACGTATAGCCGACACTTCAAGTCGGAGAGCCCATATGTCCAATTAGGTTGAAGTGGGCTTTCAAATGTCTTTCACGCTGTCATCACATTATGTTGGAGTTGATGTTTTCCTCGGGCAACGACTATTCAGTTGAACATCAAATGAATGGAACGGCACAGCCGTGTCTAAGATGATTCACCATCGGGAATTCATTCTCTTCAACATTAAGTAATTACAGCTTCGAAGATCGGTGAACAATCCCCGGTAAAATAACAATAGGCCTCCGATGCAGCTATACTACATTGACCGTGCTCCCGTTGCCCTCCTGCAGTTGTAAGCCTAGTATTAAGCCAACTTGAATCTTGTTAAAAAGTTATTCACCAAGTAAAAAGTTTCCTTCGATGAAGTATATATTCGTCGATCGATCTTCTCGGCCTACTGACAACTTTGAAGATATATGCTTTGGAACTCTTCGGAAAAGTTCCATGCAGATTTTTCACTGTAAACCAGCACACGATGCACAACAGAGTGTATAAGAACTAAGAAGCAAGAGTGATCCTTAAATACAGGAGAAACTTCTCTTGTGGGGTCAAGGGATGCTGAAGAATCACTGTTAAACTAGTGACTTCCTCTTACACTATAGTAGCGGATGATGACGTGTTCAGGCAAATATAATGCGATATGGTGACGTTGCTTCTACCCGTCCCAGCGCTATGAGTCAGGTGTCACTTTAACGAATTTGGCCCTTTCGTTGTCCTAATATCATGAATATTATCGATGTTCCTCGCAATATTTTTTAAAGCTGTATCCGGCAGAACATAACTTTCAAAATCAAATGAAAAAGTAATGTATGCATCGACGAAACGACGAACATGCACAAAACGTGTGTTTTAATAAGACCATTAATTTCATGCTTACCCAACATTAGATTTTGAACAATTTGCCGCTCCATACATTGCGATCGAAATCGACCCAGTCTGGTAACTTCCCAGTGTTCAACGCAAACTTAACGAATAAGTTATGGGAACGAGACGAGATCGGTAACCAAAACTTACCGCGGCGCTTTTCCAATGACGTCCTGACATGCGGCATTTTACATGTTTTAGATGACAAATATTTATCTGTTTTGTGAAGAATAAAACCAATCATCATGGCCCAAGGGAAAGATGCCATGACCAAGGCCACATTTTACGACGAGGCCAAGACTTATTGGGAGGACATCCCGCCGACTGTAAACGGGATGCTTGGCGGCTATGGGACGATCTCCAGCGCTGACGTGAAAGGGTCGATTAAATTTATCAAACCGATGCTGATGGTAGGAAGATGATACGCCAATTTTAATTGACGTATGACTGAAATAAGCTCTGAATTTTAATACACTTTTGTGAAAAGACGTGTGTCATTGTCCTCTTAATTCTGTGATTCACTGACAAATACAAGAGTAAACTGACACACTCCTCTCAAAACTAAGTTAAACTTAAACTAAAGTGTATCTGTCTTTTTTTAATAAAATTAAAAATAAAAGAACTTGACCATGTCGTTCGAATTGATCAAGTAAATACTGTTTTTACTGGCCTACTGATATAAACCAACTATTTCTAACACATGGCAAACAAAGAATTGTTCTTTTTTGTTGTTGAAAACAGTGTTCTTATTCCTCCATGGTTTATATATATCAAGCAAACAGTAGTTATATCTATAATATATTTACAATTGTGAATTCTTTCACATCTCAACTTTATTTTTTTTTAATTAAAAAGCAGCATAAGTCCATTTATTTTTTATTCTGATTCAGTTCATTTGATAAAATTGTTTACCCAAAGTTTGATTAATTTTTCAGTGTGAATGGAATGAGAGAGTTGGATCAGAGAAGGCATTGGATTGTGGTGCTGGCATCGGCCGTGTTTCCAAGCACGTCTTGCTGCCCCTATTCCAGTCAGTGGATCTGGTCGAACAGGAGCAGAAATTCCTGGACGAGGCACCGTCCTTCCTCGGAGAAGCTTCCTCCAATGTTGGCAAATACATCTGCTGTGGGCTGCAAGACTTTGTACCCCAGCCCAAGCACTACGACGTCATCTGGTGCCAGTGGGTTCTCGGCCATCTCACGGACGAACACCTTGTCAATTTCTTCAAGCGTTGTAAAGAAGGTCTGAAGGATGGAGGGGTGATGTGTATTAAGGAAAACATCTCCAGGGAGGGGGTTATATTTGACGAGCAGGATAGTAGTGTGACCCGATCCTCCAAGGAACTCACCAAGATTTTCCGCAAAGCGGGACTCAAGATCTTTAGGGAAGAAGTGCAGAGGAACTTTCCTCTGGAGATATACTTGGTCAAGATGTTTGCACTTAGATGAATGTTGGTTATTGTTGTCACATAGAGAACAGAAGGGCTTCATTGTCATGAATAAGACTTCTCTCATACCCCAAGTGGTCTGTTGTTGTATTTGAAGGTTCCAGTACTGATGAAATGGAATAGCATCTCTCATAGTGTGAAATGAATAATCTTAAAATTACAAAGAAAAAAAGTTTAGGTTTAAAGTGTGTCTTTGTATATTTTTTCTATTGGTGCATAGCATATCCTTTACAGTCCACTGCAAAGTCACACAGTCGTGAATTACTATACCTCAGAGGACAAGGCATTGTGTTTCCATCTGTTCCTATAATTTAACACTCTCCACTAAACACACACCACACACTTCATTTGAGGACTGTTTTTGATGAATAATCTTAAATATTGCAGTATTGAGTATTAACTTCCATTATACAGTATTGAAAAAAATGTATCTAGACAACCACAATCTAGTTGAATGATTTTATCTAACTGTACTAGTAAGATTTACAAGTAAGTGACATGAGTTGATGGTTACTTCAACAAACCTCAATGTCGATTTTTTATTCTCGAAAGAAGTGTCTTTCAGAAAACAGTTGTATACAAAAAACGTTAGATGTGTGCCTTTCTATAAGGCACAAAATTGTGTGAAAAATAAAGATGAGTCGAGCGTCATTTTTGATGTCAAATTATACCATTGTGGATACATGTAGTTGTTATTGACCCAGAATGGATAGCTTTTTCATCATCATGTTGGTGGCATGTATTATTTCCCTCCTCAATTTCATATTTTACCATTTAAAGATTTAATTAATATGCCAAAATGTAATAAAAGAGGGCGACAATCTATTTTGAAGTACAATTAACTCCAATTTTTAACGTGTGAGGGCAGTATACACTTTTAATGATGCAATGGTTGGTAAATATTTATCACGAGAGGGCGACAAACTAAACAGTTTTGAAAAAGTTGACATATTTGAAACACAAGAGGGCGACAAATATACTCTTTCAAACATTGGATGATTTTTGTCACAAGAGGGCGGCAAACAAAATGATTGGCCAAACTGTAGCGCGAGAGGGCGCCAAATAGTTGGCCTATTTGAAACACAAGAGGGCGGTTTAAAAAAAATGGTCAAATCAGAACACAAGAGGGCGGTATATAATGACTAGCCCCCTCTTGCGATAACTTTAACAAATTCAAGATGGCAGCGCCCATGGATACTCTCAAATCTCATGAATCTGGATCTGATGGTTTGTCCATTCGTCTGGAATTCAGGTATTAAATGAATTAGATATTATGTATGATAAAAATTAGGTAAAGTTCACGAAGTTCGCCATTTTAACAGATAAAATACTATAATATTGTCTACCCTTCGTCGTCTGCCATTAGGCTAATTGATTAAAAAAAAAAAATATGCAACTTAAAAAACAGTATATAGCCTATAGGCACTAAGGCAGGCCTATCATCAAGTGTCAATGCCTCAATTTGTCAAGTATCATTAGTATCCTTTTTTATAGCTCCATGGTATCAAGTATCATGATCATCACCATGGCGACAGTGTCAATGGCCAATGCCCGTTATGCCCCATGCCCGCCGAAGCCGGCTAGGACTTTCTCTCAAGATTTTTATAACTGGATTTGTGATTCGATGATGGTGCACTTTCATATGTACACACAATCAGCACACCAAGAATGGCAAGATTAAATATATTTTAATTACATTTTTCGCTGAGGCTAATGTTACGGCAGCCGTAACGCAACTTTCAACTGCTATCTTAACGGAACTTTCTGGTTCCCTGAATTTAGTATAGTATTCAACGTCACGATCACTGGCTGTTGGAACAAGACTATCATGACTTTCAACCAATATGGTGCTTGGACTTTATTTCCCTTTTTATACAAAAATCCTTAAAACCACCGATTTCAAAGGGAAGAAAATAAAATCTACTTACATAAAAACAAAATTTGATTAAAAACTTAAGAATTCTGTAAAAAAAAGAAAGAGTAGTACTAGCACGGCAGAGGTTTGAACCAGTGTCCCCTGCTCATTGAGGTAATGTCTGTACCAATCAAGCTACCAAAGCGCTCTGGTTGGAAGGGCAGTTGTAAATCTGATATATGTTTGCATTGTGTTCTTACTTCTTACAATGCCGTATTGTGTTCTTACAATGCCATAATGATAGTATTTGAAAATTGAGTTACGGCTGTCGTAACGATAACCACTACGTAAATTTATATACAATTTAGCATCCTTTCACTTTCTAGTTAATTCTACATGAACAGAAGTGGCATAGATGATTACTTCATCTTGGTGTTGTTTGGTGGGGTGATGCTTTTTCACCAACATGTATGTGACCTACATGTACTTATCACTGTATGATGTTTATATTTTAAATACAGTGGTGGAGCTGAACTTTTATTTGACAAAATCAAGAAACATGACATCACACTTGATACTTCAAATGGATCAAACTGTGAGTACAGTACTTAACAACCAATGACAAGTAATACTACCACTGCAGTTGTCTTATTCCTCCATTATTTTGCCATGTCACTTAGTATGTTGCAAGAAGCAATGGAGTGGATTGCCACTTTTGATGTTATACAGTTCAGGTATTTCAAAATGTTCAATAAAATTGAATGCAAAGTTGATTTGATTTGAATTTGCAATATACTCTCGTCTCCTGTAGAGTTACATTGTCATATTCTCTGCACATGTTTGTTGCAAATCTTGGCCCAATAAATAATAATAATAATAATACTGTTGAGCTTTGGAGTTACAAATGTATGATAATATGCTTGTGAATATGAATCACTGACTACAATGCACAATGTTACTTGCAGGCCTATCCTGACAGCCTCAGTAATTAAAAGCTTACTGCAGCCAATATTTCTGAAGTTGCCTGGTATGATGTTATTATAGTTGTTCTGTAAAGCTGTGTGTTGTGTTTCAAATAGTTTCAAGCAATATTGTGGCCTCCATGCATCATGATATTTTTCTTGGCTTATGTTATGTTTCCAGGGAATATCAGAAGACTAATATCATGGATTAAAGACAACCTGCTGAAAGAAAGACCAGAACTTTTTGTCCAAAATAACACAGTGTAAGTTAAAGATAAAGATGTACAGTTAAACATATACTTGGCACTGTACACAGTAAAATAAAATAAGGACTTACATTAACTGTGCGAGCTTCACAATGTTTAGGCTGCCACTTGTGTATATGTATACCAACAAGCACGTTTTCCCTCATGGTTGTGCCAGCATATTCCTTGTATCTTCCTGCTCCAGTCCAGAATATGCACTGTGTTCACCTTGTACTCACAACACACGTCATGCTCTGCTCTGTTTGAGACACTCAGATTGACCTAAATGTCTTAGTTAGGAATGCACTGCCATTCCAGACCCATTTTCTATTTGACAATAGGGCTAGAAGAGTGCATTCTAATCATTGTGTTCTACTTTATGTAAAGAAAGTTAAAGACTTATTGTATGGAAAGTGGTACAGATAAAACAAACCTTTTCCCATCGAGAAAGACCAGGCTTAAATAAATGTTTCACCCCCATCTCTCTCTGTAGGAGACCTGGCATTTTGGTTTTGGTGAACGATGCAGATTGGGAATTAGTGGTAAGTTGTATGCTTTCTTGGGATGAGTTGTTGCATGTCAGGGGTGTGGGTGCTGTGTGAGTGCTAGGTGTCTTCGCGATTCCTCAAGACAGACTTGATATATTCTCAGCAAACTGCAAGGGTAGCTTGCTAGTTGAGCTTCAGTAAAGCCTATTGAATACTTGGGTCAAAGGTCAAGACCAATATAACCAAAACTTATTAAAGGTGATGTGAATGAATAATCCCACAACACAAGAGCTCATTGTGAACTATGATGTTAAAAAGGCTGGTGTGGAGTAATTGGAGCACGCCTATTCCTATAGAATCTAATCAGTTAATTTTAATTTTCTGTACTGTGTTCAGGGCGAGTTGGACTACAACCTCCAAGCCGACGACCGGATAGTCTTCATATCCACCCTGCATGGCGGATGATAGCAACATGGCTTCAAAATGCATAACTAAATCTCGACATTTTTTTATATTTAATACCGAGGGCAAGTTGAATTATGGTCATCGGCGACCAGTAACAAGCTAGCAATTTTGAAAGGAGACAAAAAAAGGCTGTGAATGTTAATTACTCTCGTTACAAGTAACCTGGGCAATAAGTTTTCATCTCCTCAAAATTAAGAAGTTTAAAGATGCTGGCAAATACTTAAAAAAAAAAACACAGAAAGTACAAATATGGACAAAATAAGGTCAGTAAGCTGTCAGTAGATAGTTAATATTTTCACATGCACTTTATATTTGATTATACAATTCTTATTGGTTTACAATTCTGACAGAAGAAAACAATAACAAATTTCAGCAACAAATTTTCCACAAATCTACTTTCTCGTTATACACATGATAAAGGAGTATCGTTGTAGCCTATATAATATACAAAGACTGCATAATTACAATGTTTGATAACGTTAAGAATTTGTACACAATATATGGAGACGAAGCTGTAATATGCCAGTGAATACTGCTGTAAAAACCTATAATTCTGCAGCAAGTATGTATGTATTGCCTGTGGAAAACTAGCACTATTTGTCAAAAATTGAAAGTTTTGGGAATTTTGCACAACTTAGTTTATTTGGGGTTTGTAAAGAAACAGAATTTAATAATCATGACGAATAAAGTGTAAACAAGGGGAAGTTTCAACAATTTCCACAATTCTTAAAATTTCAATCTTAACCATTCGCAGATCACGGCGTATATTTCTGGTTATGTTTTGTGCATCAATTAATGTTATTTGTTTGTAATTACACAAATCTTTTACACAGAAATGCATTAACTGTGAGCAATTAAGTTGGCAGTATAAAATGCTTTACCCACGTTCCAACTTAATCACCTCCTGTATTCACTTGGACACGAAAAGAATATAAAACTACAAGCAAAAACTTCATTTATAAATAAATAATATACCAAATCTGGATGACAAACTTTGGCCCCAGTATCTGTGCAAAATCAAATGGTGTATGGTGCAAATTTGTTTAGTATCAAGTAAGCTTAAAAAAATTAGATGAAAACTCATTTCTCTATTTTGGCAAAAAAAGGGTACTGTGTCTCAATACATTTTAAAATGTAAAAAAAAAAAAAAAAAAACCCATAAATTTGACTAAACTTTTAACTTGATTTTCAGATGAAAAATCTGTGAAATAGAATGACAACCACATCCTGCAATACAGTTTATACTATGATAAGATCCAATATTTCACAAATATTTTCTCCTTTTCTGATGATTCAAGAATCGAACTTGGGCAAAAATTACTGCATATCTATGTCTATGCACATTCAATTTAACTTCACTACTACAATATGTAACGTAAAAAATGGAATGTCAAAATTGGAAAGTTCTTAATCTCTCTCATATATACATTCTGAAACATGTCAGAACTCTGAAATCTAAGCATCTTCCTTCCGTCACTGTTTAAGCAGTTTGTGTTTCAAAATGAAGAGTTTATTCCAAAACCTGATATACATGTACGCCATTTTGTTCCCTTTTAGAATTCTTCTCTCTCCTGGCTGCCCACAAGCAATTTCAACGGCTGTTATATACTTCAACACAATTTAAGAATACAAAAAAATGAAGTTTAGAAACAGCTGTTATACTGTTTTTATTCCTGAAAGTTTCATAACCGTGCGAAATTTTTGAAAATGTCGCGTTTTGGAAATAAACTCTTCAAAAGAACAAGGCAAATTCTACAGACTACAACTACTGAGTATGTGCCACCTACCTTCACACACACTGATCTATTTTCTTACTGAAATCTGTAAAAGATGAAAGTTTTAATACATGTAACTGATTTAATGTACAGCACTTCAATATTACTGTATTGCACTTCTACTTCCAATAATGAGGTGCGTTTACATGCCTACATTAATTGTTCTGCTTGAGGATATATGTACCTGTTCGAAGTTAGGAAAAAACGAGATTCAGGTTTCTTTTATACACAGTCCACTTTGACTTTAAGTCTGATATCACAGCTAAGCACACAAAACTGCCAAACACAGGAATGTAAATAAAGTAAAAGCAAAACTACAAACTACATGTAGACAGTAGTGTGTATTAATTTTGGGTGATTTTTTGTAAAAATAAATTGCTGAAGTGGCTGCTGCACTATCAGCAAATTCTACCAAGACTGGCCGAGTAAAAATCTGTACCCCCCCCCACCCCCACAAGTGCGAAACAAGCAAGTCAAGTTTTAGTTCATCATGCACTATTAATACAGTCGACTCTCATTAATACAAACTCTGTTTAATTAATACAAACTCTGGTTATAGCAAACAAAGCCTTGGGCCCAACTGTGCATATCATGTACACAATGAATGGGATGGGCACTCTGCTTAATACAAAATTCTGATATAACAAACATATTGGCTAGGTCCGGCTGAGTTTGTATTAACGAGAGTCAACTGTACAATGATCCGTGCGTTATTTCAAGCTCCACTGGTCTGTTATCGTTAACAATAGGAACTTGCATTAAAACTTACTTGTAACTTCTTCGACTCTAAAATATCTGCAAGTGGAGTGTGCCACATGCAAACTTATACAAAATATACAAGAAATATTTACTTGCCGCTGTCTCTCGAATATTATCACATTGGGAAGTCATTGGCTGTGTTTAGATGAGCCAAATACACGTACATGCGGTACCTCACGAGGGCGCCCTTCATGATGTCAACATCTAATCGCTAATGTCAATATCTCATTAATTGTATTAGGGTAAAGGAATTAATAATCCCAACTACAGCCTATCTGCGGAACATGATGTACCAATTCCCAGAACGTGCAGAAATTAAATGTTTTTATTTTTTTTATTCTGAAGTTTCTGCAAACCCTTTTTTTTATGGATCAATCTGGGCCCAATTTCATGGCTCTGGTTTCATTAAGCAAAAATTCCCTGCTTACTGTAGCAGAAAATTTCGTGCTTACGGTAAGCGTATTTCACAGGTTAGCGAGGAATTTTGGCATCTGAGCATACGTACATCCCGTCACTAAGGATTCCGTGCTTACAGGTTTAGCACAGAATTTTTCTGCTAGCGCAGTTAGCACAAAATGGTGATCATAAGCGCGGAATACTGAGGTTAGCAGAGCCATCAAAATGGGCCCAAGTCTAATCATCTAGCAATTGACTGTACATAGCATTTTATTTCCATTACACTCTCAAGCAGAAACATGCGTGAACCCAAATTTGCAAATTAAACACACCTCATTCCCAAATATAAACCACTTATGAACGTTTACATGGTATTAGATAATTTTCGCAGCTTGTTACTTGAAAAACATCTTTGAATCTAGTTTATAATTTAGCTAGTATAATATTTATATAGTTTTATCTCTTACTATTTTAATATGAACTTGTGCTATCTTAAACCAGTTACCCAAAACTGTTTTACAACTACTGGTCAGGTTATAGTCGACCAAAGTCAATGATTACAGCTGAACATTATAAAATTTGATTTCAAAACTGCAACTACTCTGTCGTCCACATTTACTGAGAAATTTTCCCAAAATTGAAGGGAATTAACAGATGTGAGAGAAAAAAAGTTAAGAAGGATTGGGATATGAAGAAGGAAAAAGGAAAGGATTACTTTTTGTCGATACAATTGTATAATATTTAGATGTAACTTTTTTCATATTGATGGTAACACTTTACACTTTACTCAAAACTATTCTACAATTGAAACTTTTGGATAGAGGTACACTCTGCTCTTACTGAATTATCTGATAGGACTAAAAAAAAAATGTAATTCCACAACCAGCCAAACTGAATTTTTTTTGTCGATGACACATCTTGCACAATTACAAAATAAATAAAAATTGATGTGATTTTTCTCAGTTTTGTCGTAACACTTTCACAAATCAAATATTTCTTTCTGATCTGGTACATATTGCTTGTTTTTAGTCTATGGAACAAATAACGTTGAAGTACTCTGGAACCACGCTCCCTTGAAGATTACCATGACAGCCAAAAAGTGATTAAAACTGGACAACTATTACGCACAGAGAGAGAGCTATTAAAGGTCCAAAAGTTTAAAATCTGCAGAAACGACCTTTATTTTTAAAGCACAATTTTGCCGTTTTTATACTGCAAAGCACATGCCAAAAAGTCTTGACCTAATTTCAACCAATCGTGAGTCAACAGCTCAAGAGAGTCAAAGGCTGAAAAACTTTGTACTTTATGTTAAATAGCTCCCTCTTGTGTTGTAAACTGTCCAATCATTTTGTTCTGATTACTCCTGCAATAGCATGTGTTTATCCGAATCATTGCCATTACTGTTTGCTGTAGAGAAATGTTGACCAAACCTACCGCGTTGTGTCAATTTACTGCTTTTCCTACCGGATAACGATGACAACGTTGATGACGGAGTTGGTGGCAAACTGTGGCTGAGTTGGTTGGATAATTTGCTGGGATCTGATTGGCTACTGCCCGGCTCAATAGGTCTGTGATTGGTTGCCAGCATTCAGCTGTTGCTGAGGTCACGGAGATCCGTCAAGAATCCCTCGGGAGTCAAAATGTGAGTGGATCCTGACAAAAATAACAACCGGGAAAAAAATTCTCCAAATCCCATCAAACAAAGGAGAGATCTTGATCTTAGGACAATGGACTGTTCGAGGGAAACATCTTAATTTTTTTTGTTTTTTTTGTGATTTGATGAGAAACGATGAATGGAATTAATGGATAAATCCCCTTTAACCTTTTGGTGCACAGATTATTAAGATTACATGCACAGATTATAACGTTTCTTTGCGGTTGCTGACGACCACCCCGTGCACCAAAGGGTTAAATTAGTTGAGTTTTTTAAAACACATAATTGTTTTTTCTTTTGTACCTTAGTTGTGTGCTAAAACTTAAGCAGTTGGGGTTGAATGTCTAAGAAGAGTGTTCTTACCAATGTAGCACTCCCACTTGTTGAACTGTGGGCTCTTATTGACCTCATATGCACATCTCATCTCAGAGTAAGACACGCCACCGACGATGAAGATGATCAGACGCGGGCCGCTCTTGTAGTTAGTCGCTTGCTTGTCCTTGTGCCAATGGCCATATCGAGCACTATAAGCAGGGGATTAAAGCACAACATGAAAAACATTAACCAGAATTTTCAAGGTATTCCTGAATCCTCCAAAAATCAATCACCTTGCAGGAAACCAAACCCCAGTTTTGTACTTGAAACTTTGACGGGGCCTCAATCCTGCAAAATCCTACAACTGTCCCATGGGATTTTGAAGTATCAGGGTGGATATAGGGTTACTTAATAGCAATTTTGTGACGCTTCACACAAAACGACAAGCTATTTTCAAATCCAAGCAGAAAGCTATACCTCCTTGGGTTAGACCCTCCTCCATAGCTTGACGCCGGATTACGACCCGAGAGAAACGGATAGATCTTCAGGTCCAGACGATCACTAATGGTGTCCTGTCAAACAAAACAGAATGCAGAAAAGTTAGGGCAAGGCAGTCTAGCCATAAATTAGTTCTACATCAAATCCAAGATTTGTTTTTGCTAAATTTGGAAATATGGGACAATGACCGTGACAAGTTGACAATGACAGTGGCACTTTGATACCTCCATGATGTCCTTGACCACTGGCGTCCATCGTGATAGCTGATAGGTGTGTTCAGTGATGCGATGTGTCCTGTCTGGACCCTTGGTCTTACGAGCTCTCGGCTGCGATTCAAAGGTAAATATGCACATTATAAAAACAATACATAGCTCATACCTCAAAACAAAAACAACCTAAATTACAAGTAATAGGCAACAACAGCCATAACAATGGCAGCATGCCGCTTACGTCAAAGATGATTTGGACCCCAAGATGTTTCATGTTAGTGACGATGGGCTTCTCGGGTTCCGGGATCTGGGCATGCTGGATCAGTTTGTTCATGTTCTCCTCGCTGATACCTGCAAGTATATATAAAAAAGACCCATGACCAATGTAAAATCATTAAATGGATCCTTTTACGGCCCCGACTGTAAAAGTTGTCATGGCAAGAATAGGACTCAGGTTTGGACTCCTGCTTGACCACCTGTAATACTAAGGGAATAAATGTGTGCTTCGGAGGTTTTTATCACTCTGTTTAACACCACTTAGAGTCTGGGTGCTGATAATTACCCGAGCCGGAGGCGAGGGTAATTATCAGCACCCAGACTCTAAGTGGTCTGAAACAGAGTGATAAATACCGACGGAGCACATATTTATTCCCATTCATAAATACCTTTTCGGTAAGAAAAAATCATATAATTCGTTCAAAACATCCCGATTTTGTTCAACAAATTCACTTTATGCTTTTTGAAACATCCCTCTTGCAAAATAATGGAGTGTTCAGCTGGCGAGTAAGATGTAAACAACCCTTTTATGGAGATTGACGCGCGCGTATCATGTTCTGCGCGATGTCGCGCAGAACACACCTGGCGCGTTGCGTTTTGAATTTAGAACTTTAAAATTCTGACTCCCTGGTAGTGTTGCGCATGCCTACGTGAGGATTGTGAACGTTCAACCAATGAAACGATAAGAGGCACTGGATTTTTAGGAGTCCACATTTTATTGTGGCACTGGAAAAGTGTTTAAGACCAGCTAGCCATGTCTTTATCATCCGTTTAAGACCGGCCACGTGACGGGCTCTCGACCAATAGGAATGCGTAAACTGTCTTAGGTATTTATGAATACCAATTAATGAGACATACAGACAGTAGTATGACAAGGTGAGAAAGAAAACCCTGTCATCAGTTTCACAACCAAATGTAAAGCTTCTATTTTTTTTTTAACCCTAACCCTCCCAGAGCCATTAAAATTCACCAGGAGCTCCAGGTTTGAGAGAATTGTTCAATATTGAGGGAGAACAGGTAGAGCTCAGCGACTCTTGTGCTACATGGGACTTGTTGCCCTGTGGAAGTTGGAGTGCAGAGAAAGTGACATTGGTTTCTGCAGAGTGGTGCATTTTGAAGGACTTGTGAAGGTTCCAGCCAAGAGGGGAGTTGGGGTTAATGATAAGCATCTCCTCTTACCGTTCTTGCCGATGACGTAGAGCAGTATGATACGCAGCTTGTCATAGGAGGAGTACTTCTGCTCCAGCAGGATTGGCACAATGTTCCTCATCTGGTCTTTGACCTTCTCTCCTTCCGGGTTGGTGCCGAGGGCCAGGTCTTGTTCCACGCGGCACAGGCTCTCCACTAGAGGCTTGAATTGCTTCATGCAATCCTCTGCCAGTCGCAGGTGGGTGGAATACTGAGGTGCACCCAAAAGAAATATTCAGACTTAGACACTTTCACTCGACAGGCTCTAACAATGAGCTGAATTTTATTTAAGAGCTTTTTAAGAAGACCCAAGGAAAACAAAAGAAAAACAGCAGATTTTACAAGAACTATGGAAATATACAGGCTACGTTTTTAGGTTTGACAATGGGAGGCATCAAAAGAAGGGAAAACTTACCTTTCTCATGTCTTTTTGATACTGTGGCATCTTCTTCAACATCTGAGACAAATCACGCACACTCGTCTGAAAAAAATTTAAAAGGCACAAACGTTGTGTCAATCTGACAGGTTGACTAAAGCTGTAATGGCTCCAAAATTTCAAAGATAGCATCTTGTGCAAAACATGCTATAAGGGCACCAGATACAAAGCTTTATTCATTTATTCCTTTCTGGGTACAAAATCTTTGATCTCACCTTTTCACCTCCAGAGCCCATCTTGCCACCGATCTTGGCCTTGGCAAAATTTTTCAGCTGAGTTGTGATGGCCCTGCGTGGAGATCAGGCACACAGGTCAAAACAGTTCAAAGGTCAAAGACAGTCTAATAAATCATGGCATTTTGGGATCCCTATCAATGTGAAATTATTCAACTATGACTATGACTTGTGCCATTGGTGTTATGGACAATTCCATGGTTACTCAAGTTACATTTTTGATGTACTTTTGAGTTTCCTTGGGCTGTAATTAACTTACTGAAAAGGTTTAATCTGTTATCCCCATGGTAGATAGAGTAGACCTAGACCTACCTGAGCACCAAAGATGACATCCAGAAAAATGTGCTATGTATGATAAACAAGACGCACAAACTCGGTTACTCACATTACATGTCATCTTTGGTGCTGAGGTAGGTCTAGGTCTACTCTATCTATCATGGGGATAACAGCTATTAAACCTTTTCAGTAAGGTAATTACAGCCCAAGGAAACTCAAAAGTACATCAAAAATGTAACATGAGTAACCGTGGAATTGCCCTTATGACTTACTGGGAGACATCTGCAATGTGCTGGTGACGCAAGCCGGTCCAAAGATCGTCATTCTCGTCCAGGAGTACTTCCTGGTCGTTCATATCACTGCCACTTGCCTCATACCTGCATACAGGAATGACATGCACTGTCATTCTATGACAGAGTAATGGTCGCACTCTACTATACAGGGGTGCGTTTTGGCGGTCATAACCAAGAATTGGTTCGGTAGTTTCTTGTCAGTGAATTTCTTCAGCAATTTTAATTGGATTAGAATTACGCATGATCATGTAATACTCAAATCCCCAAAACAATTGACCAAAGAGAAACCACCGAACCGATTCTTGGTTATGACCGCCAAAACGCACCCCAGACAAGAATTCTTCCACCTTTACCATATAGTAAAGTCTGTCACGCGCCAATATAGCCCATCAGGCCGGCGTTCATCTCCAGTTTCCTTGGCATTTAACGACTGAGAATATTTTTTCCCCCTGGATGGGATGCCGGTCCATCACAGGTTACTCCCAGCTAATGCCGGTACCCATTTATACTCCTGGGTGGAGAGAGGAAAATGGGGGTGAAGCGACCTGCCGAAAGTGAAAACAACGTATTGCCAGCAGCTGGATTCAAACCCCTGACCCTCTGATCCTGAGTCACGAACCCTAAACACTAGGCCACACACCCCACGCACCCACTCTTAACCTTGCTGGTGAGTATTTTGTGAGAAACCAGCTGAGTCCAGCAAATCAAAAAGCTGTTTACATGTGATCCATAAATGGTCTAATAGTCAGAGCATATGATCTTTTGTTCACTATTAAGATTGACAAATTCCAACAGATTGTATTTGTGTTGTGGCGTGTTGAATTCAGCAGGGTTGGAATATAAAAATCAAGATAAAAACTGACCTGTAGACGTCATTCTCAATGGGCAAGAGGTCATTGGCCATAGCTTGAAAGGTCAACTCATGGAGCAAGGGTGACACCACGTCAAAGCCACGGTCCAGAACAATCAGCTGGGAACGATGCTTCTCAGGTCCCTGAGTGTCAAATAAACCAGAAACATGCAAAGGTCAGCCAACTGAAGGCAGTGAAATGAAGGACTATTCATGCTACCACATTGTAATACTAGGTCCTTGGTTTTGCACGGAGTAAAGGCACACCTAAACTTAGGAGAATTTCAATTTTGTTAAGCCAGTATTTGTGAAGTCTCTAGGGCAGAATGGATTCTTACTGAATTCTTTACAGTTCCCATAATTTCTCTTAAAGTTCAAGGAATTTTCCTCCACAAATCAATGATTTCACAATGTAAAGAAGAAATTCAAAAGTATCAAGGAACAATACAAGGATCGTTGTGCTCTGTAAGTAAATTTTTAAAGTTTCTTTTACAGAATTGAAGTCACTAGAGTTTTCTGAACTGCACAATTCCCTAGAATTTTTAAATTTGCTTGAATGCTCTTGAGCTCTCTTCTAATTCACATGAACCTCCCTCCAGATTTAAAAATATTGTCTGATTTCTTCCATAGTTTCTTGAATACCTGGGTTTATTAAGAATGATCTAATTACTTGGAACTGCAACGATTAGTTTGAGCAAGAAACAATAGATGAGTATTACCAAGTCAACAGACAATGATGAACTCACCTCCCCCATGGTAGGCTCATCTGCCTTGTATGCATCCAGTTTACTCTGAATCATCTGTGCTACCTCCAGATTACGATCAAACTCACTGAAAAATACCCCAAAAAAGGATTCAAAACAATAAATAAAACTCTCTTCGAAACAGCTACTCTTTCAGACCTGACAAAATATTATGAGAAAGGTAAATATATTTTAAACTTTGGTGACCTGGGCCCAATTTCATAGTGCTGCTTCACAGCCGATTTTGTGCTAACAGAGCCTCCGTCTATTTCATAGAGACCGCTTAACCCCAAAGGAAAAAGTTGCGTAAATCAGTGAAGCAACAATAGACATCTCCATGGGCACGCAGCCTCACGCAGCCCTTTTGCACATCCACGACATGAAATAGTGCTTAAGCAGCAGCACATTGTTCTGCTATAATAAGCATAACTTTTCTGCTAACTGTTAAGCAGCGCTATGAAATTGGGCCGAGCATTTCTGATGAAATATTTCAAAAGGTATCCAGCCCTGTGTAAAGTAATAGTAACTTGCTTCTACAATCCTGAAACGTGTAAAATCCTCCAAACCTTCTCATGGAAGGCAAAGGATCTGCGAGGGTTATCGTTGTACTTCAATACTGAATTGAACCTCGCGGTCCCGCCACTTACCCACGATAGCGTATAGCAGGGTATTCCCCCAGTGATGCACACAGCGTGGCTATCTGTTCAGCAATTCTCTCAATCATCACGGAGCTACCACCCATGCGCACTGGGTTGTAGAAGCTGTTGAAACTCTCCGGTGAGTCCAAGGAGTACACCTGAATAAAACAAAAAATGTTGTTCATGTTGTGAAAGAAAACAAGGTAATCCACAGATCACACATGTTGCCTATTTTCGCATCATGCCTCCCCCTCCCCACCCAAGGATCACTCCTTCCAAATAATCAATTTCAATGAAAAAAAACAGGAAAAAAGATGTGAAATCAGGCAAAAAAGCCCCAAAACAGGCTCAAAACAAATAAAAACACGGAATTTGGGCAACAAAAACAGGAAACAGGAAGATTCTCGTGCCTGAATAATATCAAAATCCATCAAATTATGTAGACTAAGAAACATTTGAAGCATATTTGAACAATGACCTCAAATGACCCCCTACATCACCTTTGACTTCAATATTCCTAATATATTAGGTGATCATACAAGCACTGTCGTGTATGTTATATAAAGAGGTTTTTGCGTATTACCGAGGATTCGTATGGCATGAAAGCAATGTTGATTTCCTTCAGTGTCATGATCTTGGGCTTGGCGGGACTCTTGTTGAGAGTGCTGAACAGCTCGTTGGGGCAACCTGTCACCAAAAACCAACAATTAGCAATCAATGACAATCAAAAATAAACAGCCAGCTCATGTACGCAATGATGAAAATGACGATAATAATATAATGGCGATAAAAATGGGAATGCTGCCTTCCTTTAATGATACATGTATGATATTAACGGTCACTTATGTATCAACGTCTGAGACTCACAAGATTACAACTTCAATTATCACCTTTTAAAAAGGCTCAGCACCTTTTTTTATATGGATGAACACAGCACATGGCCAAATTTGGCTACAATGAAAATATAAAGGCAGGCTATAAGTAGCTCAGAAACAGGATACATGTAATGTAAAGCATTCAAAAGTGCAAAAGAACAAAGAAAAAGGCTGAAAGAACATCTCACATTGCTGGCCTTACTGACATCTATTACATTGAGTGGGCGAGAGGAGATGCCTTCAAAGGAAGAAAGAGAATGATTTCTGCAAAAAAAACCATGTATTTTAATGCTTTGCGTTCAGATGATTGTACTTACACTCTGTGAAGAAGACGTGGGCATACTTGTACTGTGGGACAAGAGGCTCCTTGAAGTCATTGATTAACTGGGCGACTGACTGCAAAGAAGAATAAAAAAATGCCAAGTTAACATTAATTAATAGGTTTCATAACTTACGGCGTAAGGTTTCAGAATTATTCTGAACACTGTCAATCCTAAATAAGCTTGTCCCAAAGATACTGACATTCTGAGTATTATATTAGAATTCAACCGAAATCTAAAAGCAAACTGATTGTCTGTGTGCGAATGCGAAAGCTATGCCATAGTGTAATATCTATTTATATTTCAATTGTGGGGACTACTTTATTCAATATCCTTGCGCACAGGACTAATCTTGACCCTACATAAAGGGCCACGTAGGCAAATTAAATTTGTTGATTTTTTTTTACACCTATTGGCAGGCGTTCTTGTTTCTGTAGGTATTAATAATAATAATACCTTCTCAGATGGCTGCATGATGTATATGGCCTCCAATGTTCGCAGGGGCTCGCGTTTCTTCATAAGGTCTTCCACCACTGATCAATAAATAGATGGACGTATGAAGTGTAAACAATCATTTAAAGTGTATACACAAAGGGATTCATCTTACATTTTAACCCTAAAGGGTCGGGGGGGGGGGCAAATCTGCCCCCCCCCCTTCAACTTTTTCCGCGATAGCCTTGAAATTTTTTTTTTCGCGACCTGAGCTGTTCTGTCTTTTTAGCCGTGAGCCTTGCGCATCTTTAGATACCAAATACATAAAATTTGGACCACCGGTTGCCGCGCTGCGAAAATCTTTCCAGTGCTACGTGCCCTGAAAACTGAATTTCCCCATATACGTAGTGTATTTAGAGCACAGAGCAGAATTACCATTCGTGCATATGAATAATTAATTTGCCATAATTCCAAAACCCTTTGAACTTACTCATGAAATTTCTTGGGTATGTTCATGAATAGTTGTTCTATGCATGTACCAAGTTTCATAATTTTTTGTCACTCGATGGCCGAGATCTTGGGGGGGGGGGGGTTTCCCCCTCCAAGCCAAGCTGGGAGATGGTAAAAATAACCAGGCCCTTTTAGGGTTAAAGTGCAATGATTATGAACAGTTAAAAAGATGCCAGGATGTTGAGCTTCATATGAAATAATTTCAGAGTTCTAACCCTTTTGGGTTTTTTTTCATCTTGTGTCTCATCATCACAAATTGGAGGCATCTATATTTAAACACTGTTTAATTAAAAATAACATGAAATCTAATTTTGGGTCTGAATTTTGAACTTACGTGTGATGCCCTGATTGGTCATGTCCTTCATGCGACAACATGATGACAATATGCGCATACTCAGCTGATCTACGATTAAAACCTGAAATCAAGGAAAACCAAACAAGCCACACAGATTAAGAGATATTTCTCTATTAAAGTGCCCATTTACTAAGCCTTACCAAGCACATTTTAATTTCAAAGACAATAAGCAATACAAACCAAAAAGTATAACCAAAAATGGACCGTTCCAGATTTGCTCATAAGCCCCATTCTCTTTGTATGAGGCATCCCCATGTGAAAACAATATAAAGATATTTCTCTTTTCACTTATCAACACTTTTCTTCACACTTCATCAACACTTTCTATTCAACTTACCTTCCATTCGTTTCGCTTTTTCAGAGGAGAAAAGATCTCATTCATAATCCCTGCAAGACAAAAGACACTCAACATGAGCAAACCTGCAGTTCCAGTCACACTTTACTTCAGGTGATCATTGGGCCTTTTTTTCTCAATAGGAAACTATTTTCCATCCTGGCATATATATGCCATTTAATTAAATTAAGAAAAGGAAAACAAAGTCTTAGTGATAGGTGTGCTGGTTACTTTAACATCGCTATAAAATTGTTACTGTATAAAAAAAGATATCCATCAGATGGAATTTACGTCAGGGCGATGTCAATTCTACATTAGGTTTTTGCCCACCGACGTATACAAAAAGATACTGTTAAAAACAAATGTAAACTACCTCTTATTTGTAATGTATCACCAAGAACATTCTCTACAGTATGAAAGTATGCATACAGCCCTGAGTGTGTGCAAACTGTTTGAATATTCATGAGATTGAACAAATCCAAAGGTTGGAAACTGACATCATGTACACATAAATGAACAGTGAAGGGCAAAACCTATAATTTGATTTATATCACCCCGACGCAAAATTCCATCTTATAATAGTTTATGCGGTACCCGCTGCTATGTAAATCAGATTCGAACCAGCCAACCGATCTCGTTAGCTCGGTGGTCGAGTGGTAAGACATCTGCACTAAAAGCAGGAGGTCATGGGTTCGAAACTTTTCCAACTTTCACTCGGGAGGTAACACACTGAGTATACAGTGTTTAAACATCCGTGAAGGGCAAAACCTATGATTTGAGATGTATGGTAGGCCTAAACGTTTAAGTTTAATTATTTCTCATGGATAATATTTTTCTAATATGACCAATGTTTACATCATGTAGATGATGATTGATAATGTAAGTTCAATAAATGCTGATCATGTACAACAATAGAGTCCCTTAGTAGCTTTAGGTGAGGTTAGGATTAATATAAAGATACACAGTGTTATACACATAGGCCTACATGTACATGTACGTACGTCATGTCTGTATGGTACTTGGTCATGTTGGTAGGAAATCATGTATGCAATTGCAAGGCACAGTTTGCTATACAGTTACATGTATGTACATGAACTGTGCACACTACATGCTCACTAAGCATCTTAATGTGTACATGTATGTACATGTTTGCATGGTACCCTTACATTTTGCAAGACCATAAAAGGAACTTCGTCACAGAAAAACAATTTGCATATTTGAAAATGGACTATAAATCTGCAAATGGATCATTAATGTGCACAAAAATAAAAAAATTCAATGTTGCCCAACATTAAAATCACAAAACTGGATATTATCATAACTATTGATTTTATGGGGTTTGCAAGGTAACAAAAATCTCCAATTTTGCATAAAAATGATTTTGATAAGGGAAAAAGTCCATCTGTCATATTCAGGCATGTAGACATTATGACTCATGCCTATAATTACATAAAGATATTAGCACAGTTGGGCATTACTGTATAATGAATGGACGCTTTCATCAAATTCATGGATTATAATGCCCAGACCATAGTGCCAAATTGCAGAGTGTGTATTACTGTAAATTCAAATTCATGTACCAATAAGCCCAGTGTACATTCAAATGTGTACATGTACAAGTACCCATAGGAATTTCTAAATACAAGTACATGTACACGTAAGTCCCTCCACTCACTGTGCTGGTATACATAAAGGTGGAGTGGATTTTAATTGCATTGATCAGCATGAGTGACTACAACGGGTCAATACGACCAGAGGTGTTTGTGCATAATGCACCGCCTTGGGGCAATACATACATGTACCACCAGCATTCAGGGTTTTTATGTCTCTAAACAAACGTCAAATATGCAAATATGCTCCGGCGATACCAATTGGTATCCACGATAAATGTCAAGATAATGAAGCAATGTGGGCGTACAGTGAATCAGGTCTTTTGATCAGGGTGGGTCTGTTTGTTTACTTGTATCAAGATACAATCACTCAATAGCAAATGAATCACACGAGCAATTTGCAATGGAAAAAAAAGCCTTCATATTTAGATTAATAAGACACAACAGAAAGGCTGTTTGAAGTAAATACATGAACATTGTACCCTGTTTGTGGCATAGAGGCTGAATTTTCAATATTTACAGTTTGTTTATCCAGTTTAAATTTTTATTTGATTGCATTACAAATATTTCATAAAATCAAAAAAAAGGGGAAATTCGATTTTTTTTTTCTCAAACTGAACAACTGGAGTACTACAGGGATCCGTGTCACATGATTCTAAGCTTTAAGAAATCTGATACAATTCTGTAAATTCAGTCCAGGAAAAAGTGTGGTTTGAATTGTCTGAACTAGTTTTGGATTTGGATTATATTACAATCTAGGAACAAGGAAACTTGCGTACCTCCAGTACAAGGAAAGTACATACGTGATTTAATAAATTAATTTATACTACGTTCTATTTATTCTTTGTCCAGATTGATCCCGATGTGCAATGTTTCATCTGCTATGTAAAACTTTACAAAGTACATGTATACAAAATCTTGCCTAAATTTGCTACATTGTAACACCCGAAGAGAAAGATGTAAATGAAAATGACGGACTGGCAGCAAAGTGATGGACAGGCAAAGATAAAAAGTTTGACCAAAAAACATAAAATAAAAATAAACAAAAAAACCTCGAAATTAGCACCATCAAATTCGCAAATTAAATGAATTAGAGCAAATTAAATGTTCAAACTTAACACCATGTAAGCACCTTCGATATATCGATATTACTCGTCTTTTCCGGACAAGATCAATGCAAATGTGGAGATTTATACTTGATTATTCGATAATATTTTGATATTGATATTGCCGATAGGAATTTTATTATATCATATCGAAATATCGAAAGTTTCGATATTGAAGAATGATATCGAAAATGTCTAGATTATGGTCAAAATAAATCTCCCGTTTGTGCTTTTACTTTGTTTATAACGTTTGCTGTATAATGGAGTAAAAATTGGCTGTCTTTTTGTTTTTGTTGTCTAGTTTTCAATGTAACTTTTACTGTGTTAAGAGGTCAGAAGTTGTTTTTATGGAATTCTAGGAAAACTTCATCCTCTCAATAGATATTGGATCCCACTGTTTTTCAAAACAACTCCTTGAAGCATTTCTTTATAAGGTCCCCCTTAACCCCTAACTCCCTAGCATACATAATTTAGTAGGAACCATACCCATCCTGGCAAATTCCAACACCATATGGGAAACTGCACACACATATTTCTGACTTTGATTCTGGAGGTGTTCCAACCCAATGTAAAGACTGTCAGTTTAGGGGTACTGTACCCATCCTGACAGATGCCAACAAAACATGCTGTTGGGGTTTGATGGGTTGGGGAGGTAAGGGTTAATCAAATTGTCATCAGTGTCACCCTTTGATAACCAACTTGCAGCTTGGTAAAAAAAATAGTGTTTTCATGCAGTTCCGTATATTTGTACATATCGTTAACCCTAACCCACCTCACTCCTCCAAAATCCTCCTGGCGGTTTTGGAGGATTCTAGAGGATTGAGGATGAATGGTGATTGAATCAAATGAGGATTCTGGAGGATTGAGGATGAATGGTGATTGAAGCACATGAGGATTTTGGAGGATTGAGGATGAATGGTGAATGAAGCACAAGAGGATTTTGGAGGATTGAGGATGAATGCATTTTGAGGCAGGACTGTCTGATGATTTTGAAGGATTTGGCGTTGGTTATCCTTCATTTAAACACAAGTGCAAAGTTTTGGGATGAGGAGGAATTTGGAGGATTGAGGATGAATGCATTTTGAGGCAGGACTGTCTGACAATTTTGAAAAATTTAGGCGGAGTTGAAAAATTTTGGAGGATTTTGGAGGATTGAGGATGGTTGTAAGCAACAAGGGCCTAGGGGGTTAGGGTTAATAATTTACTTACTATGGCAACATCCTAAACTGTTGACTCATTAACCCGACTCTCCTCAATCCTCCAAAATCAACCAGGCGGTTTTGGAGGATTTTGGAGGTTTGAGGCTGTTTGCCATTTTAGTGCCAGTTGATTGGCTGTATCTTGTATTGTTATGCTAATAGCCATGAATAAATTATGGATAGATTATACAAAATACCCGCACTGCTTTTGTGTATCGTCGGCAATTCCTCATGGTAATACATTGATTGTTGGAGAACTTTGAAGGGAAAAATGTTACAATCTGATGCCGCTTTTTTTCTTCATATATCGATCTCAATAAAGGTCATTCATTGCAAAAATGATGATAAGACATGAATCTGGGACTGAGAAACATTTCCAATTTTGTTAGGAAATACTTAGAAATTGTCTTGACTCTCCATAGACTTTGTACACAATCGCGGAAGTGGCGTCAGTTTGCAACATTTTTTCCTTTTGAAGAATTGAGACAGTGGTCACCCTTCCACTGAACAAATGTAAAAAATAATGGAAAAATTTGGAGGATTGAGGCTGTATCCAATTTTTACATTGGAAATTGGAAAATTGTGAAGGACTGAGGACGGATCCTAGCCAAAAGGGCCTAGGGAGTTAATACAATCTAATTATGTTCTAAAAAAATTGTTTCCTTATATAACTGTACAACTCACAATGTCAGCTTCAATACATGTATGTAGATGCTAACTTTTAAAGATGGCATTGCTAAGGCCAAAAAAAAAAAATAGTTCTGCTTCCGATTACATAGCATTTGAAAATAGGGTAGGTACATGAAGGTAGGGAAACTTTTTTGGGGCAATATTTGTGTGTGTACGATCATATGAAGATGTGTGCGTGAAGTCAATGGTAAAATGTAGTAATTGATGATTTTCAGGGTTTTTTTCCCCTCATTCCCCCCCCCCCCCCAGCATGCCAAGGTGAACAAAATCAGGTGAAAAAAATCACAGAGCACAGACATGACACTGACAGACATCGCGTTTACTGTTTAATGGATATGGATGTTCACGGGAGAAGGAATGCAAAATGAAAAGAAAAAAAGGCAACCATCGGCATCAATAAACAAATTCACAATACAAAATAAATCAACTTTTTGATGACACACACACAGCTTTGCACAAAATGCAGGAACATGAAACCACACAAGGGACCAGTCTATTTGTCAGCTTAGTACATTTCTGCAAGTCGTCGATAGACTGAGTAGTTCAGGTACACGACTACACGCGAGAAAAAAAATTACGCCCCAAAATAAAGAATAAAATATTCCTCTTCAAACGTTAACAATGGCATATTTTGAAACATAAAATGCGTAAGTAAACATTAAACTCACATTCTCCGCTTCATTATTTGCAAACTCTTTTACTATTTAGAAGAATTAAGCAAAAATCGAAGCGAACTTACTTTGACCGACCACCGCCTTTAGCGCCATCTTGATTATTTATTATGATGTTCGCATGGAATTCTGGGTAAAGCTAGTGGGACGAGCGCATGGACCCTCGTGAGTTGTATTTAGTATGTTGCGTACACACGGAGGAATTCAGGTACCAGACTCCCAAAATGGCAGCCGACAGTGTGCAATCAAATTTGCAGGATGAACTTGAAAAATTCAAGGCTGTGCAAAAACGTAAGGCAATGCTGTGTGTGTTTGTTGTAATTCAGCAGGTGATTAAGTTTGGGAATACGTTCGCTTTAATGAAAATGAAATACGTTGTCTGGATAAGTCAGTAACGGCCTTTCGATGTTTGGTTTTAATGCTTAAAAAGTCGTCCATTGAAAACATGCACATTTCGCCCCTAGCTAAAAAAAGAGGGGGGGGGGGGGGGGGGGGGGGGGGGGGGGGGGGGGGGGGGGGGGGGTGACTGTACACAGATATTCAGTTTGGAAAGAATGTTTAAGCCTGACGCCACTCTTTTCCTTCATATCATAATAAAGTCATTGCAAAAATGTTGAAAAGACATGAATAATTAAGCCTTTAAGGGACTGAGTCTGACATGTCTGATTCTGAGAAACATTTCCAATTTGGCTACTTTAATGACTACTGTCTTTTTTTACATGTAAAAATTGTCTTGACTCTCCATAGTCAGACGTTGTACGCAACCGCTGAATGAAGTTGCGTCTGGGTACTACATTCTTTCCTTAAGTTTTGCATGATACATGCCATTTTGAGTTTCTTGTATTATGTGTATGAAAGTATGAAAGTATTAATATTGATATTAAACAGTGTTAAAGTTTTCTCATGTTTCTCAACTCTTGTCATGTCTGTCAATATGTCTGTCATGTCTGCTGATCAAGCACTGAATTTCTGAAGCAGTCTTGTTTTTTGTATACAAACTTGTTAGTTATGAAGTGGTTATTAACTGAAACCAAACTATACATCCGTATGTATCGTTCTTGATGTTTCAAGTCATGTGGGACGACAGGGCCCTATAATTTTGTTGATTTAAATATGTATAAATAATGTATACCTGTATTTACATTTATCAATTTCTTTCTGGAACAGAATATCAGAAGGCTGTGGAGACACGACAAAAGCTTGATGCCCAGCTGAATGAGAATAATATTGTGAAAAGTGTAAGTATGATAGTGACCACTCTATTGTCCGAAGGTTCGTTAGTCCGAAGGTTTGTAAGTCACTAATTAACCTTATTCTAAATTCGGACTACCGAACCTTTGGATAAATGAACCTTCGAATTATCGAACCTTCGGACTAAAGAACCTTCGGACTATCGCATCAAATTCTCAGATTAACGAACCTTATTTCATTTTCAGATTAATGAACCCCCAGTTTGTGGGAAACTTGTGCGTTCAGACTATCGAACCTTCGGATCAATAAACCTTCGGACTATGGAACCTTTGGACTATCGGGCGGACCCTAGTATGATATCCCAACGTTGCTATTCCAATGATTGTTTTCTAAAGCCAGCTCTTTGTTTATAGTTGAGACTGGATTATTGAAGTTTTTTGTCCTATTGAGGTATGCAGCTTGTCCCACAGTAAGAGTAGGTTGAGTATTCTTGCTCTCCTTCAGTGGATGCTGTTACATCATTTTTCCTGAATTGACTATGCAGCTAGCAACTATGCCATTTGAAGAGAAAGAGAAAAAAACTGATACGAATCTTAAACCTTAATATTGTTTTTATAGGAACTTGATCTGTTGGAGTCAGATGCCAAGGTTTATAAGATGATGGGCCCAGCCCTGGTACAGCAGGACGTCACAGAAGCCAAACAGACAGTGGGCAAAAGAATCGAGTACATCGAAGGGGAGATGTAAGTTTCAAATGTCTGAGTTTATCTCATGGATGAATTGTGGGCGTTGTGGGGTTTATACATGTACTGCAGAAAATCAGTTATTGGTGTTGAAGGCCAAGGAAAAAAAACATGTTTATTGTCACTGTTTGAATTGATGGCAATTACAAGATAAAGCATTCCCCAACAAAGAATCTGAAACTTGCCTGAGATTGGTTAATGACTCTTTCTTGTCACTCATAGAGGAACTCCATTTTTTTTATTTGAACCACAGGAAAAGACAAGATGGAATGATCAAAGACCTTGACAAGAAGCAGAATACACACCGAGATAAGCTGGCCAAACTTCAGCAGCAGTTCCAGAAGGCACAAGTGCAAGCGATGGCCAAGTCATAGCGGACATTTAGCCCTCTTGAGACAAAACCTCCAAATTGTCAAAGTTTTCATGTGAAATTGTGGTGTTCTTTGCTGTGAAGACGTGTGTTGTGGATCTGCCATCTTTTTTTTTAACAAGTGGGCCTCAGAAAAAGGCAAAATTCCCCAAATAGGCTGGCACCTGTGGTACTTGTGAAGAAATGTTTCACGTCATAATGTCCTCAACTTTATTCTTGTAGATTTGGGTATTTGGCCAAGACGGCTTCATTTTGGCTCAATTTATGATTGACGTTAAATAGTTTTCTTCACTTTTCTCACACTGTTGCATGTTACTTAAAGGTTATACCTCAATTATGATGGTATTAAGGTATTTATACCTTGCATGTTAATCTGCTTCAGTGTGTAAAATCAAATGCTTCACTGTGCCCATAAAAGGGTGCTTGACTAAGATGTCTGCATTAAGACCTTCAGGAAAACTATTAGGGGGTGAAACATGATAGATATGACCAAAATCAAAATGAAGTGATAAAATTGCAACAAAAAATCCACATAGTGTCAACTTATCTTCTCCTTTTTGTTAGGGGGGGGGGGTAGTTTTTATCTGTTCAGTCCTGGATTTTGTATGAACATTGTTACACTAGTGTTACTTTTATGTAAAAGTTTTCATTGAAAACTTGTTTGAGTATTTTATGTGTATAATATTTGGCGAAAGGTAATTTCCTTTTAAATATGTTGCTTCTGCTTTGGAGATATTAAAGATGACCCGGTAACCAATTTGCAGCTCCATTTTATGCTCATTCTTTTTGTTAAAAAAGTTGTGCCCGCCGGCCACATCGACTGGACGCATACCGTTAACTTTAAAGAGCGCCCTCGTTTGACTGAGTGGTCGATTCTTTTTATCATTTATTATTAGGAAGTGCGCCCTCTATACTAAAAAAACTTTAATCAATGGTAAGCATCGCCCCTTGTTAGATATAGTTCTATAAGAGCTGCATACCAGCGACGGGGGGAAAAGTTGTGTTACTGGTACTCTGTCAGTGTCAGTTCGGTCATATGTAAATGAGGGAGAACAGCACACCAGCCAAAGTTTATCGTTGCCAGATAACGCAGCGGACACCTGCATCTGACGGTCGCAGTGATTCTGATGATGATACAGGGCTTCAAATTCAGCTTGTGACCTGCAAATCTAAGCGAACTGACAAGTTCAAGATGGAAAATTATAAAGTAAGTGTGTTTTGGGTTTGACATTAGGTATAAAAATCGTGTTGCTGGTAAGTGCTGGATCGATCGTCATGCATGATGCGTGCGGCACGGGCAGAACTTGAAAGGGACGTAAATATTTTGTTCTGCAACCAAGTACAGTCACATACCATAATGTGCATGTTCATGATGTTGTTAAACATGTTAAAAGGAGTGGTTTTCAAACTTAATTTTCGTTTTCCAAATAATCCTCCAGAGTTCAGACTCATGAATCAGAAAAAGAAGGTGCAATTTATATCAATGAAAAGCAGTCCTGACTTAACGTGTGATATGCAAAGCTTGGCTAGGTAATGGCTCAGTTTTCAGAGGCTATAGGCCCTACTTGGTTGTAGAAGATAAATTTGCAGACGGGACTGGCAATACATCCAGCCACCAGCCCGGATTAGTGGGTGTATTTTGCACTGCATTATGGGACAGTGCGCTACAAAAAAAATCATTTAGTGCAAACACTCCCAGAACGCAACAAAAACTTCACTGCGTATTTCCAATCTAATCATACCGACACTATCGCTCACTATTTGTCTTTTGGAATTTCTGCATTCAACAGTTTACACATTTAAAATGAAAAGGATCAAATCCGTTCAAAATTTTTCAAAATGTTTGAATAGTGGTAGCTTTACCTGATCCATCTCCCAGTTAAATTTGATGAGTTTAAGGATTTCTGTTTGTGCTTTTAATATTCGCTTAAGTGAACTGTTTTTGACAATGAGGATTTTGAACAAATTTTACTTGTTTGTACTTTATTCTTTTGTAATCCTTGGATTTGTTTTCTATTTGACAGTTGCTGGAACGGTTGGGGAAAGGTGCCCAAGGATCTGTGTTTAAGGTCCAGAACAATATTGACAAGTGCACATACGTCTTGAAGAAAGTGAGTGAACATCTGCATTTGTTTATGATATGAGTCACTAACAAATAACACTTGAATATGAAAGAACTATTTGATACTTAACAGTGAAATTTATCACTTTGTTAATTTGCATCTTTTCTTCATTTGTGGTTGAACGCAGGTGGAGTGCACAGATGAAGCCGAGGCGAACAAAGCATTCAAAGAGGTAGGTTGTTTCCATTTATCACAACATTTACAATATTTATCTGTAATGCATTATTTTTTTATTAAAACCACCTGTGATTTTTTGAAATATTTCTATTGTAGCAGGTGGTCTCATTTGTATAAATATTTTTTTGAATGTTAAAAGAAGTATAGATTATTACATTGTGCCCCCAGCTCATAAAGTATTCCCTTTAAGAAAAAGAAGTGTGTCCTACTTTTTTTCCGGCAACACAGTTGAAGTAATTATAATTAGGCAGTGGCTACTGAACCGATACCGGTCTCCGATTTTGCGAGGCTATGCAACTGGCAGCAATAACGTCCATGCGTCAGATCTTGATGACATTTAGAATAACGTTATAAGGTAACAATTTTCGGTAGCTATCGACGCGCCTCGTTGATCTAGTGAATAGCAGTGGTATCTGTGGATCATCAGGTCGTTGGTTCAAAATTTTCATTTCCCCCCCCCCCCAAAAAAATCCGCAATTCATACTTCTCAATGAAATGAAATTTCAGTTTTTTGCTTCATGGTTTTGAAGGACTTTGCCCGGCTGCGTGCCACTGCATTCAGTCCAGGGTGGATTGATCGCGCGAGATCTCACGTGACGTCAAGGTCTGCCGGCTACATAGCCTCGCGAAATTGACAACCGGCACCAGATTCGTAGCCACTGCCTTAAAATTGTGAACGATTGGATTAACAATGTCCATAAAGATTGCCAAGTGTCCATTTATATACCATCAAACAGTATCCAAATACTGCCAAACAGTATAAAGCTATACTATTTAGAAAAGTGCAGTCAGTGTACTTTTTGTATGTTGGTTGATGATTGATTGATTTGATCAGTAATTTATAGCAACGCCAGTTCAAATGTGTGAAGTTGTAGGTTTTGTGTGATGTGGATAAGGCTTAAAGATTTTTTTTAGAATTAATAGAATTATCTTGCAGGCAGCTGAATTTAAATCAAATTTAGACGAGTAAACATCAAATTAGTGCGTGAACGTCACTTAATTGTAGGAAGTTTTTTTTTGCTGCCGGGCAGGCATGCACATGGTACTAGAATATCTAACTTAATTAATATAAGTACCTTGTGTAAACTTTGTAAGATTATCAAATCATTCTTGGCAACGCTCTGTCTCAAAATTCATCAAAATACCCACATTGTACATATTTCTGTATGATGTACATGTATTTCAGTACATGTATACATTTGGTATAATGTACATATCACGATTTATATCTGAGGCCTTTCTAAATTTTTCATTCTAGATGTATCTTTTGATCATGTTGATAGTTCATACTGCCGCGGCATACTGAATATCTGCATCACTTAAAAACTTAATGAGAATAAAATCTTTCGAAAAGGTACCTATTTCTTTATCTACACAATACCCTCTAAGTTACTACCCTTCAAGCCTTAATAATCAGGTCTAATAAGTATTGAGTGGGACGAGAAGAAAAAAATCAATACACTGAGCACATTTATTGTGGTGTTTCAGAGCGTAAATAATGCTTGTCTGGAGTAGGGTTTGTGATTAGATCTCCACGAATGCAAACATTGACACTTCTCTGGTCGTATACATGTTGGTTCTATCCCTTACATATTGAGGTTGGCAAAGCATTTGGGGAAATGTTGTAATTAACCTTGCAATCACCTTGGAGCAGATGAAAGAAAACAAGCTCTCTAATGAAATGGTGGACTTGTGTACATAAACTATTCATGCACGTTTTTTATTCTGTTGTATTCTTTTGTAACATTCTTTCATATTTTTCTTTCCCAAAATGTTGGTTGTAAATAACTCAGTCTAAAAGATTCATTCAAATGAAAATAACAATTAACAGCATATACAGTTTGCAGTGTAGTTTATAAAAACACATCAATCCTGAAAAAAAGTGCCAAATAAAAATCCAACTTTGTGTTAACTACACACGTTGAAAAAAAACCCCATGACCCAGAATTTCTTTAAACTTTGCAAACAAGAACATGGAATATATTTTAGGTGGGATAATCTTGGTCTGACTTTTTCAAAGGATTATCCCTCCGGGCTCTTACAGAGAATTTAGGTGCGACTCCTCATGTGAAAAAAACAAACAGACAAAACCATGTTGATGGAAATGGGAAACCTTACAAAATCGTTTGGCGCGATGAATACATAGGCCCTACATGAATAGTCACACACTTCAAAGCTGCAGTGTTTGTGCTTTACATGCACTTTGACTTTATTTTCTGGCCGTTAATAAAATGATCCAACGTTGGTGAATGAAAACATGGAAACTGTGTGGGAAATGTGCTCAGTATCACTAAGTACCTGTCTGCCCATTGTAGATCAAACACATGTGCATGGCCAAGGAGAAGTTGTAAGGGTTTCATTGTATTTATGGGCCCAAGTATGTCTGTAGATCTTGCCAAAAATAAACTGACTATTAGTATCGACAGATTTATGTCGAAGAAAAGTGCCAAATTGTACCCGGTGGGGTTCTCCTAAATGGATAGCTAAGCTGTTATGATTTTAAAAATTGTGAATTATATGCAGTCTCCAAATTCAGTGAACCTTGGTTAAAATCAACAGTATGAACGTTTTTATTAATCTTAATATTAGGAGCCAATTTTGCCACCTATTTCGTCCTGTGAAAAGCTATCTACATCAGAGTATCATATTGCCTTGCTTATTATGTGATTTTGTGTGGCATTTGTGTCATATCACGTATTAGTTCCTTCAATCTTCACTGCTAGTTCAATATCAGATGGACTTGGACCAGGAATGGCTGCCATTCATTTCAGCAAACACCAAAGGTCAATTTAGTTGTTCCAAAGAAATGTCCGCTTTAGTATGTGTGAAATAGGAGCCGTATAGCCCAATTAAACACTGACCTTTATTGTTCAAGCAACCGAGGCGGTTTTCTTTGAAACGTTTGAACAAAAGTTTCTTTTTAGTTATGAAGTTGCTGAGATACTTTTGGCATTGTTATCCATTCCTAATCATGTACAAATTCTGCCACTAACAAAGCCTCTGCTATTAGTTACTTTTATTGTAGTAAAAATGTATTCCGAAGGCAAAGATCTTGACGCCTTGACGGTACATTTTGTTCAAAAACTCACTGCAACCCAGTCTCCTGACGATGACTAGAGCAAGCTAGTCGAGAGACCAAAGACAAGTTCATTTAGAACTTACAGCAGGACTGTTCTTATCAGAACAAAAAAACCTACTTAGCGAAGTTGATAATAAGCAGGACAAGTTCTTTTTAGAACTAAATATCTTCTAAGCAGTAGTTATTACCACATGGTGTTATCGCAAACCGAAACGATATCACTGCAACCCAGTTTCTGCTGGGGAGGGTTTTGAAGGATTGGTTGCCTTAGCAACGTTAACTTGTTGTTGTTGTCAAAAAGAAAGGCTTTCTCTATGTTGTTATTGAGATACTCTGTGGCATTTAGAAAGATATTGAACTATGTGCGGTACGTGCCAAACAACCTGAAAGCTTCTTTTGTACCTAAAGGTTATAGGTTTCCCAGCCATTGTCAGCAAAGCTTTTATTTCCTCCCACAATAACCCCCCAGTAAATTTCCCAGATCCAACTTAAGAATTACATATAACTATATTTGAATCAATGCAACAATAGATGCAAAGACATACATGTACACGGGAGAATATCTGCCAGTTTATAAAGTGCATTATCTCAGCACCGTCCCAGATTTATTCGCACTTTTAAGTCTCTGAATGGATTTTTTTTTACAGCTGTTAAGCATCAGTGGGCATGGCAAGTTTTAAATGCCACATTGATAGCGCACACAGATTAAACAGACAAATAAGAACCAACCAGAAATTCAGTCAAGCTTTTCAGCGGTCCCACATCGAGGGAAATGGCATGTAAGCACTAAGAGCATGCCTGGTATCGTCAAGAGCAGGGCACCGGGGCACTTCAGCGGTTGCTATGAATGGGCGAAGCAAGTGTATTGACACAGCCACACACATAGATTATACACTTGTGCTTAGGCTGTTTGGCAATGGAACACATCCTGTAGACCTGGCTGCAGTGGTCTTGTATCAGCATTGATGCACATAATAAAAAAAATTAAAAATCAATAGAAATACAATACAAATCTTGTTGAAAAAATAAAAATAGCAATACAATACATGATTCTTAAAAAAAATAAGTGTTAGGAGCACATTACAAGATTCTTTAGAAAAAAAATAATTAAGAAAACCCCCCTTTTTATATTGGCATACTACCCTGGTGTATAAAAGAAATGTTAGACAGTACATGTGTATTTGATGTGTTCTAAACAAAAATTAAATTTAGACATTGATCATATACAGACACGTACATGTAAGGTTGGTTTTAGATTTTCATTGAGTTTGAGGACTGGAAATCTGAGTGACTTCAGATTTTGCAAATTTTCAGTTTCCATGTAATTGGGGATCATTTAAATGAGTCTTAATTCATTAAATGGGATGTTATGGGCTGGGGAGTAATTTTCTTTTACTGTTACCACACGTACAACAGTACTTCTATCAGATACATGTAGGCCTACTTATCAATTTTATTGGGTACATCTCAATACAAGTACATGTACATATGGTAAAGTACAAGTATGCTGTTTTGATGTTTCCATGATCGTTTGCCTGCTACTGCTCTAAATGTTTTAATACCTATCGCCACATTGCTCTGTGCTGTCTACTTTAAGCATGAAAAAAATAGAGATGAGTCCATTGACAAAAGCAGCTTATTGGGCCTTCTATAAAGCCCCTAGGTCAGTAAGCTTTTCTTATTGTCAGTTAAACCGATCAATAACTCAGGCATGCAGGGTTTTTCCCTGTATTTGTACCCTTAAGCAGATTAATTGAACGCTGATGAATCTTATTCTTTCTGATTCCCCCATCCCCCCCCCCCCCATCTTCCCCATAGGCTATGGCCCTGCAAGATCTGAAGCATCGCTACATCTGCGGCTACAAGGAATTCTTTGTCACATGGGATAAAGAGGTCAGAGAAATACATTCCTTTTTCTTCAGCACCTAAACTTACCCCCCCCTTTTTTCTCCATAAAATTTATGCATAGTATTCTCATCACTATGAATTACCAAACATTAAGATCAGTAACCTAAAAAATCCCCTAATTCTCTGTTGAAGGCATGTAACTTAAACAGTTGTAAAATTGTATGAATTAAATTGATCAATACTTAATTACCTTCAATTCTTTTTTATAAAAACAGAAATCCTCCAAATTCTCAGTAAACTTGTATAAACTTCAACTATGACTATTATTATTATTCAAGGCTTTCTTTTTAATTTTATCCATGTGGGAGGAAAACCCAGAAGAATATTCTGAGAAAAACCCACTGAATAAGGTAGGGACTGAAAACCCAGTCCACATATTGGCCCAGGCAGGAATCGAACCCAGGTCACAGTGGTGGAAGGCAAGGAAAGTTACACTACGCCAACCGGACTCCCCCATAACTTTTACATTTTACTTTTGCAGGAGTCAGCCTTGTATGTCTGCATTGTCATGCAGTTTTACAAGATGGGGGATTTGGACAAAGCCCTGAACATCAAACGCAAACAACAAGTGAAAGTGGAGGAAGTAGTGAGTATTATATACGTACCTGTGTACAGTGAAGGCACTAATGATGTTCCTATTCACTAGCTGTGATAAATGCTCAGTGCTGGTGCATCAGGCATGTGATTAGATGCTTAAAACTCGTTACAAGTATTCATGTCGTTAGATACTTCAATGGTTATTGTTTTGGTTATGGGTTTGTAAACCCCCCCCCCCCTTGAGCCAATTATGGGCTTAGATGAGCTCCTTAAGTAGGCACAATGAGAAGTTTAAGCACCAAATTCGTCTGATGTAAGTAAAGGGTACACAATATTATTAGATTTAATTCTATTTTGGTGTGGGCAGCATTGTCACTGTGGATTGTAACTATGAAATTATTTGGAAGTGGGGTGAAATTTCTTTCCTTATTTAAGGTTTTTTGTCGGGATTCTTTCCTGGTTTCAGGATTTTTTGTTGGGATTTTTTCCAGGTTTCAGGATTTTTTTTCGGATTTTTTGTCTTTTTTCCCCCTGGTTTTAGGACTTTTTGTCAGGATTTTTTTTTCTGTTTTCAGGTTTTTTGTCAGGATTTTTTTCCTGCTTTCAGGACGTTTCGTTGAGATTTTTTTTCTGTTTACAGGAGTATTTTTGTCAGGATTTCTCCTGATGTCAGGATTTTAAAGAAACTCTTTTGAAATCTGGAAGTCCTGAGGTTTTACTGTAGAGGTGTTTTTTACCTAAACAAGAAATGGGTATTGTTAGGCTTGCCTTTAGACAAATGCAAACTTACATCATAGACCCTCTGTTAATCTGGGGCCTTCTACTACCCTGAAACCCTTGGCTAATAATTTCGTGGATTTGTCATTTTCCCCAAATCCCTGTTGGAAATATTACTGTTTTTCATGGTCTTGTGATATCCCACTACATTTATGTTTCTGCCATGTTTCGAAAGTTCATGCAATTAAGTGAAAAGCGCAGCAATAATCTTTCTGGATGGCTTTATTAATTTGTAGTGTTTGTGAATTTCATTTGTAGGTTTTGAAGAAATGGATTGGCCAGATGCTGGAGGCATTGGTTTTTGTGCACAATAAACAAGTCATCCACAGGTAAACTCTAAACTATTTATTTTTTATTATTTCTCAAATAACAAGAAATGATCTTTGGAGAAATCTATTCTTTTTTCAAGCTCATTTGTTTAATAAATTTGTTGGGATAGACATTTTGAATTTGAAAGTAGAATCTAAAATAATATGGACAATTCCAACATGGATGGCAAACACAAAAATATTTAAAATCGGAGAGAATTTGGTCAAAAGCTTTGCTACTGCTATAAGAGTTGAATAATTATTGTTACTGTTTATCGCAGGGATCTCAAGCCTAGTAACGTCTTTATGACTGAAAACCTGGATGTCAGCATAGGGGACTTTGGAGTGGCCACGGTCATGGGGGATGCACGCACAAAGACGAGAACCACAGTGGGTAAGGATGGACTCTCAGCCTGGGAGGCCGTGGTTCGAATCTCACCCAACAATATAAAACAGTGGTACACCCACCACAAGAGTATTATCTCTTGTCACTGATTGCGATCGATACCCATTGCTTTTGAAAATAAGAATGTGATTGGAAACGTCAAGAAGTTTGATGGTTTGATGGAAGTCATGAGTTTTGCTCACAGGTTGTAAGAAAGTACTACAGCGGTAAATATACTACAGTTAAAGAAGTAAATCTTAGTTTTTAAAATTGACACATCCAAGATACAGATTTTACTTGATGTGTAAAGCTGAGCTGGATGAAAAATTATTAGCGTCTTAAGGGGCAGAAAGTTAATGATGTACCAACCCTATCCACTGTTCTTTTGGCCATCATGTGATCATTTTTTTCCGTCATTGAAGGAATTTTTTTTTAATTTTGTCTGATGTCAGGATCCATGATATGGATGGCCCCTGAGGTGTTGGAGAGACCGTATGATGAGCGCAGCGACGTGTGGTCTCTGGGATGCGTTATACTGGAGATGGCAACTTGCAGATTCTTAGATGTGAGTGTTTCACATGCAATCCAATTGTTGTTTAAAATGGCAACCCATTTACTCTTATGCGTGACCAGAGAGGGCGGTATAATTGTTTTCAAGTTCACAGGGCATGCAGAAAATAATGTTTGGTGCCCCATTTCAAACAAGCTCTGGCCAAGTTCGGGCAAGGACCATTAGTCGACTAGTGGTTGATTTGTGACGTACCTTACGCCTGCGCACTGATAGCAACGTGCGAACGTCCCTAGTCAAACGCTGGTCAAAATGTCATCGCAAAACTTCTGGATCCTGGCTCTCTGCTAGCGTTATGAATGCGCGCGGCTATTGGTTACCAGCAAAGCAACCAACCCCAGTAGGCTGGTTCCAAATAGTCGACTAGCGTAGTCAACCACCGTCGACTAGACAGAGTTCGGGCAAACGTTAGTTAACCATTGGTCAACTATAGTCATTGCGCGAACTTGGCCTCTGTTTTCCTACTTTACGTTTATGGTGTGTTTGTCTAATGTTTTCTTCTAAACTTAACAACTTACTTTAGCTAAAATGAAGTTACCAATTTGTAAATAATTGTGTTTGCCAAACTGTTTGTTGTTAACAGCGTGCCCAGGTGAATGCTGTCTTGTTTGACATGAAACAGTCCATTAACTTACTGGAGGAAATCTTAGAGAAAGTACAGGAGGTAAGAAAACAGACAAGTAGAGAAGTTCCTTTTGAAATATATTTAGATGTAAAAACATGCACTTAGCATTTGCTAGCAGTAAACTGAGCACATAATTTAAAAATGCCTGGTGGCTGATATTTGAATTGTGATTTTGTTATATAGGATTACTCTACAAACCTGGCACAGCTTATCCGCGCAATGCTCCGCAAAAACTTCCAGCAACGACCAACGACAGTGTGAGTAACGAAGCTATTTAGATTTCATTTTTTTGAGTGCCATTCAGGGGAGGTGGGGGGGGTTCAATATTTGGACCCATAGGACTCAAGTAGATTTTTTTGGGAGGGGGGGGGGGAAAGCAGAATTTAGCAAATGGTAAATTTATTTCCATTACAATGTGAGTATATAAGATGGAATTTTGCGTCGGGGTGATGTAAATCAAATTAGGCCTTTGCCCTTCACCGACATTTAAACACTGTATACTCAGTGTGTTACCTCCCGAGTGAAAGTTGGAAAAAATCACTCGGGTGGGAGTATAGTTTGCACTAGCTTGTTAATCGAATAAGTATTCATTTTTACTTCATTTTTTTTGTAAATTTTTGGTCCAGTGAGCTGGTGGATATTCCCTACATCAAGGAATGTTTGGCACTCTGCCAGTCCCACATTGTGGAAAAAAAGAAAGCCCAACAGCAAGATGCATGTAAGTAATCAATGAATTGAATTATTAATTGATCACTAACGGGCAGGTTGGAATCCATCAGTGCTTACATTATAAGCATAAGCTATATTATAAGCTAATTATAAGCAAACTAAAATTGAAACCAGATTTTGGGCTTATCCTTTCTAAAACTTCCCTGAAGTTCATCACAACTTTATGTGTGTGTTTTCTTCATAGTGGCTGTACCTAAAGGCACAGACGTTCCTGGCACCATAGGTAAGTTAGTTGAGCAGCATTGTTCAGGGGTGACAATAGGTTATTGTTTCAGGGTTTTTTTAACGGAAAAAGCTGAAATTAAAAAAATAGAGTAAACTTTGTGTTTTATCAAATTTTATCATCATTTATGAAAATAAAAAATGTATTTATAGCCTGTGTTTCTGTGTACTGACTGTATTCAAATTGCAATTTTGTTTTAAATATTTGGCAATACATAAAGAATACCATCCACTTGACCATAAACACTTTTACCACAAAGTTCATTTAACATTTTTGGTCCAGAATTTATGAAGAAGAATAAGGACAACGTAGTCACCATGGCCAACGCTTTGACCCACCTCAATACCTTCAAAAGTAAGTCTATGCCGACTTTGTTTTTAGACCGAGGATTACTATGGTGCTATTTAGTGAGGCTTATGCGTGATGGGAGAGTTATGAACTGTCAGTTGCAGGTACCCCGCTATTGATGCAAACGTGGTTTGCCAGGGGTGGTGTTTTGGTTAGGTAGTAGGACTAGTTTTGCACAATTTCCAGGGAAGTTTGTTGTGGGTAATTACGATCAGTCAAACAGGAATTCATCCAGATTTTGAGGAATGTGAAGAATTGTTTTTAAGCCCTTCAGTATCATAAAGAATCATTGTCTGTAAGGCCAAAAAAGACGGAAGTTCCGGAATTGATGCGGCAACGCGTTTTTTTTTTTTTTTTTTTTTTTTTCAAGCTTGAATTGTACAGACAAATTGAGTACTATTTTGCTTTTTTGTGTCCTCATTATACATTGGTGTCCTCCATAGTTTGCCTTGGTGCCCTTTATCATTTGCCTTGGTGCAATTTCCCCATTCCTTGGTGATTCTTGGTACAAAAATTTGAGGAGGTGCGGCAACAGAGGGCGCTGTTGTAGCTTCCGTGTTAATTTGAAGAAAAAAAAAGGTTGACGCGCATGATTAAAATCGACGCGTGCGCTGACCAGACTCTTGGCCTAACTCTGGGTTTTTTGGGTAGACATTTTGTAGTGCAGTGTCCAGAAGTAGAGTACCAACTATCTTGGGTAATTTTTGTGAGCTATTGAGTGGGTTCTGACATAGAATTTGGAACGAGCTCACCTCGTTTGTTGGAAGCCTAGTTTGTAATATGTGTAACACTTGAGGGCGCACTTTAAGTACACTATAAGTGAATCACTACGAGTGTGGATCACACATTACAAATTTCGTCCCTAGTTTGATTTCTGGTTCTTGTTACCTGAAATGTTTGATTATTTGCCGACAGCCCCAGCGCTTGCCAATGAGGCCAAGACGCTGGTGATGAGTCTGATGCGAGACCATATCAATAATGTGAATGTACAGATACAGGCTTGTCGTCTGCTACTCACGCTGGCATCAGCAGGTAAGATGTCTACTAAGTCAATTCCATTCAATCTCATATATTGGTCTGTTGAAAGGAAAAGTGTCTCATTACCTGCAATATATAGATTGATAAATACTTAAGTTCAATATATTTCAGTTAATTCAATGGACGAACAGAAATATAATCAAAATATACCATAACAATTACATATAAGCATATCAAAATAAGAAAAGAGGCATAATGTCATGGAAATAAAGACTGTTCTAGCTTGGCAGATGAGAAAATTGCTTGTTATTCTACACATATTTTTTCAAAGGACAAATCTGTGATGGCCCTGTAGCCAAATATCTTTCTCAAGACATACTCTGACTGTCTGCCAAATGCCATGCTTGTATCATCAAAGGCACACTTCCCCACTATAGCCTTAGAATACCCTCTCCCTACAGACTTCATCCAGACTTACATCTACTCCCATATATCTAATCACAGTCTATTGCTAAGCGCCAAAAAAATATTTGCTTACCAAAAAAACAAGGTACCAGCCAAATGCAGCTACACCAAGGAGTGAGTGATCATAAGTGAATGATTAATTGTGGTGTGGATTTTTTTTTTTTTCCCCAGCTGACCCAGAGGAAGATGGTGACGACGTTCTGTTCTCAAGCAAACTCATCAAGAACATTACACTGAGCATGAAAGTGAGTACCGAAGTTCTGAAAACTCGACTTCTAAGAAGCTCAGATGTAGATGCTTGCAGGAAACTTTGTAGGGTTGATTGAGTCGTTTTACAAATCATCATTTTTTCTCTTATGTGCCCTGACTATACATCTAACGTGAATGTTGGGCCACTTCCTTGAATGGTGTTTATTTTTGTCTCTTATGGTTTTTTTTATAGTCTCATGGAGCTTCCAAGGAACTTCAGAGTGTGGCTTGTTTACTTCTTAAATCGCTGGCGATGAATGGTAAGTCTTCACTGTTATTAAAGTGCAAAAAAAAGAAAGAAAAAGTAATGCACCATGACAGCTTGTGTGTCTCGTCTTTGGAAATGACGTAGTTTTCCCTTAGCAACCGTTATTATTCTTTTTCTTTTGAAAGTTGCTGTAAACAAATTTCAGAATGACATATGTGTTATGTAAAGCATCGTAAGCCTCGCCTGGTTGCAATGTGATATTTATGTGGGGAAAAGAATGGTGTGAGAACATGTGCTGTGCAGATAAACTATTTTCCCTGATTGGTAAGATCTCTTTAACTTGGTATGAATGTCTAATTTTTGTTAATTTTTTCAGAGCAAGCAGCCGGCACTATCGGAACGCTAGGAGGAATCCAAGACATCCTAGCGGCCATGAGGGGATTCCCCAACAATGCTGAAATCTGCGCCAATGCCTGCAGCGCCCTCTCTTGTCTGACGATACACGGTGAGGACTGACAGGCAATCCCACACTCCCCAATCACACTAGGACTATTTCTTAATATTGGACTTTTGCTCTTCAACTCGGTGATTTTTAAAAGCACTGTAAGGACTCGGTGTGCGTGACCAGGAGCTGACTTTTCATGACCTCCCATGTGACCTCTGGGAGGGACACATGGCATGCGCATACACTCTTGTTTTACTATACTCTCGAGGACAATGCTTTGTGTTTCCCTTTGTCCCTGTAATATAACACTCTCCCATGGACTAAGCACACAAACTTACTACAGAGGACTGTTTCCAACAAAAGACCCAACGCCTGAGGACTGAAAGGATCTGTTGTTCTCCCTCTGTGTGTCTGTCCTCGGTGGTTATGTAGAACACGTACACACTTGTCGGTGTTCATATGGCGCGATGTGTGTACTATTAATATTCAGTATGTGCACAACCCGTATCGTCTTCATATGAGCGCCAGGCATACAGCAGCAATGTACTTGAGTCCCTCCTGACTCTCTCTCTGTAACCAAGCGAGGGGGCTATTGTGCATGGAGTCTATAGTGTTGCTGTGTTAGAGCATGCGAGAACAAATAAACATGCTTGGTGGGGCTTCAAGTTGCATTCCTCGTGCTATTTTTTTTTTTTTTCATCACAAAAAATAGATTCCTTTTCTAAATTGCTTCTCTTTTTTTCTTCTAAGAAATACAAAAGTTTTTCACTTTTGAATGAGATATCGAAAAAAAAACTCGGCCAGTGTGTAGTTGTTTAATTATTACTTTACAATTGTGAATTATTGGCTGCCTGACAATCATTTTGTTCTTGCAGGTAGGCTGGTTCCCGCCACATAATCACTTTCACTAAGGTATGGACTGGGAGCCAGTCTGCTTGCAAAGTGGATCTGTTTGTGCCCAAAACAAAAACCTTTTGTCAGAGGGTTGCAGACATCCAGAAAAAGGGAAAAGGGAGGTTTTTGGGGGATTGGAATAAGACAAACAAGTTGAAAATTTATTAATAGAAAAGTGATCGAAGTTGTTAAAAAGCATGGGGAACATGGCTATAAAGCCAAGACTTTCATCATAACCACTGCTTTTCTGTTAACACAATCTTATTTATCCATATTTCAGAGAATAATCTGACCATCATACGCGAGGAGAGCGGAGTGAAGGATCTAATGAACGCAATGGGGACCCACATGAGTGCAGCTAGCGTCATAGACTCTGCCTGCACTGCTATGTGGGGACTCTCATTAGAAGGTATGTCACGTGATAGCCTGGATTTTTTGTCTGAATAAAATTAGGGAGGTTTGGAGGCACTATCCTGCTGCATTTTTTTGTGGGGTGCTGTGGTCCAATGGTTGCTGTGTTCGACTCGTGTGCCGTAGTGGGTACGTGGGTTCGAATCCTGACCGTGGGAACATGGTGCTTGTGCTCTTGAGCAAGGCACTTTACCATTATTGCTTTGTCCTTCGGATGGGACGTTAAGCCGTAGGTCCCGTGTGTTGTGTAATTGACGTTAAAGAACCCGGTAACACTTTTTGCTAAGAGAAGGGGTTTGCCCCAGTTTTTCTGGTAGTGGCTGCAATATGGGCCGCAGCACCTAGCAAAAAGGTGCTGCATAATGGGTCTCATATGTTCATATACTTCATTTACCATGTTTACCTGCCCGTCGATGCATTCTCCCCTAGCGTTTTGTATCCTTTGGAATAGGCGTTGTATAAATACGATTATTATTCTTATTGTTATTATTGTCTCTCAGAGAGGTTATTTCCTGGTCCATCTGCTCACTTTTGACATGATGTGACCACCACTACCAGACATTTGAAGAGGTTTAGGCTCAGAGACCTAGCAGAATTGTAGTCGAGTCATCACACGTCAGTCATTATTGGTCCTGTTTGAAGTCAAATGTCAAGTTATTCAAATGAACTGTGATAAACCAATCTTGCTACTCTTTGCTACTATCTGAACAGATGAAAACATTGAGACAATGGGTGAGCACAACGCAGCAGAACTGTTCCTCAAGGCTATCCAAACACACATCAAGGTAAGTGACAATAAAGACCAAAACATTCACCGTCAATGTGTAATTGTGTGTACTGAACTAATATGAGTCATACATCTGCAAAAAGCCACAGTCCCTGTAACACAGAAGAACTTTTTTAGTTCAGTTAGGCAATTGGAAACAAAACAAGGAAATGTCAGTCATAAATTAGCTTATTACCAGACACATGTCTTTGCAGACAAAAATAGTCTTCATTTATCTCCAGATATTGCTATTTCCAGAAAAGTATCTTTGAAATATGTTTGCCCCCAAACTTCATAAAAGGACACACGACCGATCCACATTGCACCCCTGTTTAGATTTGACCAGATAGGCCTACACCAGAAGTGAAAGGAGCCATGCCGGTTCCCTATACGCCATTTAACTTTCTTTAACCCTCCTACGCAAACATACATTCTGTGCCAAGTTGTCCTTTCAGTCAAAATCAATCAAGTGACCGTTTTCAACAGTTAAGAGCTCCCAGCCTACATGAAGCAGGATTGACTGGCTGTGACTGTTTATAAAACTCGATACAGCTATGCTTTGACTGTAGGTGATTGATAAGCCAGCTGTGCCTACCACTTGCCTGCTTTTGTCGGTTGACTGAGTTTGACTAGTCACAGTGCTAGCTTGAAATATGATCTGACTGTTGGTGACAAGCCTGTGTAATTGGCATGACAGAGGAGGGGGATTGATTTTTTTTGGGGGGGGCTGTCTGTAGCTGTTCAGCCAGCAGGAGGGTTAAAATAAGGGGTGTTTTAGGTGCAAGACTTTGTGTGAAGTGATGTGATTTGATATCCACAGGAAATGTAGTTGAGAATTGGTTAGTGCAATGAAATAAGTCTGGCAAATCAATTTGATGCTATCCCCAATGTTTTCCGACAGAACCCTGACGTTGTGAAGAACGCTTGCATGGCCCTAGCCAGCCTGGTCAGTGAGTCTGAGGAGAGTGCTTACGCTGCCATGAGCGAGAACGAACAAAATAAGACGGGTATCGAAATAGTGACGCAAGCATACAAGCAGCATCATGATGACCCCGATGTGGCCGAAAACGTCTGCTGTTTCTACATGGAGATGTCTGAAATCGGTAGATTAATACGAAAGCAAGCCCATAAAAGTGTGGTGTACTCTTGTGGTCTGTCCCAACTAAAGAGCAAGTTGAATCAAGAAATATGGTTCATCTAACTCGGACTAAAGGAGGTCAAAACCCACACTCAACTATGGTTGGACTAGTTTAGTATAATTTGTTGTATGCCTGGCAGAAGGGCGTATGCGCTTACCCCCTTACGCGCGAACGCGTAATCACCAAATTGTTCCCGGCAAAAGGGCATATGCAGAAAACTGTCAATATTTTAATGGATTTAAACAAAATTCTTCGGAAATTAACACAAATTGATTCATACATGTGTGAAATTAAAAAGAAATTACGATTTATAATACGCATGGGAGAACATTTGATCATAAAACGCGTAGGGGAACAGTGGAGCCTACCAATGCGATTTTCGTGAAAGTGATTTTTCGTGTCAGAATGCTCATACGCTTTTCTTCCGGACACTCGGTGAATTGTAAATTCGTTAATACTTGCTCCTGGATGCACACAATTCAACATGATCCTCAATGTAGCATGCTGTAAAGGTAAAGGTAAAGGTACCCATAGCCATTACTGGCCGTAGGGGCAGTGGGATGTTAGAGGTCTACTGTGTCTTGGGCGCGGCATATAAGTGGCGGGGCCCAGTCCTCTCCTCTCGCCGTCTTACCTTCCCTGAACGAATCAGGCACCCATTTTACTGTTGGGTCGTCAGAGAGAGTTTTCCAGTTTTTGGTCCGAATGGGATTTGAACCGCCAACCTTCCACTTCGTACCTCCACGCTCTAACCGCTTGGCTACGAGGCCCCCCTAAGCATGCATGCTGTGTAAATGCTAAAACTAGTGGTAGAATTCATTTACCCACAAATGCTCTTCCGTGTTAGAAGTGCCCTTTGAATTAATGAGAATTATGCAATTGTAAATTCATATAGCTGATCTGAAATCTGAATTTTTCTCTCAACTTTCATCCTGCGTACAGACGATGGTCTGATAGCTCTACAGAAGCTCAACGTGGCCAGTGTCCTGAAAAGTATCAAGACAAAGTTTGCTGACAACGAGGTGATTATGTGTTTTTGTTGATGAGGCTGTTATGCTTTCATGATCATTCATGTAGATGACGCTTTCTCTGTGCAAATGAGATTCTTCTCACAAAAATCTGTGTATGATGGGAGCAAACATAAAAGTCTTGTGCCCAGACTTACATCTGTGTAAAGCCCTGTGTGGGTCCTCCTGACACACAACAATCAGATTTTGTTGCAATTTTGAACATAAATTGTAGAAGGATAGGATTTGAAATTGACATTCGGATAAGTTTGACATGAAAGATCGATATAAGAAGCAGAAGCCTTGAGAAAATTAGTAACTATTTTATGCATTGTATTGGAGTACGGAACTGTAAAACACTAAATCTCTAAACTCTGTGTTTGTATTCCTCAGGAGATCATGTGCAACGTCTTGGATGTCCTGGGCAAGCTGGGGGAAGGGGGCGGGGGAGCACCGGGGTCACGCCCCCAATCTGCCAGAGACAAAAAACGTGGGAAGTGAAGCTTCCAATTCTAAACTTGCATTCCTAAATCAATTTGTATAAAGAAATAATGCAAACAAGTCATACAACGCCGTCCTAGAAATCTTCTATAGTATATCAATAACCGTCCAAGCATCCAGATGTAAGATCACTGAAGCGTGCCCAACTCCCTAGTGTGTGAAAAATTATATTAAAATTGGACGATTCAAAACTGTTAGGGTTGTTATTTACAAAAGTGGCATTCCTACCATGGTAAGCACCAATTAACAATTAATGGTATTATTACTTATCCCTGTTCTTGACAATCTAATTATTGTGGCTAGCTTAGTCGAATTTTGTAGAGATCTGCTGCGCAGAAAAGCTCGATTGCTTAGCATATTTACTCAACATGCACAAATCAGGGCCCAATTTCATAGCCCTGCTTAACAGCTGCTATTATGCTAACTGATTCTTCATCTATTTCATAGAGACCGTTAAGCAGTAAGCACAGCAAAAGCACGCAAAAACACGCTTAAGCCCAAAGGAAAAAGATGCTTAACTCAGTGACGTAACAGTAGAAATCTCCATGCGTGCGCAAACGTTAGCACATCCACGCCATGAAATAGTGCTTAAGCAGCAGCATGATTTTCTGCTTTAGTAAGCACAACTTTTCTGCTAACTGTTAAGCAGCGCTATGAAATTGGGCCCAGCTGAGACTCGGTTACAAATAGTAACCATCCTTTACATCTTTTGCTGGTAATTTGTTTTCCCCAAAATAAAACTCCCCAGTGCTTGGCCCATTTGCGTGCTTAATATGAAATTTGGCCTCCGTTTGTACACTACACTTTTTATTATGTTCTTATTTTGTATATAATTTATGTTAGGGTCAAGATAGAACACATTATGGTACGTTACACTAACATTTAGCGCATTTTAGCTGAGATGATGATTGACAGGTTTAAACAAGCATTGCTAGAACTGAGAAATCTTAAGCTTCCTAGTTAAGTATTTTCTGAGAGAACCTTTTTTTTTTTAAATAAACATCCAACTGATTAAAGTAGTCAACACACATTCCTCTAATATATTATTAAAAAGATATGCAAACTGATTTTTTTCGTTTTTACTTAAATTACTGGTCAGAGTTTATTGAGGCGCATTGATGTGCACAGATGCCTTTGGAGACGAACAATTCAGGTCTTTAGCGGCCATAATTTTAAGAGGTCGTCAGGTTTTTTTTAGAGGCCTATTTTGCCATTTTCCATTGTTCTTAAGGTTTTGCTGTATTTGTATTTGTTATCAGCTTATTCTTTTTCACATGGGAGGGGAGGATGGGGCTGAATGACCCATTGAACCACAGTCGTCAATCTGTTAGACTTTGAAAGAAAAAAAAGGTTCACACCGAAATACGCCTCCCTGATTTTTCCCTAAAGAAGAAAAATGTCATTTATACAAAAACAAATAAGGAAGCCGTGCACAATTCTAGACCCGCACGTATTCAAAAAAATTGTGGTGGACCAAACCACACGGAGTCATCTGCGTAAATTCTGCTGAGGATAGTGAATATCTCCCTCCCCCCCCCCCCCCACAATTTTCGACTGGGGGATGGGCCATTGGTTCATTTCTGTGTTGAGAAACCCAAAACTGCCGATTTTCAACGGTCCGAATGTATTGAGTAGTTTTGAAAAACAGAGATCAAACAGTAGAAAGGTATTGAATGCACCGTTTTTCTGAAAAGCAAAAAAGTATGTACATGTATTAAGCAACCGCTCGCAAGTTTGCAGTATAATTGAAATTGTCACATAAACCGCGCCCCCTAGTGTCATGTGGCGATCCCCCCCCCCCTTCGCGATTTTGCGGTTTGGCCATTCACCCCCCCCCCCCCCCCCCCCTTACGACAAAATTTTCGTCACTGTATGTATTTTAAAAATGTTCCCTCAATTCGGGAAAATTCAAGATTACCTTTGGAAATGGAATAGGTCATATTTCGTGAAATGTTAACGTTGTATCAAATCACCAACTTGTACCTCAATGAGAAGAAAATGATAAAACGAAGTTCCTTTGATACCGTCCTTTCGTTCAACGATCAAATAAATTTATACATTTTGTAAAGGTTTTTTTGTATTAGAAATTAGATACATGTGTAGAGAAAGGGAAGTGCAGTGGATTTTACTTGCAGAAATTTCCGTCCGATCAAACTTCACTTGTTTTTATACAGTGTCTATTTTTGATGAACAAGTATCGGTGTTCTTTCTGTGACAGTTTTGTTAATGTTGATTTTCACTTGACCGTTTGTATATTTTGGCTATATAACCAGAGAGACTAACGAACGGGTCTGTGTTTCTGTGAATAAAGAAGAACTGGATATAACTCAAGATTCATGTATTTCCTTGTTATTATTTGATGTCATTTTCTTTTACATATAGAGAGCCAAAAAAATAGGGATAACTACTCACAACTCTTCAAAGTTTTATGAGACACACGTGAATTAAATTAAAGCTTGATTCACCTGTTTCCACTTTCTGTTCTATATCTGGGAGGTGAAGCGATGACTTTTGGGCTCATCCTTTTAACAGTAGCCCCAAATCCATTCGCCCTTTTGAAATGAAACCGACATATCAACATTATGTTTCGGGGTCAATTTCAACACAATATCGCAGATATTCAAACGTCTAAAAGCTGGTTCACACTCGGTAAAAAGCGACCGCGAGCGAACGCGAACTCGTGAGGTGAGTTTTCACGCTGCTCATTCGCAGAAGTTGAACACATTTCAACTCGGGCGAATTTCGCAGCGAATGCTGTGTGATGTCAAATTCGCCGCTGATCACATTATCAAGTATAAGTCCAGTTAAGAGCTGAGACAATTTACTTGTACTTACTCCCAGGTCCATGGCCAAAACTTTTTTTAATTAAGAGAGATAACAGTGGCATACAAAGTGATTTGGTGCAATTTCGGGAATACTGGCCTGAAACTGAAAGGGCTAAACACACACGTATTTGATCCGCATGGATGGACCAACAGATAGAGCAATTAAAAACAGATTGTAATTGAAAGAGATCTGTCTCTACACATAACCAACTTTTTAGGGGTGAAACAATAGCATAATAGAACAATATTTAATAATTCGTTCCACTGATTAGTGTCCATTTATTGTTTCATTTTGTCCTCCAGTGATCGTTTCTACTTTCAATACGTCCCACCTGTTTTTAGTTTAAAACTAATTAAAAAATAATTAACACTACAGGGTTAATTAAAATAGACCCAACCTTGTTTATTTGTTTATTTTAATCTAAAGGATATTCTTCCATTGTTATTTACGAATCTGCTTTATTTTACCCCGGCATTGACGTCAATATAGACTTCCTGTCTTTTGTTTAATTCGTACTCGATTCGGCAACTTAATTGGGAACTGAACTCCATGCATGAAACATTGTTGTTTTCTGTCGGTCAAGTGAACTAATATGTGTTTTGATTGAAATATTTCAGCGAATTATAATTGGGGAACACCAGCCTATCTGAATCTGAATCAAGCTTTCTGTGAAACAAAATTGTTGCTAACGACAGAGGAGGAAAAAGGGCGTGGATCCCCCGTTAAAAGTTGGCGTGTTTTCCCTTACACTCTGAACCAATAAAAACCCGCCGATTGGTCGAGCGGACACACTCGTTGGCGGTACCGAGACAGAACTTGCAAGTATCGGTAGTATTCGAATTATTCCAATCGCAAATCTACAATCCAACATCATGAGACTGATTCTGCTGGCGATGTTCGTGGCGTGTGCCTTGGCAGCCTCCACGAACAGGGTCCGGAGAGGTAGCCCATTTGAGAAGGGAGATCGCAAAGGGGTGAGTACATGAAACAGAGTGCATATTGGAATGAGGCTATCAAAATGGTTCAACGGTTTCAATGTTCGGCACTCCGGTCAAGTCTATTAAGGCGTAAATTTGGGGATGAAAATCAATGTTGTCATCAGTTCGGAAATCGATGTGAACGAGGGGAAGGGAACTTTGGCGGGGTTGGTATCACTATTCCAAAATGAACACGTTTTTCAGTTTCTTTTCTGTCCCCGAGCACTTCTGTAGGTATATCGCTCCTTCGTGAAGTTGTGCAATCATTTACATTGCTGCTCGTGTTATGCACGTAGGCCTATCTTACTTTTTTTCAAATTGGAAACTTGATCCCAATCATTTTCAAATTGTCCTTGCCAAAATTAGACGACACAAATGTCCTCTCCTCGTTATTTCTTTTACTTTGAATAATTCAGCCGCCGGCAAAAGAGACGCCCGATCATGAAGGCGAAGACAAGGATCGTCCCATCAGGCGCGCTGATAACCCATTCGAGAAGGGAAAACGTCCTGGGGTGAATATTATCATTGATGCCATGTGATCGTTTTGTAAAATGCGATATAGCGAGCATATACCAACCGCGTGGCAGGCGCAGTTTTTCTGAGCCTAGCGCCTCGGACCAGTATGGCCCGTATACAGTTTCGCTTCGTCGTGAAATTCTTTAATTTCAGGGTCAAAATCCACACGGTAATACACCAACAGCAAATATTTCGGATCTCCAAAGACTTTTTAAATTTCAGAATGGAGTTTCATCTCCCAAACATAAAATACTGCGCCTGGTACGTGGCTTTATGGGTTCTGGTGAGTGAGGACTGCTCGCGGTAACTAGGGTTGGCAATTAAATTAATATTAAAGATTTCTTCTGATGATATAAATGACGGTCACAAGTTTTTTTTTAGTGGCACAGGTCTACGCCCTCAATACTAAGTGTTTTATTTACAATCGTATGATGTGAGGCAAGTGGTGTTGTGGCGGTAGGTCAGACATTCAATGCAGGATTCATATTGTTTTTTGGCAAGATACTTAGCTGTCATCACATTCCAAACAGGGGAAAACATTGATCGATGCAGATTGAAGTACATGCATGTATTCTCAATTATCCCGACTCGACTGTAACTATAGCAAACTCCTGTTGGCATGGAATTTGGCAGAGGGGCTGGATACAAGGGGTGGAAAAGAATACGTTAAAGTTTACAAAATAAGGGTAACCAAAGTTAAATGAATTCAGAATAATTTTCAATTAACGTTATTCATATCTTGCAAGCACACAGAAAGAATATTATGTCTCGTTCTAGATAACTGGCCAATACCAGTAGCGGATCTAGGGGTGGGGTTGCAACCACCCCACCCTTCTATCCCCACCCCTCACCCCCACCCCACCTTCAACCCCTCCCCCACCCCGTTCAGCCGCTGAAATATTTTATACTAGTAAATTGGGTCCAAAAATAATTTACATTTTGAGTCAAGGGTCCTAAACTTACTCTCACATTACTTTAGAATGGGGGAGGGGCATGCCCCGACCCCCCTGTAGTAGGGACACGCCTTCACTCAAATAACAACACCCCCACCATTTCGTTTCCCGAAAGCTCGTCCGCCCCTGATACACTCCTCTCAATTTTTCAACCTCAGGCTCCAAAGAAATTGAAACCCGATGCGGAGGGCGAGGATAAGCACTCCGTGGCCCGCCGCAGTGCCCCAGCAACATGGGATGCGGGAAAGCTCTGCTATCTCTTTGTTGATGGCTTCGGAGGTAAGTTGTTTTGGATAAAGAAATGGCACATTTTCGTCGTAGAAGCCCCTCTGGAGAGCAAAAGCAAAACCTGAAGTTCGGACCATGGTCGTCGCCAGGATAGGACAAGGGGGGGGGGGGGGGGGGGGGGTTTCCTTCCCCCCGGAAAAGCCACACAAAATGAGAGGTGTGAAGTCATATTCGCTATTAATTTAACTAGTGCAGGGCCAGTCGAAAATGTGCGTGTTCGGAAGGGGCAGTTGAGAACTGCAGCTCGTGCAAACAACGCACATTATTCAATGGTGTGAACGCACACTCGCAAGTTAAACTCACAAAATGTCGCCACCCCCCCCCCCCGGCACATACAGTGCAGTGATGGTTGCTCAGTTGAGTACAAAATGCATGTGCCCGTGCATGCCACTCACGTATATGTACGTACGAAGACATGGTGTGCAGTGCTATCGCCCTACAATGTGCCCGTCATTTTTGCCCGTCAAAAAAAAAAGCACCTGTTCGTTAGGGGCAATTTCAAAATGCTCATATCATGCAAACAACGCACACGATGCAATTGTGTTGTTTTCACAGGTTAAACTCACACTCAAAGGTTGAGCGCACTTTGTACATGTCGCCAGGCCATCCCCGGCACTGATATTCACCAATACGCCCGTGCAGCTACTCACCTACGTGAGTAAGGTTGCTCAATCCACCGCCTACAATAGTGGTTCAATCGACTTAAAATGCATGTGCCCGTGCAGTCATCACGTACGGAAACATATGGTACGCAGTGCTATTCACCCATACTGGACAATGGTATCGCCCTACAATGCACGTGCGCGTGCCCGTCCTTTTTCCATTGTTTGCGTCATATTGAGCACGCGCGCTCTTGCTTTAACATGACGTAAACAATTGAAAAGAACGGCAGTGCGCGGAGTTCTAGGCTATATTCTGGCGCGCTAGGTCTCAGAAAATACTGCTTTTTGCAGCTTTTTCGAGAACCCCTCGTCCAAACTACTTCAAACTCGGCACTGTACATTCTGTTGTCCCGAGCAATGCACCCGCCGATTTTCAACTCCATACGGTGCCCAGTTCTGGAGATAATCGGCGGACAGACAGACAGACGGACGTTCTAGCCAGACGGACTTGTGGGGTGATAGCATTGTGTTCCCATTATCCCTTTTTCTAAAGATTCCCTTCTGGGGTGATGTTTTTCCATTGTGTAAAAAGTGGGGTGATGTGTTCTGAAAGGAACATCACCCCACAAGGGTGGTCTGGTCAGAACGGACAGACAGACAGACAGACAGACAGACAGAGATTCCTTGAATTGTAGTATAGACTAGTGCAGGGCAAGTCGAAAATGTGCGTGTTCGGAAGGGGCAGTTGAGAACTGCAGCTCGTGCAAATAACGCACATTATTCAATGGTGTGAACGCACACTCGCAAGTTAAACGCACAAAATGTCGTCACCCCCCGGCACTGATATTTACCCCTACTGGACAATATGGTATCGCCCTACAACTGTAGGGCGTAGTTGTAGGGCGACACCATTATATTGTATTAGAGTTGCTCAGTCGACCGCCTACATACAGTACAGTGATGGTTGCTCAGTTGACTACAAAATGCATGTGCCCGTGTATGCCACTCACGTATGAAGACATGGTGTGCAGTGCTATCGCCCTACAATGTGCCCGTGTCTTTTTTGCATTGTTTGCGTCATATTAAGCAGGCGCGCTCTTGCTCAAACATGACGTAAACAATTGAAAAGAACAGCAGTGCGTGGTGTTCTAGGCTATATTCTGGCGCGCTAGGCCTCAGAAAATGCTGCTTTTTGCAGCTTTTTCGAGAACCGCTCGTCCAAACCACTTCAAACTTGGCACTGCACATTCGGTTGTCCCGAGCAACACACCCGCCGATTTTCAACTTCATACGGTGCCCGGTTCTGGAGATAATCGGCGGACAGACAGACAGACGTTCTAGCCAGACGGACTTGTGGGGTGATAGCATTGTGTTCCCATTATCCCTTTTTCTAAAGATTCCCTTCTGGGGTGATGTTTTTCCATTGTGTAAAAAGTGGGGTGATGTGTTCTGAAAGGAACATCACCCCACAAGGGTGGTCTGGTCAGAACAGACAGACAGACAGACAGACAGAGATTCCTTGAATTGTAGTAAGGATGGGCGTCTGCAGGGGAGTCAATGGTAGTGGGGTGGGTAAATGTCCCCCACCCACCCTCGAAAAAAATTGAGAATAAATTGAGAATATGCTAAAAAAGAACAAGGATTTTTTGTTGGGGGGGGGGTGCTTCCCCCTCCCCCCCCGACAAAATCCTGGCGACGCCCATTGTTCGGACTTCATCAAAGCATGGTCCATGATCAAAGACATCAAATAACAGTGAAATGTTCATTTTGACGTTGTTCACGTTATTCCGCCGATGTGTACATGTAATTTCAGTTACTCTCTGCACGCGCGAATAAGAGCTTTGAGTGGTTTAATTTATTTTTAACAGGGCAAAATTAAGCCCTCATCAGACTTAAAGGGAATATACAACATTTGCAAACATCGAAAAATAAAACTACCAAGTTTTTACGAAATACCTTACTAGGATGTTGGTAAATGACAGTCTAAAGCATCCTGTAAAATTATGGCACCTGGTGTGAAGTCATTTTCAAGAAAATGTTTTGCTATTGTTTGCTATTGGTTACATGTTCATGAACAGGTGCAGGCCAGCTAGACTGGTTCCCTTACCTTACAATTTTCCGGCATTTATAAATTGATCCATTTTATCTTTAGTGGAGTCAAGGAACCAGACTACTTGAACATTTTTGTTTTTCTTGTTTTTTTCCAGCATTTTCGAACACAAAACTTCAAACATGTCAGTGTAACAATATTTGATCTATTAGGCCTATACTAACCCCTCAAATAGTTCATTTCTGAAAATTACAGCAAAAGCCAATGATGTACATTCCCTTTAATGTGTGCTCGGTGAACCAGCAAATTCTTTAGAAAAATAGTCTGATATAATTCAAAAGTTGGTTTGTTACAATTTTAACAATACAAAGATGCTCAGATGAAGACAAACGTCCGAAGGGCAATGGACAGATTTGAGGCTGTGTCGTGCGTGACGTTCATTGAGGCTGACACCGGTGATTCCAGTTGTACATCAAGCACCAGCCCAAAAATAGAAATCAAGAACGACAAAGCAGGGTAAAAAGCTTCTTTTTTTTAAATGAATTCCATGCATGCATTGACTTGGTTAGTAGACATTATTCTTCTACATAATATTTACCAAACAATTTGTTTCAGTTTCGTATATAGTCTTACCGTATCCTGAATTTTCAATCACTTTTATAGATGTTGGGCCGATGTGGGTTGTCACCCAACACTCAACCGAGTAAACGTGGCAACGACTTGTGATCCGGTACGTAGCTACAAGAATTTCGTCGGTTGTTAACATTTAAACGTCAGTGTTTACACAGGCACTCATGCAAATATCGAAATAAAAATCGCGATCCAGTGTGCTGCAGAGGGACTGAAAAATACTACATTTTATTAAACGAGATGTCTTGCATTCCTCTTCATTTTGGAACCTCATGTTCGGCGTTCAGGTTGTAACCTTGGAACATGAATAGACTAGAGGGGCAGATAAGGATGGGGGAATTGTGCCTTTGATGATACAAGCATGAAATTTGGCACACATTCAGAGTATGTCATGAGAAAAAACATTTGGCTTCAGGGCCATCGCATATTTGTCCTTTGATAAAAGCATAGGTAGAATTACAAACAGTTTCAAAATGGCTGTCATTGCTTGTTATTCTACCTCATTTTTTTCTCCAAAGAACAAATTTGCAATGGCACTATCAAATACCTTTCTTATGACACACTCTGAATGTGTGCCAAATGCCATGCTTATATCATCAAAGACACAATCCCATTATCTATCTGTCGCACTATAATGTGTCTTTAATGTAATGGTCCTTCTATCTCATGTCCTTATTTTGTTTCATGCTTACAAAAGTATGACCAGATAGGTGTACTGATGCATGAGCTGTTCCACGCAATGGGACGGTATCATGAGCACACCAGACCCGACAGAGACCAATTCGTCACCATTTTGTATGGCAACATCAAGGAAGATCAGGAACACAACTTTGAGAAACACTCCAGTGCTGATTTTCTTACGTATGGCATCAAGTACGACTACGAGTCTATCATGCACTATGGAACAAGTGTAAGTTATAGTCACAAATTCAAGTCAGAAGTGAACGTGTGCGCAATTATTAGTAAAGTCTCGAGATTTGGTTGTTTATTGTAAGGGACCTTTGTGACAAATTTCTCCGTCCGGCATTGACTTTTCAATGCTGCTTCAATATTCCAAGGAGCGTACTGTACTATAGGTTTACCCACCAACGTTTCGTTTTGGAAAATATAAGGGGCTACACGTTACAAGAGAGAACATTCGTTTAAATACAGTAGAAGAAATAATTGTCTTTGATTTCAAACACATTATGTTTTTTTTCTTTTCTGCATCGCCAGGGTTTCGCATGCAGGTCGCGGACTCGGAGTACAACACACTGCCTATATTCGGATTAACATTATTCTACAGATGGGATAAGCCATTGCAAGTGATTTTAAAGGGTCATTCTTTCTTTTTTTTCATGCAGTTTTTCGCCAAATCGTCTGGACCAACCTTGGAAGTAAAGGACCCGCTCTTTGCCAACAAAATCGGCAAACAGAAGGATTTCTCTACACGGGATATCCTCTACCTGAACAACATGTACCAATGCTACAATGGCGGTAGGTGCACGCCATTGTTTACTCGTCTTTGATGCCTTAATCTATACTAAGCACCAAAGTTGTCTGTCACCTAAACAAGTTCTAATGTTTTGAGCATTTATATATATCGAGATTCAGATCTCAATATCAATTTCTATATATTAAGGCGTCTGTCACACTGTCACGATTTAGCCTCCCGATCACGATAAGACAAGTGCTGAGACGCGCAAGACTCGACGACATCGTGAAACTCGGAACTGAACAGCTGAAATTTGTCTTCTTGAGCGTCGTCTCGGCATCCTGCACAGGTCGTGCATGGGCGGCAGTGCAGCCACGATCACTTTCAAGAGTTGAAACATATCGTGATGGTCGGCAAAAAAATCCAAAAACAGATCAGAGTCTGTTCAGAGCACATTTGATCATGGTCTACAGACTAGAGCTCGGAATACGAAATTTGGATTTAGCGCCACATTTCCTACGTATTTGGTACTATTTTCAAGGTAATTTTTAAAGCTCATGGGCTTGGCGGGGTCTTGGTCTTTGGTCTTGGATATGTGATTGGTGTGTAACCCTTTAAAAGTTCGAAGTTTGCGATTAACATCGACTATATAATAGATGAGGTTCTGTCGTCCGGCTTTATACCTGGTCGACGTTCCAAGCTTGAATGAATGATGTGGACATGTCACATAATAATTGAAGACGCTTCATATCATTGAAACCTCTAAGAGTTGTTATTTCCTGCATGTGAATTCTAGATCCATCTCCCTGTGAACATCGTGGTGCAAGGAAAGCCGATGGATCCTGTTACTGTATCCACCCATTCACAGGTCAAGACTGCCAGGACGTTGCATCCGGTGGTAGGTATATTTGAACATCTATTATTGAGTAAAATACACGAGGCGCTATACATGTACTTTCATGTTTAGATTGGAACAGGTCATTGATGGTATAAATAGGAACAAGTTCCAAGTGGTACAACCCACGGCGGCCGGATAACGGGCGAAGACGCCCTTAATACGGCACCGTCCGTGCGCCCGATTGGGGCGTGATCTAATATGCAAATTAGACAAGTGCGCATCAGCGTTTTCAAAACCGGTGTAGCGTGAATATCCGACTCCATGCAATGTGAACTCTTGGTAGTATTGCGCACGCTTGAGTACGATACTCTGCTATTTTTAGGATCGTTTCGGGAGAGTGACCTGACACGTGCGAGGGATTAACCAATAATAGGGAAAAAGGGGTCCGATTTTCATAGGAGTCGGATTTTCATGTGACACCGGTCTTAGAATGCAAAGCTGTAATGGGCCTTATGCACGAGTTAACAACTTTTGTTGAGTTCCCAGAATGTACTATTTCATAAATTGTTAACTGTTGAATGGGATGACGCCAGACTATTTATGCAGCCTTGTTTTATGTGTCATTTTTTAAATCTGGCGTAAATTTTTTTTAGGGAATGTTTAATTACACATTTTGAATTATTCATTGAAGCAGACTTGAATTAATTAGTAATGTACTTGCTTTCATTTCTCTTCGCAAGTTCCAAATATGAAGATTGTACCTCACTTTCAATTCAATATGGCCGACTCGTGCATAAGGCCCATACTCGAGTTACATGAATACAATATATGGCCGAGTAAACATTACTGTCCACCCACCCACCAAGTTCCCAACCAATAAGTAGCTCAAACCCACGGCGTGTTTCACACCGTGGGAAAAATAATGAAATCGAAACACGAATTGGCTTTAATTTGTGAAGTCTTTAATATGATTATGCGCCATGTTGTGCCTTAAGGTTTTGGTTTCTCGTCAATTCTCAAGGTCAACTTGCACGCTCTATGAAGGATATAATGCAACGCCATATCGCATTATCTTTTGCAGTTGAAGTATTTGAAAATGATGGGTCTGCCGCTATAATTGTGAAATCACTGAACTACCCTGATGACTACCCTCTGAATACCAAGACCGAGACTCTCCTTAAGGTAAATGACGCGTCATTACCATCTGGAAATTAGTTATTTGCCTCAACATCAGATGTTCTCCTGTGAACAAAATACAGCAGCAGACTACACACACTGGTCAATGTTTCCACAGTGCGGCATTCATAACGATGGGCGTCGCCAGGATTTTTTCTAGAGGGGGGTAAAGCACATTATTTCCCCAAATCCTTGTACTTTCTCTGGCATATTCTCAATTCATCATTTTTCGAGGGTGGGCGGACGGACATTTGCCCACCCCACCCCCATTGACACCCCCGCGGACGCCCATGTTGTTAAAAGTGCATTAAATTAACAGCAATGTAACTTTGCACTTCGTCTTCTTTTTCGTTTTCCCTGCTCCTTTTTTTTGGGGGGGGGGGGGGCTTTTCCCGGGGAGGGGGCAAGTGCCCCCTTGCCCCCGCCCCCTCGCGACGCCCATGTTCATAACCCCATAAGGGAGTACGCCTGTAAATAGGCCAAAAATCCGTCCGCCGAGCTCATGAATAAAAGTTATACCCTCAAAATATTGTATATTAGAGAGTTTTGAGGGCCATAAAATTGGGGAATTGAAGAAATAATGGTAATTAACCTCTGGCCCGGACTTGGGGCTTCCAATTCTGAGCATTTGGATGCTATTGGGCTCGATAGTGGCGCTATTTTGCCATGTTGTGGAGGGATCGTTTTTCAAGATGGCTACTTTTCCGCTTTGGGGAAAATAGGGGTCGCCTTCTTTGGGTGAGAATATCTCGAAAAGTCAAAGGTCAACCCACCAAAAAATGAAAAGAAAATGAAAGATGACACATTGATCATCATTTTTCTGTGCAGCTTGAATACGTGAGAGTTCCGAGTATTTTTAAAAGAATTGTGAAGTATGCGCATTTAGCACTAGTGTCTATCGGATTATTTTTGCAGGGTTGCACCCATAACGCCCCGTCCCCGATCATCATGCATGATCCATATTACTTCACGTATAGTTATTAAATGGACAACTGCATGGACCATGTCTCAGTCCCATCCTCAATATTAATAACCAATTGATTTGCTTTTACGTTGTATGTCACAGTGTACGGACGCGAGTAAGAAGGCCCAGATGGAGATTCTAGACTTCGCTATTGAAGGTTATGGCTGTTACTACGATAAATTCACATACACAATCATGGGTAACGACCTGTATCCAGACGTGTAAGTGTTATTTCACGGAATTGGAGCTTATGATGTCGCCTATTATTTCGTTGGCCATGCCCGATAATACACGTTCATCAACTTGGAATCAATAAGACAACAAACCACTAACTTGTTCCAAGATTCTTCCAACGACCCACATACTGTGCAATATATTTGCCTGACTGCAAACCACAGGCTTACAAACTGTCACTAAGTCTTGCACAGCTCTCAAGTGCCCTCAAAAGCGCAATGTTGTTATTGGGAAAGAAGTCTGTATATTCAGAAGGAAAGATGGCTATGACAGATGGATATGTGAAGTACTGACTCCAGGCGTGAACAAATGAGGGCGCTGACACTAAAAACAAGCGCGCGTAAAGGACCTTATGCTGGTTAACCGGTGGTGAACCACTGGCCACTGTGCTTACTGGGTTCAGCACTGGGTTGTACGAGTGCAGATGCACGGTCCACCATTACATTGGGTCATCCCAATACATGCGCACAAATTGCTCAGAAAACGCCATGGGTTTAAACAAAATGCTGACCGACATAATTATTAGTGACCAAAAATCGTCAACCGCAGAATGTGTATGGCGTGGATCAGTCAAGCATTGAGGCAGGAATACTGTTCCTATAGTACCTCCATGGAGGTAGGATACCGCCATATAGAGGTATAGGATACCTCCACGGAGGTGGGAATAGACTATTCCTATACCTCCATTGTATATGAACTGGCCAATTGGTGAGTAGCAGCCAGTATACAATTAGTATAGAGATCAGTGTATACTGAACAGTCAATATAATTGGCGCACAACGGTCCATCAGTCCGAGCTGCATGGGAGTGCAGATGTCATACACAAAATCACTTTCGTTGAGGCATAATCATCGAATGCAGAATGCTGTCATATTTTGGTGATCAATACAGCATAATTTGTGTGGTTGTTTTTATTTATCCTCAGCAAATGTGAAGATCAGTTGGCTGGCAAGACGGTGACGGCAGAGGACAGCAGTATACTGATAACACTGAGTAGTGACGATATGTACACATTCAAGGGCTACAAGATCTCCTTTACCTGTGTGTAAGTTGGCAAAAAAAACCCATACGGCCGCACACCGCATTAAAAAGCATCGTGACATCTCTACGAAGTAATACACTGCAAAGGTGTGATAAATTGGAATTGAATCTAAAATTAATTGGTCAACTTCAGACATGTTTTCGACTATAGAGAGATTTTTAAAAAGAAATTTAAAATATTTACTAAGAACAAGGATAGAAAAGGTTAGTTTGAAAACTTGAAGAGGTCTTTAACATGAAACACGCGTTTTCGTACTCTCTTTATGGGTACTGTCCTTAAAAAAAAAGACAAACATGGCTATGTCACGATCTGGTTAATTTATTGATCAATGACTAACCCCAAAACACAGCCATCATCAAAGATGTCCACACTTCATAGGTCTATATAGACAGATTTTGCGACGCTTTTTGTGCAGTGAGAGACCCCTTGTTCACAGCATGCCTATACGGCCCTGGTGTTTTCATCAAGCCCCTTAAACGGTCAAGCAACGTAATCTTACTCTGCACCTAGTCCATCACCTTGATTGTAAATGATTTTTTTTGTTCGACATTGTAACACTCTTTTGGATTATCTTCATTTTGCGAAGACTGCAATGACAATTTGTGCGCAAAAACAGCTTTGTTAAAGCGCTTCGTATTATTTAGTGGAACTATAGAACTGATGTTGCAATCCCAGAAATAGCTTATAAATATAACCCTTTATAAAGAAACAAAAATGTCTAGTCTTCAAACTCTTGATTTCAAGAGTTGAAAACCAGACAGAGCAATATGGATATTATCGTAAATCGTAATGCCCATAACCATGCTGAGAGCTTGGGGTTCCGTGGTATGGATGGATAAGTTTCTCCCGTTGGACCAACTGCAAATGAACCGATCAAAGACTACGATATTGCATCCCATTCGCGAACGGATTCGTTGGGGATGGGCTGCGAAATCCTCAAGGCAAAACTGTATTGCTATACCTCCCAAGGATTCCTCAAATTTAAAGCGCCCTAGGCACACATAGCTCGCAAGCCTGAAAACAACTATAGAGAGCAGAAAATGAGAAGCAATTAGAGTTTTAAAGGTGGGAGGAAAACCCCAGAATGATATTCTACAAGAGAAAAAAAACCACGGAATCAGGCAGGGACTGAAAACCCAATTCACATATTGTCCCAGGCGGGAATCGAACCGGGTCATAGCCGTCGAAGGCGAAGAAAGTACCGCTACGCCAACCTGACTCCACGTCCCACAGTAATGTGCAAAACAACCAAGAGAACTCATCTAATACAAATTGAAACCTCCTTTGGTAGAATTGTAGGTCTGGTTCAGACACAAATCATAGGAGATGAGGTACCGGTACATCGCCCGATATTTCTTGCAGCAAATGAGGGGAAAAAACCTTACAAATTACACCGATGAGGGACCTAGAATGCAATGCACTAAAAGAGCAAGCCTTTAGGGATTTCACGTGAATTGTAAATACCTAATCATGTAGGTTGAAGTCTTGTATAGTACATGTATTTAGGCCTGTATCTATATAGGTACCGCACATAGACATTACACAATATAAAAAGAAACGCATGAAGTCTAAACGCTTTGCTGCAGTTTATGCGTTTTCTTCTATCGTTTTATCATTAATTCGTAAGTAGCTATGAAAATATACCCGCCCTATACCTATTGTAATATTTGCCTCCGATGTACAGCAATGACAGCTCTCGGACGTACAGAGCATTAGCTGCAATGCAGCCCCGTCCAAATATATCAGTTCTGTAAGAAAAAATATATACGGTCTAATAGCGATTGATACAGATCAGTAATTATTTTACTTTGGTTTGAGAAAGACGATGACGTTTTGTAATTTTGTTGGCCAATTTGCTCGTAATGTTACCATATCCCCAGCAAGTTACCATTCGTATCAAGCTGAGGTTAGATTCAGTCCCCTTCATATAGTTTGATCAAATAGCAAAATAACAGTCCAATTACAAAGTACCATATAGCAAATAAATATGCTGCATTACTGCAATCATCAACCCAAAGAGGAACATAGTTTTGATGATCTATATTATAATAGATAACGAAATTCAAAAGTCCGAGCAGTTACCAAATTAAACTATTACAAGATCGCTACTCATTCACCCGATTCTCATGTGACCCTCAACCCAGATCGTTTTAGTCTCAAATCTCAAATATAGGAGAGAATTATAGCCTATGTGAGCTTTCGTTTACTTCACTAATTGTAATCGTTTTGGGCTTGTTTAATTAACTAGAATAAGATTTCCACTTTAACATAAAGGGTATCAAGGTATTCAGCTTGTCCAGCTTGTTATTAGATAAGTAAATCATGCTTGAAATTAAAGGTATATTGCACACCATTTGCTGTTATCAAAACAATTTTCCAAAGTTTAACATATCATGCCTTCTAAGTTAGTCGGGCAAATGTGATGAAAGAAAGCGTTGAAATAATTATTCGAATCGACCAAAATACTAATATACCTTTATTCAACTTTTTGACGACAGACTAAAAGATGGTGTTTTTGTGATTTCAATAAGTAAATTTTTGACATTTTTTCTCAAAGATGGGCATTCTCTGAGCTCACCGTCTATAGTAGTCCTTTAAGCTTGGCTTGTAATGCATAATGGTGTGCGATCCCTTAAATTTTATTATATTGTTGTAATTATTTTGCTAGAATTGGCTTTGCGTAATCGTGCTATTTTAGCCTAGAATAAAATTGCAACCGTAAAATTTACGTGTAAAATATACGTGTAGAAATAAAATATAAGCTATAGGATGGAGTATATTGTGACAACTACGCTTGGTAAGGCAAGGGTACAAGAAAAGCCAACTAAATGATGGAAGAAGATGGTTGTAAGGCATCGTTGTCACATGACTCCTTCGTAGAGTTTCATCCAGCAAAAGCAAGAGCATGTGTCCCTTGTCTTTGTATATTATTAATCATTCCAAGTCCGAGTGTTTTCCTGTTCAAATACACATCCGTTCGTTCGTGTGCTGGTCCTGTTGCAGCTAGCGAGGCTAATTTTAGTTTTAACGCCCAGTGAGGACAGTCCGAATTGAGAAATGACTGACTGAGAAAATGTAAACCATATTGCTAGCTATCTGGCGAACCTTTTCCTGAAAATAAATAAGGAGATGCTATTCTTATCGTTATACTTTCTGCTTAATTGAAATGTTCGGGGAATGAAGTCATTTGACCATAAAGGTTTGCGACATATCACAAATGATGGAATCGGCCAACTCAAAAAGGGCCGGTTGGATAACATTAACAACCAGTAGAAAGCACTCAGAGAGCGCACACCTGGTAAAATCCATCATTGACCTGATGTGTGGTTAGATTAGGTGGTATGCAAGTTACTGGGTCATCGGGTCAGTGCCAAGCACAGAAACCTGTGCACAGATCCACTCCCCTTGTAATGGTGAAACTTTTACATGCATATGGGTGAAAAATTCTTTAAAAAAAAAATCCTGCATCCACACGCAGATCCCGATCACTTCCAAAATCTAATCGATTTGTACTTGTACCAAGGACCACCCAAAAACATTTTCATGAAAATCCGTCCAGACGTTTTTGAGTTATCCTGTTCACATGCAGACAACCACACTCACCAACCAATCACCAACCAACAAACCGACCAACACACAAACCAGCGCCGGTGAAAACATAACCTCCTTTGCGGAGGTGATTACATCATCGCAATGGCTCATGGTACATGGGTGTACTATTATGTATCGCGGCTCTCCTAATTCATATATGTACAGTGTACGCAGTTAATAACTTTCTGGCGGTTTATAGTCGAATTGTCACGATCGGGAATACAGTTTTAATTAGCGCACTCCAAGACTAATTAGTCGGCGGTCCAATGGACTGTAACAATATCACTTTGTTGATATCATGTCCCGGATAATTAACTGATTTAATACAAATTCACCACACGCTTTGTCCACTAAGTCAGTGCGACCGCAAACAACAGTTTTAATTAAACTAGAGGGATGTGCCAGGATTGGCCATCGGGGGGACTCACTCCTATTGGAACCAACAAGGTCCGAGGTTAAATAACATTTTCAGAGATGATACCAAAACAAAAGTTTGGCTGAAAAGTGGAAGTAATTTCAATATTTTGTAAACGGTGTTTCATCTTTCCGCTGAAGACAGGAGAAAAGCGTCAGTTTAAATTCAACGACTCAATTTCAACAAGGATGAAAGCACTATAGGTGCAGGTTCTCTTAATACGGAAACAAATCGGGGGTTTTCTTTTAACCCCAAAAAACCCTAACCAATAAAAAACCTTCACAGTCACACAAGGAATCACTTTTTTTACACAGTCACTTCATGTACGGGTGGTGCAAGAAGAAGCAAACACACTGTTGACTGCAATTTTCACCTACTTGTTGCGCGTAATTCAAAAATTCAATTTAATGGTATTACAATTTTAATCTTTAATGCAAATGCATATTTTATCTCGGAGATAAGGTAGTTCAAAAATTTCATGTTCCAAACCTGTCTGTCCATGGACGGCCTTATTCCATCCGCTTGACTGAGCTCTGGAGCTAGATTTGAAGAAAAAAAACACTACACTAGACTTACACATGGACAACAGTGATTTTGGTGACTTGTATTCAAATTAGTGTAATAACACTTAAGATTTTTTTCACAGAGATATACTTCACTACATTATAAAAAAAACCGTTCAAATTAGTTAGGTAAGGCCAAAAAAAAAAGTCTCCGGTTTCTGGTATGCGCGCGCGTCGCCGTAGCCATGCGCGTCGGCAAAATGAAAACGTTTTTTTTTTCAATGAAAGATGATGTCTCAAAACCGCCAAACTTACTGGTTTGACTGGAATCCTGTTGCTGCACAATTTTTAACGTGTTTTTAGACTGGGTTATGGTCGAGAATAAGCTTTATGTGGCCTCTCTGGACTCCCGTATATTTGCACTATTTAGTCGGGCACCATTTGCAGTCATCAGCTGACATTTGAAGCAAAAAAATCAGCTAAAAAAAAAATAAAGCCGCGTCGCCGCACCACTTTTTGGGCAAGCTCCATACCAGAAACCGGAGACTTTTTTGTGTGGCCTAAGTAGGTTAAATTTCCTGTCAAAGTGGGTTTCCTTCTTTTTGCACTATCCTGTATATGCATATGTTATTGATGTTGCCGTTTTTATTGGTGTTCAAGGAAGTTAACGTCAATAAAAAACTAACATTTAAAAGACGACCATCTCTGATATGGACACCTGGACCCTTGGTGTCAAAACAGAGCACCACGCGATGTTTGCAAGACGTCCCTCCCCCGGTTTAAGTACACATTTGCCAGGCTCCTTGTTCAAACTCTCAACCAATAAAAGAACGAGTTGTAGCGTGTTTGGCCGCCAGAAGTGTAGACGAAGTAGTGAGACACACAACCGGCACGATGGGATTCCTGTGCATTGCAGCATTCTGCATCACATACGCTGTTGCCTCCATCGAAAAACAAGGGGTAAGCTTGTTACCACGCAAAGTGGCGGTAAATTCATTGATGCGAGAGTTTTCATGCGTAAACCATAATTTTATAGTCAATTAGTTGATATCCGTTTCTTTTCGAAATTTTTTTACCACTTTCTTCCTTGAGAAAAAAGTAATGACTTACTCAGAGTCAGTTTGATCGACTGTTTCTCGAAAAACAGCATATTGAATTTGCAGAAGTTTCTGGAATAGACGTTGCTTTTTGTTTCGAGTATCACAAAAGACAATTTCGGACTAATACGGGTCAATTTATCTATGTTCAGACGTTTTCTGCTGTAAGTCTGTACATATATAACTGAATCAATGACGTTGGTATATCATATAACCGAAGAAACAGTAAGCCTAGACAAAGCATCCACATTGACAGAATTAAAACTTTATATAGACAACGTAATTCTCGCCATAGCGATTTCACCATTTGTTTAAATTGTAATAAATCAACAAAAGCCTATACCTAATTCAATAACGTCCGAAGTGATGTCCGTTGTTCAGGGTGAGTCACAAAAAGCGACACCAAAATGTTGGGACTAAATTGTTTTAGTGTAGTTCTGCATGTAGTACTTTGAAAATCCAGGATATGAAAGCCCAATTCATAAGCTTTCTTTTAGTACAGGAATCATTCAAATCACTCATGTACTTTTTAAGTACATGTAACAGAATTTTAAACACATCCACCGTTTTAAAGTTCTGTCCGTGGATCACAAAAAGGTGTGCGTTCTTTCAGCAAAACGGAAACAATTCACACTATGTGATTTGTTTTCGTTTTGCTGAAAGAGTGCTTACATTCTTGTGATCCATGGACAGATCTTTAAAATGGTGGTTGTATTTAAAATTCCGTAACTTGAAAAGCACATATGTGATTTGAATGATTCTTGTACTAAAAAGAAAGCTTATGGATTGGCCTTTCATAGCCTAGATTTTGAAAGTCCTACATGCCGAACGTCACTAAAACAATGGTCCCGACATTTGGATTTCGTTGTTTTTTTACTCACCCTGTATAAGTCTTTACACTGATAACTAAATCAACGACGTTTGTATATTAATAAAACCGAAGTAACAGTAGGCCCAGACAACGCATCCACATTGACAGGATTAAAAGTTTATATGGACAACATAAAAGAGGCGCGAAGTCATAGTGGTGTAAATTTAATGGGTTGGGGGGGGGGGGAGTGTCCCTGTCCCCCTCTACAACTGATAAATTGAGAATATGTTGAGAAGTACAGGATTTGTTTTGGGAAAAGTATTTTTTTCCCCCCTCTAGAAAAAATCCTGGCGACGCCCGTGATAGGGAACAATGAAAGGGGGTGAGATTGAATTTTTCCATAAAAAAAATCCTGACTTTTCAATGCTAGGAGCGGGATGATTTCAACGGGAAAGCGGTAGAATTCTTTAGCGGGGAGGAGAAGTTGGCCGCCCGGATGGAAGCCACGCCCTCCCGTGCCTGTCTGGAGGGCGACATGCTCCTGACATCTGAACAAAAGGAGGTGTACTTCGCCATGCGAGAAGCCACGGCGGAGAACAGGGAGCGTGTTAGGCGTGATGCGGCTGCCGTCTTCAGTGTGTGGCCTGACAGGACCTTGGTGTACAAGTACGAAGCTGGTCTGAGTGAGTATACATTATTGTCCTTCTTAACCCTCTACCTATCTAAACAGTCACAGACAGTCAAAATTTCCATCCACTTTTAACACAGGCTAGTCACCAGCAGTCAGGTCATATGTCAAGCAAGCACTGTGATAGTCAAACCGTCAGTCAACAGACCATGAACAGACAAAGTAGGCAACTTGTGGGTGTGGCAGGTAATTCTGTCCCCCCGGGCAGATTTACCGGGTCGTGACCCGGTAAATCTGTCCGGGAGACACTTTTACCGGGGTAAACCTGTCCCCCTCTAGGTAAATCTGTCTCCCTGCACGACGTTAAATGTGCCCCCCCCCCCCCCCCCCCCCCGGTAAATGTATCCCCGTGCAACGTCACAAGTCTATCAGTAAAGTTATTAACTGTTTTTGCGCGGCGCCTTGCTAAATTCGGGAATGGTGCTTACGGCAAAGCACAACTCCCGTTTGGGATTTGCATGGTGGGCGTGCGCGCGAGTGTACCGCACCTACGGAGGGTGTGCGCGCGCTAGCGATAGGTTGAGTATTACTACGCGTGCCTTTTCTGCTTTCTTGCAGAAACATAGATCGGTTGATTAACATCTAAACGTTAATTTCATTTTGATAATCATTGATGAAGGGTGGAAAAATCTAAAAATGTATACCCTGTGCGCTGAATTCATTATAATAACATCAATATAACAACTTATGCGTGCAAAACCAGGGGGGACAGAATTAACTGGAGGGGACAGAATTATTTATACCTGGAGGGGGACAGAATTAACGGGACAGGGGGGGACACTTTACCTAGGTAATTCTGTCCCCCCCCCCCCCCGGACACTTTTACCGGGGGACAGAATTACCGTCCACACGGGCACAGCTGGCTTATCAGTTATCCACAGTCAAAGCAAAGCTGTATCAAATTACATAAACAGTCACGGCCAGTCAGTCCTTCTTTATGTAGGCTGGGAATTCTGTTGAAAACAGTAACTTGATTGATTTTAACTGAAAGGACAACTTGGCACAGAAAGTATGTTTGCACAGGAGGGGTTTAAGGATCCATGCGATGATTTTTCCTAAGAAACAATTTACGGTGCAACTTACTACTCCACTTGTATGTATGAAAACTACTTGACATCCCTTTTGGGTTAATGTTATTGGAAAGTGCCCTTTGAAACATTTACAATTTCCCATGCTTTTCCTGACAAACGAGGGCGCTGTTGCTGCGATGTCAATGCAGGAAGATACTGTTCACTGGGGGGGGGGGGGGGGGGGGGGGTGTTCAAAATGTGAACCCAAAATGTGCACATTGAAAACTCTTGAGAAAAATTTGCTAATTGGCTTACTGCCATATATGTACTGAAACAACGAGTCACCAAAGAAAAAAAAATGCACGACAGCAAGACAAATTTTGGCACTGAAATAGCTGTAACATTGAGGTTCTACCTGAAATGATATCACACTTTTGCTCACGAATATGGAAATCTGAATTAGCACAAAAAAACCCAAATGCACCTACATTGTATTTCCCTTTAAAAAGGGCACTCTGAAAATTGAAAATAAAGTTAAATGGGACACAAAAGTGCATTTTCAAGTATTTTCATTAAACTAAATTACGTTACATGGTTCCTTTAAATTTCTTCCCCTTTATTTGATACCCCAGCCTCAAAGAGTCCAATTCCTACAGATAAAAGTTCCGTACACGTGTCAGAATTTAAAAAAAAAACCTTCCTCATAGCGAGGAATAAGACGAACTGTAATATTGGTGTTACACTGGCATAGTTGAGTGTATCAATATAACTATAAACTATTACAGGATCTTTCCATATTAACATTTATGAAAAAGGTGCAGCAACAAAGCGTACATTTGAGGAGGCTGTAGAGATATACAGGGAGAAAACTAACATCCGTTTCTTGGAGGCGATCGATGGAGTGTACACGGGTACAGTCAATCCGTTGATGGTACAGCAAAGTAGCTCTGGGTAAGACAGCCTTCTGTTCTATGGTTCTAGGCAACAGTTGATCTTGATTTAACAGATTCTAATAACACTTACACGACTGAATAGAGCATAGAACTGAATAGCAAACTGATGGCTGTACTAGAAAATGAAATGTGAATCAATCACACTAACAAAAATGTTGAAATAGAATTTAAAAAAAGTAAACACCAGTGGCTTCCAGGGTTGTTATGTTAAACAGTGCACAGTCTTGTGGTTTCAAGTTGGGTAAGATGTTTGCTTTGATGCACGACGCAGTGTATAGTACACATGGAAATCACATTTGATCGTTGTGCTCCATCTTTCCGTAGATGCTTCTCAACGGTTGGTTCCCCAGGAGGAAACGGCGGTGGCCGCATCAATCTGCAAGACGGAGTGTGCGCCCATGTAAGCATACAGACAACCCTTCAGCACAGAGTAGTTTTCTTTGCAATGAATATTATGTGATGATATGACACACCACACAGACTTGCTCGAGCGCAAAAGTCTGGGGTACGGGTCCAAATGACTACTCATGAACAGCATTTTTGAAAAAAAGGGGAAAAAAGTGATGTAAATAATAACATAATAACTTGCGTTCAAGAATCTGAAGTGTAACTTGATATAATCTATCTCTCTAGCTCGGAGTTGTCCTGCATGAAATTGGACATGCCCTTGGCCGCTTCCATGAGCAGACGAGAAGTGACCGCGATGCCTATATCAGGGTGATCGAAGACAACATCCTGAGTGGGTATGCGCACAATTTCAGGATGGCAGACAGACCGATGGTGGCGCCCTACGATCTTCAATCCATCATGCACTACGCCCCTCAGGTCAGTTAAAGTGGGTGTATACGTACTTCTTGGGTGGGGCACCTTGAAAATAGATTTTCGAATTGAATTGATTACAATTCTAGCATTACATTTGTTATGAGCTTTCCAATGAGACATCGAATGAAAAAAAAATCGGCCCAGGACAAGTAATCAAATCATTAATTTAAACTTTTGAATTAAGAGCGGGAGCTCCTAATTCGTTCTGAATATAGTGTGCGCAATTTCTGAACTGGAGCGCGCCATTTAAAAACCAATTTTTTAAACTGTATAAAGGCCTTCAAGAACAAACAAACAAATTCATTTGTTACTAATTAAAGGGCATTATTTTCCTTTAAATTTCATTCGGAAAGGAAAATCGAAATTGTAAAAAAGCTAGTACAGTGTATATACCAACTTTAGGAAAAATGTCCCCACAATGCAAACATCCAGAAACTGAGCCAATAGGCCCTACCATTCAGTTCATCTAACATCCATTATTCAAGTCTATTCATTGGAATTAGTTGGTCACTGGAAGTTCGTTTCAATAAAGGACGTGCAAACAAAGACTGAAGACTACCAGGTCCTCGGAAAGACTCGGAAAGGTCCTTGAATGCCTTTGCCACGAGTATAAAAAAGCATGTTCCAGTATCGTTTCTGCATCAAAACATTCTGAAATACTATACTGTATGTACTGTGTTTTTTAGGCCTTCTCTCGCGATGGTTACGTGGAGACTATTATTCCACACAACCCCAACGACAAGCCCAAGATGGGCAGGCAGCACATGTTGTCCCGTCTCGATATGTACACCTTCAACATCGCCTACAATGCCTACGGTATGTACCACTTGGGGCGCTACACTGTGCCTTTCACTCACGTTGCATCCTTTGCTATTATAGTTTGCATAAAGCATAGTTCTTATCTAGCTTTTTCTCCAAGAAAATAAACAATGTAACGGATGGATCACTTTGCAACCCACTGTTACAGAATGAAAACAAACCTTTCAGGAACTTTTACAACTCGAAGTTTTGCAAGAATGAAGCTTGTATCGGATAATTTAGGATACCATAGTATTCACTTGAACTCACATGTTACAAATTTGAAATCAGTGTTGCGAGCGGCTTGAAAGTTTATTTCGATTGCCAACAATTTCTATTACTAAGGATTGGTGACCAGAATATCATTTACTATTATCTGTATGGTGACAGATATATGCCCATCTGACCTGTGGTCTCAATGTCGTCGAGGTGGGGTACCCAACAAGCACTGCACCTGCGACTGTCTGCCGGCTTTTGAGGGACCATACTGTGAGATCTTCACTCAGCCAACAGGTATTCCTCCACTCCCACAACTCAACCTGTTTCTCCAAACTTCATGACACTCATACCAGGGCCCAATTTCATAGAGCTGCTTAAGCACAAAATTAGCTTAAGCACGAAAAAACATTGCTTAGTGCAATCAGGTTACCGGCCCAAACTCCATGTGATGTACATTGCTTGCGACTGGTATTTAGCTGTTGTTTACTTAGCATAAGAATCACATGGAGTTTTGGCTGGTATAACTTTTGGCCGATTTTATTAAGCAAGGCTTTTTTGTGCTTAAGCAAATTTTGTGCTTAAGCAGCTCTATGAAATTAGCCCCAGACCTAATGTATCTTTTAAAAACTAAAGTTTATCAATGCATTAAAGCGGACCATGGGTACATTGTACAATTACAGTATTATTATGTTGCCAACCAATGGTTACGTCGATTTTAATTTGTACCTAGCTTGTAGTGAGATCCACACTGATGATACGGGTTCCATCTACTCTCCGGGATATCCAGAACTATACTCAAGTAACACTGAGTGCACTTATGTTGTCGAGGTAAGGACTGTTTATCTTTGGGCGTGTTACCATTGGTTAAGTCCGGTCTTTGGTCCGGTCGGCCGGGCCCGGTGTGTTTAAATGCAGCGCGTATTCGGCAGTTCGGAGTGTTTTCATAATGTAAATCAACATAACTGACCTAACGCGGTAGAATCGTGTTAGAATCGCGTCAACGCAGGTTGTGAGATATTGTCCAATTATATGATAAACAAATGAACGCGGAACGCGCAACATCTGAGACAAACAAAACTTAGGCTGCATCCGAATCAGCTGTCTAGAGCTAGGTCTAGGTCCGCGCCCATTGAAAATACGCGGGGACGCGCTGACAATAGACGTAGCCGTAGCTCTGGAAGCCCGTTTCGGACACGGCCTAAGTGTCCCAAAAGTCCATAGGGTTGTCTAAGGGGCGTGGCTAACTTCAAAACGGCGATAGGTCAATTATTTACACAGTAATTATTTTTTTTTTAAATTGTTTAAATCATCATATCTTTTAATAATCATCTGCACACTAGATGTACCATATGACCTGTTAGTTATAGATACATGTACTACCTCCCCCCCCCCCCAAATATGTTTATTTTTTGTTAACACACTTTACAATTTGATGCAACTTCTTTTTTGAAGTGTGCTGATAATGAGGTGGTTGAGCTGGATTTTCCGACGTTCGTTGTGGAGGGCTTTGACTGTTGGTACGACAAGATGTATATGATGACAGGAGACCTCAAGTCAGAAATCTACGCTGATGAGTGAGTGATAATAATCAGCTTATAATTTAAAATTAAGAATTCATGCCAGAATGTCGCAATGGTTTCGCCTTTTTGTTTTAGCTGGACCAAGATCTACAGTGCCTACTTCACTGACTGACTCATTGACAAACTGAGTGTCAATCGTGATTTCGTGAGCCGGGTAAATTACCCAGGGTAAAACTTTGAATTACGATTACCCTGTGACCCTAATGAATGGGATAAATTCTGCGCATTATAGGTCGACCAGATGCATGACAAGACTTCCGGTGAATAACCACTCTGAACAGTGCTTTCACTTTCAAGGAAATTTCCTCATGTTAAGGAAATTTTTACTTCCGAAGGACTTTTTACGGAAATCCCCCAAATCTAAAGAAACTCTAAAGAAATTATTAAATTCTAAGGAAATTATTAAATTTTGAGCAAATTGTACAAAATTCTCCAAAATTAGTAGAAAATTCTACAATATTCTCAAAAAGTAGTTGTTTTATTGAATATCCTGTCAGTTTCAGAATGACTTGAAACAAGACTAGTAGAATAAAAGTTGCTGCCAGTCTGTGCGCACAATTTGTACTGTCAGCTGTGTCAAAGTATTAATATAAGCCTTTTTGGTGGTTCAAAAAAAGAAGAAAAAAAAAGAAAAAAGGAAATCGGGGAAAAAAATAAGGAAATTTGGCTCTCAGGATAAGGCAATTTTCATTTTGACTGACTCGGAATCAGTTGAGTATGTGTGCTACCCTAGGCTTGCCCTGCCTGATACTGAAAGAATGCTTCTGGTGTTTGAGATCAAAACGATGTCAATGATCGAGAGTAAACGATGATCATGATTCAACTGGCCAACGTTAATGTAGAACATTCCATGTGTTTTTTGTCTCTCCTGCCTAGATATTGTGATGATATCCTTCAGGGTCATCAGATAGTGTCATCCAGTAACGTGGTTGTCATGAAGTTTGAGAGTGATGGATGGTACAACTTTCCTGGATTCAAGATCGACTATCGCTGCGTCCCGGCCGGCCTATAAATCACCGAGCCCTGAAATACATCAGCTAACGTACAACACTTGACTTTGAATTAGAGACATTATATAATCATTTAATTAATCCCAAAAGTAACCTACCAAATTATCACTAAAGCTTACTTTGATTGAAGATCGTACTGGTACTAAACACCCTGTGAAATTATTCCTTCTGGCCTGCTGTCATTTAGAAGAAATCAAGAAATGTAGGCGATTTCCAACGACCAGTCCATTGACATGTTTTTTTGGAAATCAAGAGTTCTACAGACCAAATCGTGTTTTGTGATCCAAAGGTTGTGCACGGTTTTTCACCTTTGTTTTTCGAAAAAGAGAAATATCCACTGAGCTGAAAGTTTAAAAGGTTTGGGTTGCAACATTCTCCTTTGGATTTTGAGTGGTGTTATTAGAACGAACAAAATGCATAAAAAAGCCAATTAATTAAGAAGACTGACCTACTCTTATCAAGTTTTCTGGACCAAAAAAAAAACCCAAACAAGTTTATTTCCTAATAAATAGTTTTTTGTGCAAAACTATGCGAACTGAAAACCGACATTTATTACACGCATTTTTGGCCGGTATGTTGTTTTGCAACTTAAAAACGCCCAACCCCCCCTTCCCCCTTCAAAAAAAGACATTTTTAAAAGACAAAAAAAAAAAAACCCAAACCACTATTTCTAACAACAGATTCTTTAATTAAGGATGACTATGGATTGGTTTCAATGGACTTGAAAAATGACGTTTTCCTTTAGAACAAAATTAATACTGTGTTAAAGGTGTCTACACGATAGTTTTAGATGTATAAACGTACCTATGTCGTTATGTAATTAATGTATTGGAATATGATCCTCCCTTTAATACACGTATCAACATTTCTGTTTGATTACTTACATGTGCACTTGTATTATGTATTAAATTCAGAATAAATCTTCAAAAATAGAATCATATGAAGAACAAAAAAGGCCAATTTTGTCATTAAAACAAACTGCATATGATTCATTCCGTGAAAATCTAGAATTACTTCTCAGAGAGCAGACGGTCACAAAGAATATTCATGTATCAGCAAATCCCACTCATGAGAAATAATGAAGAAGTTTTTAACAAAGAGGAAAATTCTAAGCCTTTGTAAATCATGCAAAACTTTAAACAGGAACTGCAAATCCTAAATAAACGTGCTGATATTGTCTTATTTAACTATGAAACAGACGCAGGGAAATGTATGTGTATTTATGAATTATTCATAATTCGACAATAAGTGACAAGGTATGTATGCACTGTGAATGATATCTACTGTATGTTAGCGTACAGAAATTAAATAAATGTAGCCATTCGTTTCAGAAAGCATGAAAAAATGACCAAATGTGTGTTCTATATTTTGTGTTGAGACATTCGGAACATGTGTACTACTCCACACGAGCAAAGGTAAAAAGGTGGCTTGTTTCTACTTAGACGATTTCAGATACCGGTATGCGCATCAAAGGGATAAGGTCTTTGGTTTGCTTGATTCTTGCTGAAACAAGCAGTTCTTTGTCTTAGTGATGAGATGGATTCTAAAGAGTCATCTCAGGTTGGGTCCAGATGCAGTATTTTTATAGCCGAAGAAGTTTTGGGGAGTGATAAGATTAACCTCCACAACGACCACTATGTATGGACAGTAGGGCTCTGTTGGAGGGACACATCGCCAGTGGTGGATCCCCCCCCCCCAAACAATCATTCAGACAAAAGTAGCACATGCTAAAAGATTGCATTCCCTGTGCTATTTCTGAGTTTCATCCGAAACATGGTGATCTGCGGATGGCACATGACGCCTTTTTTTCGCGGTCGATCCCTATATGTTTTTTTTTTTTTTTTTTTATTAAAGTCCAATTTTGTGCATTTTTAAACGACCTCAAACAACCCCTAGATGACCTTTGACCTCCAATTTCGGAAGATTTGTGATGAAACCCCCACCAAGGGATCACTCCATGCAAGTTATAGTAAAATGCGGTGCTACCTGGTTGCAGTTTTGGCTTCTTTACAGTGCTAGGTGGTTGGTGGCGTAGGTTGTACTCTTCGCGTTGCTTTATCGACTCTGTTTTGATGTATCTGAAACGCTGGGGTCACCCAGGCACCACAGGAACACTGAAGACCTAAGGAATACAAAAGTAGATGACAAGCCTCTTGAAGTTATTTGAATTTTGAATAATTTTGAAGTTTGACTAATGTCATATTTTTAGACATGGTTTTTTTCCCCTAGTATATTTAGAAATCAAGAGAAGATGTAACATTCTGCCCATAGTACCAGTTCTATTAGTCTACCTTTTGTATATAAAGAAAATTCTCTTAATTTTAAAACTCTCACTTCTAAAACTGACACAATTTCTTTCTTTAGTCTTCTCTCTCAATTCAGAGAGGTAAATAAACATTACTAGAAAGAAATCGGTATGGGCAATTCAACGGTTACTCACATTACATTTTTGATGTACTTTTGAGTTTCCTTGGGCTGTAATTACCTTACTGAAAAGGTTTTAATAACTGTTATCCCCATGGTAGATAGAGTAGACCTAGACCTACCTAAGCACCAAAGATGACATCCAGAAAAATGTGTTATGTATGATAAACAAGACGCACAAAATCGGTTACTCACATTACAAAAATGTAATGTGAGTAACCGTGGAATTGCCCATTTAGTTACCTACCTGACCATTTGAAGGAGCCCAGCCTTGCACTGCACTTAGGGCAGGTCAGCTGCAGAGTGCAATACGGAGAGGAGAACAGGTTAGACTTGAGACCTAACTTTCTATGCACCGTATATGAAGACAGACAGGGTGCTGTGGTCCAATGGATACTGTGTTCGACTCAAGTGTCGTGGCACGTGGGTCCGAAGCCTGATGGGGAACATGGTGCTTGCGTTCTTGGGCAAGACACATCTACGTCACCTACAATTGCCTCTCTCCACCCAGGAGTATTAATGGGTACCTGTGAAGGCAGAGACTAGAATGCGCTGATCTCGAGCTGCTACAAAAACTGGTCTCATGACCTGATGATAATTGTAGTGCTTTAAAACCTTTGGTATTGCTCGTACTGCTAAGATTACATTGTCCACTGTGCACTGTGATATTATTTTTCTTTTACAAAATCTGATTGGAAGGCTTTCAAACACATGCAAAAAGCAGTGTTTATGTTGGTATGTGTCGATATCTAAACGAGTTGACCCCACATCAAAGGTCACAAGGACAACCAGACAGCAGCTGGTCTCTAACTCTACGTCTACGATTGAAGTAGTGTTCTGACTCCGAACAAAAAATACACTACTGACCAGTCACCAGCTCTCTAGTGCCTAATTTACAAATTCTCAATCACCATAACAAATATCACAGCCAAGGTGACGTCATTCGCACAATCACAATGCACTCTGAAGTAGTACTTACCTTTCCATCTAACCTCCCTATCATGAATGGTTCCATCCATTTCACAGGCTCAACAAACAGAGATGTGCACGTCACAGACGAGTCCACCGTGCCAGACGGGGATGGAGTCACTCCTTGAGAGAGAGGGTGAGATTGTTTGTGCCACTGGAAGCTTTCTTGGCCTCTCCCAGTGATGTGGGCAAGGACACTCGCTTCTAAGAAGGCAGCACGTCTACAAACAAAATAGAAGATGAAATACTCAGAATAAGGAAAACTGCCCAAAAGGTTGTGAGAGGATCCATCGTAGCATTTTTTTTATTTAGAGGGGGCAGAGAATAGGTTAGGAATAATAGCTAACTAACTTGTTTTTCCAAAGTTACTACATTTGGATTCTCACATGCCTATGACCCTTTAGCACTGCACCATTAACATATACAATTAAATTACAAGTTGCTTGAGGAATGTTAACCTGCACTTTCTGCATTTGTAGATGGTTTGCGTTTGATCGGTAGTTGTCTCCTGAGGATCAGCTGCAATGACTTCCTTAGGCACTTCCTGGCCAGCTAAAATATAACCAAAAAAACACCCAGGTAAAATAAAATAAAAACCAATGAGCAAAAGAGAAAGGACCACAAATGTTTGATTCTGCAAAGAATGATGGATCAATGAAAACTGCGCAGAGCTATCGTCAAAGACTGTGTGACTGGGAACAGTCCAGTCACAAGCAACAAAGGCTGAAGAATAACACCAGAATGCCTTTGTCCAAGTTCGATTGAATAACTTGTGACTTGAATTGGGACTTGGTGACTCGTGATTACATAAATATGAATGGCATTAAGCATCCTGCTATATAAACAGATACAGACAGTCAAAATTTCTTTCCCTGCTATACTTTTAAACCAGCAGTCAGTTCATATGTCAAGCAAGCACTGTGACTTGTCAAACAGACCATGAACAGACAAAGCAGGCAAAGTTGTGGGCACAGCTGGCTTATCAATTACCCACAGCCAAAGCTAAGCTGTATTAAGTTACATAAACAGTCACAGCCAGTCAATCTGCTTTATGTAGGCTGGGAATTCTTAACTGTTGAAAACAGTCACTTGTTTGATTTGGACTGTGAAATGACTACTGGGTACAGAATGTATGTTTGCATAGGAGGGTTAATATGCATATGTACCAATTAAACTGATGCTGAGCTAAAAAAAATCCTGAATGCACCTTGAACATTTTCAGCCACTTGTCCCAGTCTGTGCTGCCTGTACAATGGATTAGCTGAGGAAAACTGGCATCCCATGGCCTCAAACAGACGCAGCAAGTCCATGAAGCCATAATTGGGCCTGTATAGAGAACAGAGCTTGATTGTTATCACTATTAAACACAGCATAGGTAGAGGTGAGATGAGAAGTATTTATGCTTACTGCATAACCGGTATACAGGGCACCGTCACATTCTCTAACCATGCGAGTCTTTGTGCAAAACACAATGCAGCCACTGCTTTTCTCCTATCTGAAGCTAGTAATTAACCTCCGTGGACGAAAAAAAAAGTTAATTCCTAATTTGCAATGTACTAACAGAGGATACTTACTTGCAGAAAATACACATGCAAAGGCTACGGGCAGTTTTGTTTCTTAAAGGTATAGTACATCATTTGGCATTTGTGAATTTGTTTTATCATTTGAAGCAACCGAAATGCTCAAAATCTAAAGAAGGGAGCTTAACAACAAGGCTGATGAAGTTTTAGCTCAGTGAATGCTGTATATTCCGAGAAACAATATTTTAGGATCTCAATTTCAATTCAAAAGTTGCCGAGTCATGTTTTTAATTATGCCAGAAATCAGCGTCTGAGACACATTCTCATTCAGCCGATTGCAGCTACGCGATGTCACACACTGAACCGAGGAATTGTAGCAACTGCACACGGTCAACACTTGCATGCACCAGTCACCAAATTAAAAACGAAGTTACAAACGGAAATTTCCAAAAATGCGTTTTCAGATGCATCCTTGGAAACTACCTTCTTTTATCGTTTCCTTCAAAATGACAGCATGCCAGAAAGGATAATTTCACAGGGAGTTTAGTGCCATTACTATCTTTAAACCAAGTAAGCTTTTTTTACAATAATTTTGTCAGTTACTTCTTGGATAGCTGCAAATGATCACTCTACCTTTAAAAACCCAGTAAGTGTACTTGTATTGATGCCCTACTCACTCAGCGATAGGATGCTGCTTCCTGACCATGTCAAATGCCTCATTAAATGTGATCTTGTCTCGATGCATCAGGTAGCCTATCACGATGGTTGAGCTCCTTGACACACCCATCATACTGCATGCACAGAGAAGAAGTAGTAACAAAAATTACACGGTCACATTTATGCCAATGTATGTGTGGAAGTTTGGATTTCAACATTCAAAGGGATAAAATACACCATTTTCAGTGAAAACGATCGGTAGAAATGGTCAGTTGCTTATATTTCACTGAAAGCATTTAAGACATTTGATAAGACATTTGCACTAGAAAGCAGGAGGTTGTCGGTTTGAGTCCCACCCGAGTGATTTCGTCTCACTTTTACTCAGGCGATTACACACTGAGCATACAGTGTTTATATGTCAGTGAAGGGCAAAACCTAAAATGAATTTTGAAATTTTCTGATCTTGTTCCCAGTCTCATTTTCTTTAAAACTCAATGGTTCTTGAATCCAGAGTGCTGAATGGTACCACACAGCAACTAATAGGAAGCTTGCGTGCAAATATTTCCATCTGAGTTTGTACCACCGGCACCTGCTATTAAGTCAAAGCATGAGATTTTGAAAATAATCCAAAACAGATTCTGGATTTATCGACAAACTCCAAAAGGAAAGAAATTGTCCGCGTTTTCACCCACCAATGTACAAGGATCTTCCCTTCTCTTAGTGCATCATCAATAAAGCCGAAGCAGTCTTCAAAATGCTGCAGGATGTCCACATTTGGCATGTCGTTGGCACGGACAAATTTGTGCTTCAAGTTCAGAGTTCCCATCTTTGGCTTCATATCTGCCACCGAGAGCACGTGGGTGATGGCGTGCTGCAATACAGCTGCTTGACCCTCTGGTGTGACGACAGCACTTTCGCTTCCGAGGAAAAGTCCTGGGCAGATTTCGTCCATGTGTGGTGTGTGAACGTTGCTAGAAGCCATCTTGTCTTACTAAGGCTAGTTGAATAAAAGAAAATATTAAGTATTTTTAATGCAGAAATAGAATGTGACCATGGAACAATAGACCATGTCGCTAATATCACTTGATATTGAACAATAGCCCCCAAGCACTGTGGGGGAAAATAAAGGTTAACATCTGTGCTGATTAGGCGCTATCCATGAAGTAAATTCACTCAAGTCAAGCAGCATATTTTGCAATATATGGCTTATGTGATCAAACTACGAAAAAGCCCACACTAGCACAGAAATGATTTGCTAAGTCTTCAAAGTGAAAGGCAATGAAGGGGCAAGAAACAGTAAGGTTTGTACTAAAACCTTACATCGCGAAGTGATCGCCATCGTTATTTTCGGGTCACGTGTTGTTGCCGCGCTGTCGTCATTTTACCCCCAAATTTCCCTCAAAAAATCAAAACCCTGCCCTCTATCTATGACATATCCTCGACCCTCCATAATCTGCGCAGGTAACACTTGCAACGCGCGCGCGTTGTCACACACAATTCACAAATGGGATGCGAGTGCGTAGAAATAGGACCGTGTAGCTTCAGGGGGTCTGACGTCTGACGATACCTGTTTATTGAGAATGTCAATAAAGTACAAAAAAACAGTAACTGCGCATGTTCAGTGCATATCCGGCAAACTAACGTTTACTAAAGGTTTGCCGTCTCCGGCAAAATATACACTGCCTAAATTTATTGGGTTGTCATTACTCGAAGTTAGCCCCATAAATGTGGCCTATTTACTGGACTGCCTCCGTAAACATAGGCCACACATCCACATGTACAAAAAACGTGTCGACTTTGCCAAATTTTGATTTTCGCATTTAGGCTTAGTTTGTAGGGTTTTTTTGCTTTAGAAGCATACTCACCCTCTTTTTAAGCTAATCAGAAAGTGCTGCCTTTTTCAGATGTATATTTTTCGTGAAATTTCCAGATTAATTTTTTTACACGTTTGCGTATCAAAATTTCAACATGAAATTTCACAAAAATTAAACATCTGAAAAAGGCAGCACTTTCTGATTAGCCTATATAGAGGGTGAGAATGCTTCTAAAGCAAAAAAAATCTAAAAAGTAAGCCTAAATGTGAAAATCAAAATTTGGCAAAGTCGACACGTTTTTTGTACATGTGGATGTGTGGCCTATGTTTACGGAGGCAGTCCAGTAAATAGGCCACATTTATGGGGCTACTCGAAGTCGAAACTCGGAAAGACCTCCAAACTAGCTCTCCTGTCAGGCTGTCACAATATGTTTGGCCCCAGTATTTCACAGGCATTATTTCAACATGGTTAGGTACCTTTAGGGTGGTTCAACTCTCTGAAAGTCAAACAAAAACGTGAAATTTACCAGAATTTCGCTCACCAAGATCACAGAATATGCATTTACCCTGCCGTGCGCGGAAACAGGTCAACTCGTACGCGAACCAACTCGTACGCGAGTCAACTCGTACGCGGATTGGTCAACTCGTACGCGAGACAACTCGTACGCGAACCAACTCGTACGCGTGCCAACTCGTGCGCATACTGTCGCCGAAAGCTGCACAGCGCCCTCTGTAGTCAGTCGCTTGAAATAGAGATGAGACTAGTCCTTTATATATTGCATTTTTTTTACATGCTCAGCACGCGTGCGTGCGTGCGCTCACAGTGATGGCGATGAATAACATAACAACAGTGTGAGGAGCCAGTCTTCATTGCAGATTGACCCGGTCTGGGTTGCTGCATCCATTGACCTCCATTAGTAAGACGTCTTACTAATGGAGATCAATGACTGCATCACATAAAAATAACATGTACATGTACGTTTTTATGTTTATGTATCTAAAGCTTTTGTTGTTTTGTGTTGTAACTTTAGTCATTTGTTTACATGTATTTGTTGATATTTTCCCGAGAAATAAAATAGTACAGTATAGTATAGTTTTTAACATGTTCATCTGGATTTGACGCATGATGAGGGCGCGTTATGCATGTACGGCGTGTACGTATCGCTATGATACATTTAGATACAGACCGAGCGCAACCCAGACTTGGCCAAGTCTACGGTGATCCCACCTCGCGCAAGGTGGGCCGTGGGAAGGTATATCTTGAGGAGCATGATGAGGATACACAAATAGAACTGGTATATGTAAATACACGAATGCCATTAACGCAGTGCAGATTGTTTCCAATTCCTTCCCCCATGGTAAGACTAGTACATGTAGTAGTATCACAATTTCTTTCCGTAACATCGACATACAATAAAATCAATTGTTTCCCCCATCCCACACAAGACTCTTGCCTACTAAGAACCACTTTGTTTGATTTTGTGTGTGTGTGGAGGGGTACCGACTGAGTGGGTGGGTGATTTTACTTTAATACTTTCGTGACCCCCCCCCCCCCCAAAAAGCCAAAATTCCAAAAATAATACGGTAGAAAATAAATCAGTATACCGTACTACTACTAGATGAGTTAAGACAACATGATAAAACATGATAAGCGTGTGGTGTAGATCTAATTGAAGAAATACAAATATTTTTCCCCGGTTTCATTTTTTCTCTCGATGTTTTGTACAAATACCGCAACCGCAGCCGGTAGACCAAACTGCGCATAATTTCTCATTGATTGCAAGTGAATTAGTGAATAAGAATAAGTGAATAACACCGGCGCACGTGGCTCCTTTGAAAACAGTAAACATAAACCGACGTACCTCGACCTCATAAAAATGAACTTAAAAGCTTCCGCCAATTAAATCACCCCTAGTCTAAACTTTGGGGCGTTCCAGAATGACTTCTTACAACACTCTTGATTGGCCAATCCTTGACTGTGTAGTACCACGTGACTTTATGGTTCCACTACCGATACCCGGAGGAGGATTTTGTCGTGCAAATTGTTGTCGATTTTGGACGTAATTTTGCAGTAGATGACAACGGAAGTTTACACTTTAGCGTGATGCCTTAGGATGAGATTTCATTCAACCCAACATTTCTGGTTAATTTTTGTACATCAGGCCAGGGATTTAGCAGTAAAACGCGAATTGTTTCGTCGTTTCGCGATTTCGTAGACAGACGATTGACATCGTCCTGTGTACGTACGTGTGTACATGTAGGCCTACGACGTGAAGCATTCACCGAACAGTGTTGTTGGATGACAACCCACGCAAAACTGTGTATCGACAATCGTGTGGATATTCTGCACAGAAATTTAGGGAATTGCTCGAAACCAGAATGGCAACAGAATCTACGACTTATTACCAGGTTTGGGTTCATTTCAGAAATTAAGTTTTTAGGCTAATAATTTTAAAATAGGCCTAGCCTAACTAAACAGTTAAATTTGCAATGATTTGGCAAAAGAAAGTAGGCCCAGCCCCAGGGCCTAGTTTGATGTGAAGTGAATGTGCCCCCCCCCCAAAAAAAATTCAACCAAACAAACATTTATACATCATTGATTACTGATTAGGGCCTTATCATGTCTAATTTATTTTAATGTAGTGCCTATCGTTAAGGCAGCCGTAATGCAATTTTCAACTGCTATCAATTATGGCATTGCAAATCTATATCACGTTCAGACGTTTATAACCGACCGTCCAACCAGAGTGCTTTGCCTTTGGTAGCTCGATTGGTTAAACGTTCTAGCCAAAGGTTCCGGGATCAAACCCTTGCTGCAAAATTTTTATTTTTTTTGTCTTTTAATAGCTTTCTTTACATAAAATTTTGTAACCTAAAAATACGATGTGGGATTTGAACCTGCGACCTTCTAATTCAGAGTCAGCAGTCAGCAGTCCACACCACTTGACTACCACAATTTCATACTGTACACTAGTTTTGAAATTAATTATAAAGTTTAAATTGACCTATATTTTTTTTTAAATCAAATTGTTTCTTTTTATTTAAGTAGATTAATTTTCTTCTTTGTAATCAGTGGCTTTGGAGGATTTTCTTTGAAAAGGGAAATAAAGTCTGAGAATTATTCGATTGATAGTCTGGTTCTAACACTACAGTCAAAGATTCTGACTTTGAATACTACTAGGTCAGGGAGCCAGACGGTTGACTGCCATGCCGTCGTAACGGTAGCAGTTGAAAATCACGTTAAGGCTGTTGTAACTATAGCCCCTGCATTAATTTAAATTCCTGTTTTATTTTGCATTTTATTTTGAATGGTCACTTTTGGTCAGTTATGTTTTATATATTGTCAATTTTAAATCAAAATGGAGACAAATGATTCAAATTGGAAGGGCACAAATTTAAGAATATTTGTCTAACAAGGAAGCATACAGCCCTTTTAATTTCACGTAACGGTATTTAACGTAATAATGTTAATTTAATGCAATAATGTTTCATAGTCCCAATGTTGCATTTTTAAACATACTTGTGGAGTTGCAGTGACTGACGTCTGACAACCATTGAGGTAAAATGTTGAAAAAATTGATCTGGATACCACATTCTACCTGGGCAAGGATTTAAGAATAATTATAGTGTTATTGTTTTTTCCTTTTGTCTCGACGCAGGGCGGTGGGGAGCTGGGAATCGGAAGCTTAGCCTCCCACCTCAGCACCCGCTATGGCACAGACCTGGACCTCTCGGATGCCAGCTTCCAGCAGAACTTGGATACCATCAAGGACCAGATCAAGAAAGATATCCGCAAGGAGCTCAAGATCAAAGAGGGTGCGGAGAACATGCGCAAGGTAAGGATGCTTTGCACAATTACAACTTGACGGTTACAAAGAGTAAGTTGGGGGACACCACTGGGAGGGACTCTTGTAGCCTTGCCGATGACTCTCATGAGAAGATAATGTGGGTTGGTACACATTCAAAATATATTAGTCGTGTGAATTTTGCTCTCTGCATGCGTGAAGCTGCATGCATCAGGTATGTCTATCCCATAACACCCACTGGACCTCTCGTAAGTGGAGACAAAGTGTCATCTACTGGTCATTCACCAAGTCCATGTGGAAAGCCATGACCTTGTGGTCTAGCGTGTCAAACTCAAGAGTTGTGGGTAATTCTGCAGTATGTAGGTTTTAGTCCAGCCTGTGGGGCTGCGATCTTGTTTTCTTGGGCAAGACACTTTGTCACTCATTGCTTCTCCCAACCCAGGAGTAAAGGGGTACCTGTGAGGTCAGAGATAGCTAGTGTGATTAACTTAAGCTGCTTTGTCTTTTGATGGCAGCATGGAGCTGTTTACTCCTGAGGGAGCAGAGATGGTGTTTGGGATGTTTTATGGGTCCAACGAGCACGGATAATAATGATCCATTTGGTACTGAATACTGTACAATGTACCTTCCCATATCCAAATCATCTTTGCAAACGGATGATTTTGCAGGATGCACTGTGTCAAGGTCTTCGGCCGGACTTTGTGTTGTTTATGCTCAGCTGTGCATAAATGGAGGCCTAGATTATACTTGAAATCCTCCGCACTGCTCCAGGATGTCACTGGCTCTGCCTCAACATATTGACAGTGATTGCTTGAGTATTTTGCGAATTGAGGCAGTGGTCACCCTTCCAAGGACCAAATTTAAGAAATAACAGATGATTTTGCAGGATTGAGGCTGCATGCAATTTTTACATCCATGGAGGCAGTTGGAGGATTTTGCAGGGTTGCGGTGTTATCCTAGCAAAAATGCCTACGGAGTTACGTTTAAAAAGATTATTGCAATAATTTTTATTTTTTGTAATGATTAAGGTGACCACGGACAAGAAGAGCCTAGCCAACATCAACAACATGGTCAAGCAGGCTAACATCCGGCTTCATGAGCTCCAACAGGAATTGAATGAGCTCAATGCCCACATTGTGGTCAACACCGACGAAATCATGGCAGCATCGGGTAAGAAAGTAATACACAATCCCCACATTGTTTATCCCTCAAGTTTATTTCTTAAACTACTCGCTATTTTGGGACCGTGTACATAGTGGAATGCGTAGAACATTCCACTGAGAAGACTACCTGTTCATATTGAAGACATTTTTCTTTACAGTTTGAGGTTTTGAAAGGAAAAGTATATTATGTGCTTCTCTCCTGTCCTGATATTTACTAGTATCAGAACGATTGTAACCCGTACAGATTGTTGAGGCTTCTGTCTCTCTGTTATTTGCATTTGTATTTGTAGTGAACAAGTCTTAAGACTGTTAACATTTTACTTTCCATTAACCCTAACTCCCTAGGCATTTTTGCTAGGATGCAATCTCAGTCCTACCAAATTCTCCAACTGCCTCCATGTAAAAAAATGCATACAGCCTCAATAAAACAATAATACAGCCTCCAAAACTAACCGATCTTTCTTGAACGTGGTAATTGGAGGGATGACCACTGCCTCAATCCTGCAAAATCCTCCAGCAATCACTGTCAATATGTTGAGGCAGAGCCAGTGACATCCTGGAGCAGTGCAGAGGATTTCAAGTACAGTACATATCGACATAAATTTATGCACGCCTGAGCATAAACAACACAAGGTCTGGCCTAAGACCTTGACACAGTACATCCTTCAAAATCAGACACACATTTTTGCCATATACATGTAGCCTCAATCCTGAAAAATCCTCCATTTTGAAAAGAGGACTTTGTAGGATTTGGGAAGGTTAATGTGGAAAGTGAAAGTGCAAAGGGCAAGTTGAATAGTCTTGGAATACCACATGCTCCCTAATACACGAATGCTTGCCTTTTTGCCATGTACATGTAGGCTTACATCAGACATGCACCTGTTTCCTGGGATCAGCTGATTTCCTCATTTTCACTTCACACTTAAGCCATTAAAAATTGAACGACGCTGTATAAAGTGTTGTAAAGCTTGGAATCTCCTCTTTTGTTGGTAATTTCCAAGTTGCATGCCTGTTACATGTAGTTTAGAATGTTTTGTCTTGAGGTGGGATCACATACATGTAGAAACACTTGGTGGTGTTAATTACATGTAAAGATATAAGGAAACTGAGAAGCTCTCCTCGAAACAAACTTCGGTGAGAAAATCCATGTATGGAATATTGTCTAGGAAAGACACTTACTTTTCACTGTGGCAGTTTGAACGAAAATGAATGTTTCAAAACAGTTGATAACCTCATGTATTGCACATGCAGACTTTATTATGTACATGTATGTACATGCTAGAGTTCACGCTGGTTTGTGAAGCCAGTTTTGTGACGTCGGACTCGGCCATTATAGATTTCTTGTGTGTCTGGGGACGTTCACCTTGCTATGCTAATTTTGCATTGCTGTTGAAATATTATTTAATTTGATCCTGGCTTAAGGTTCATGTACGTGAAATTCACGACTTAGCATCTGAGAAAAAAAATTTGTCTGTGGCTTATATGTGAATTTTATGTCCTCTGGTTATTGTGGCCTAATCCATATTACATGTATGCTGCTTTTCACGCAGATTGACGCAATGTGTGCTGTTTAAATGAAGCACACTAACTACATCGTGTAAATAAATTTTCTAACGTCCTAAAAATTTCTGTACTTATCGATATTATTTGTCCTCCGTTTATTTATAAAAGCCTCTTAATCTGATTTTTTTTGGAAATCAAATTGACTAAACACTGTTTGGCTTACATTTACTTCTTTTCTTGAAAAGTGAAAACTTGGTTGTCTCCATAATTTGATATGTTTAGGGTCAAATGAATCTGCTCAATTCAATATTGTTCATTGGATAACGATACAGTTCATAAAAGACTGCAAGTTTGCAGATACGTGTTCATGTACATGTATACATGTACATTGTTCATCTGTGTGGTCAATCTCTTTGTATGTTTAAAAAAAAATTTTATTACCTGCCATGTGAAAACTTGTTTGGTCGAAAAATCTTTCTGATGTCTTGTTTGGATTCGAAAGAAAAATGCCTTCCACAAGAATTTGACCCTGTCCTTCAGTAGAACTTGTGATTCAGTTGCACAGTAGGCATTTCATCAGAACTCATGTTCCCTACAAAAAAAGTACAATCTTGACAAGTAGCCTTCGCAAGTTGTAACTCATTCCAGTCAGTATTAAGACAGAGCAAGTGTTGTGACATGGTTTCACCTCATTGCCATTTGAACTATTGGCAAGAAAATAATTGAATTGCTTCCCGTCTAATGAGTCATATACTTGGGCTAAGGAGGAGTTTCCTGGTTGTTGGCCCCAGACAAGCCAGCGGGACGTCAACAAGCTTGCCCAACAACACATAACAACATCGCTGTTATGTTGTTGAAAAAACAAATCTACTGGCCAGTTATAATAGTGTAGATTATGTGTGGCTGTGGTTGAATGGGTTTGACATGGTCTTGTCAGTTTAATTGGATGGCAGCATTGAACACAATAATAACAGCCTAAACTGCAAAGCTGTAGAGATTTGTGTGGTCATGAGGTTAATAGTTTTGAGGTTTTACATGCATTCTTGACTAAACTATTCACATTTCAGTTATGTGCACACACACAGTTTCTGTGTTCATACATAGATGCATGTAAACATCGCATGTACATGTACATGTGTACGTGTACATGGGTGTGCTCAGTTCATTTACATGTATTACACGCAGTGGATGAAAAAACTGCTGGGACAAAAAAAATGTGTTTAGCTGCCAAACATGTACATATACGTACCCCGGTACATACTACATAATTGGAGTGCTATTGAGCTGTCATACGTAAATTATTTATTCAGTTAGAGTGCTATTAATATTATTCACATAGACATGGTAAATGGTTTGTAAATATTTGATATCTGACTTTATTTTCACTCTCTGTGCATGTACATTGTCCCGTGTGCATGCATTGAATGAAATTCTGTAAAACATACGGGCCTGATTTCATGCTTAACAGCTGATATTGTGTTAACACAGCCTCTTTCTACTTTATACAGACCGTTAGAGCACAGCAAAAACACGCTTAACTCCGGAGGAAAAAGTTGCTTAAAAATCAGTGACGTACAGCCTCTTACATAATACATGTAATAGAAAACTCCAAGCGAGTGCAAACAACACCATGGAATAGGTCTTAACAATTGGTGCAGCTTTATTTTTTGCTATAGCAAGCAGCGCTATGAAATTGGGCCCAGGATTAAAATTAACGATCAACATTCATGAACATAAAATTGTACAATGTAATAATGTTTCATAGTGTATGAAGTGTTTATATGTAATTGTTTATAAATTCCACAGTACAGTAACTCCACAGTACATGTGCAGTATAGGTACATGTATGTATACATGTACTGTACATGTGTACCATGATACTCGTATATTTCTTCATTATTCACTGTCAGTCAGCGGTGACTGTTTCTCCCCGTCTTTTTGATGGAAGCAGACAGCTGATTAGCCAGGTTACTCCCATTCATCTTCATTTTCCTTCGGAGAGGGAGGATCAAGTTCACCGGCAACAGACCCTGAAAAACCAGATGTTCCACTTGGATTACTATCCAAGCATGGACCGAGTGTCAGTGCTCTGGCTTTAACCTCCGAATGACCGGTCAGGTCATTTTGTTGTTAGGGAACTGTTTTTTGTTTTTTGGGTACTTCAATCGGAGCAATGTGTTTTGGTTGTACACAATAAAGTAAACAAATAAGCGTGACCAGTCATGGCTTCCTGTGGGCTGCTGTATAAAATAACAGAAATCAGTGTGCAGTCCCACGGATTACGTTTTTTGTTAAATTCAAGTGGCGAGGTTAGATGCATAGAAATCTTGGATGCCTTTTGTCCACTGCTTTGTGGTGATGTTGCGGAGCGTGCTGAATTCTGTCCTGAATTCTGTCCCCGGCAGCACAAAAGGTCATAGGTCGGGAGCATTCAGTGCTTGCCTGTGGATGCTGGAGTTCTTAATACCGGTAGCTCGTGCTACATGTACATGTACTTAATCGAAGTACTTGAGCTGTGTGCATGGATGTACATATAGTTGTATGTCTGTTTGAAGTACAGAGAATTTCTAAATGACGTACACTCTTCTATTTTTCCTAAATTGACGTACCGGGGTAGTGTGACTTTTATACGTAAATTGGGGTTTCTGCCTTTTCGTGATCAGGATTGGGATATACTGGTACAAAGGTAGTGTTAACAAATTTTTTTTTTATATTCATCAATTTTACATTCTGCCTCTGAGGAAGGCGCTAAGGCTGAAATATCTGTCCACATATTTCAGGTCGATCCAGTCAGTGAGTAGTTTTTAGTAGTTTAATTTATCTGCACATTTTACATTCAGTTGCTTTTAATTTTTAGGTTACGTACATTTGTAGAACTATTCCACAGCACTCTCTGCAATGTGTGGGCTATTTGTACATCATGTACGCATTTACAACATTGTACAAACAATTGACATGGTCTCCATCGTGATCATAACGATCTCTATCATCGCTATAGTACCGATTACCGAAGTGTGCCGCGTATTCTTGTTCGTGTGCGAAGACATCAGCGCGTGAACCAGCGCGGTAACAAGAACAAAGACAGTTCACGTCAGACTTTGGTACTCTATGTACATTATACAAGGATAAATTTTGCAATGGAGAATTAAATGAATCATGTCCTCACAAACACAAGGTTTATCAGCGCACCTTCAGTCTGGCGATTATAAAATCCCCAACATGCGCTGACTCCAATGTGATTTAAAGCAAGCATAATATTTGCTCAGAGTCCTCTTGTCTCCAATGGTCTGTTTACACATACCCTGTACCGATAGTTTACATAAAATGAGTGACAATGCTTAACTACCAAGGTGTGGTTAGTAACTGGTTGTTTGAGTGTAGCTTTCATCAGGGTTGTGTCTTTATGTTGTTATCTTCATCTATAGGCTTGATAGTGTGTATTGGTATTTTTTCAAGGGTAGAATTATGTACATAATGCTAATTTGTACATGGACAATGAGTCAA